TTTATCTTTTGTCTTTTTGTCTTTTGTGCATTGACTTTACCCTCATAAGGCTTTTAATCTGCCCCCTAAGCATAGAATACCGGCGATACATATACGAAACAGTAAAATAAACGGTCGCTCCAGAAAGCTGGGTCAAGCTTGGTAACTCCGGCGGTAGCGTTGGTATTGGTATTTGGTGTGGTGGTTTGTTGTGGTAGTGGGTGGCTCCCGGACCGGACAAAAGCCTCCCAAGCTTCCGAGTTAAAATCAAAAAGGCCGCGGATATCAACATCTCCCCCGAAACTCTAGCCACCGGTGCGGATCAGCGGCGGGTTTGGAAGGATGAAATCCGGGAGAGGCTCGACTGAATTTAACTCAGCGACTCCAGAGAGCAAACCCGAAGAGAGTTGCGACTAAGTGGAGCGCGGATGGGAAACTAACGAAAATGACGAGAGACCTGGCCTCTTGTCGCGGGCGGGTCTAGTAATCAATTTATATTTATATTTTATGTTTTTTCGTTGTTCTTTTCATAGTTTCTTTTTCCTTCGATGCTGAACTTTGGAGTTTGCGGAGGCGGCCGCTATACTGGATATCCGATACATAAACGGTACCTGAGGACCTGGCCTCGATCGCCTGGGGGGCCAGATTCTTGCGTAATTCATTTGCCAACGTTTGACTTCTTTGGGAGGCTAGGGGCCGTGGCGACAGGGCTGGATGGATTGGTCTTGGATTGATTGCATCGACGGTAGGGAGGAAATAGAATCGTTTGAAGAATGATGACTCTGTCGAAGGCGATGATCATGGAGTGAACATAACTAGGACTATTGGTAACTCGAAGCTTGTTGTCCTGTCCAATGTACTCCGTAGTATCCAACTCCTTTCACAGAAGAACATGAGGAGTGGACGTTATATTCCGCCACCCTCTCGCGACCACGACCACACCTAGGAATCATGAAACAACACAAGGACACGGCAGACGAAACAAACGAGCACAGAAGACTTAACCAACACCCACCCGAAACAGCCAAGGGTTCACCAGCCCTTGAATCAGTTGAAACGCTTGTCTGGGGCTGAGAGTGGCCCTCTCGTTCTTCTCCCACGTTCCTGGTATGGTATGAGATTGAGTTAACTACTCCGTACTACGTACGGAGCACAGAGGTGGGTGGGTTCGAAATAACGCCACTCAGAACCAGAGGCACAAAAATCAAACAAGTCCGATCGTATGTCCTGTATCCGTACATGTGTATACATCACAGATTCGTAGTTAAATCACGCTCCTGCAAACGCCCTCGTGCTTCGTGGACAGGAAAAGAGACCAGTTGGGATAACAGGGATCGAGATCAGACAGAACAAAGTCGACACCGACACCGCCACGGTCTGGCAAGTTACCATGTCCAGCATAATGTAATAATGTACATGTACTCCGTACTGTACGATAACTATAGTACGTACATACATAGTCCACCATGGGATGATATGGGATAACTATTCTGCAGCCAACAAACAATGAATGATTCAGCCCGATTGCGGAACCAGCCATTTTTGCGATCTGTGATTTGCCGCGTCTGATGTGCTGGCTTGGGCGGATACAACAACACATGTCTAATCTTGTACTCCGTATACGTTGTAGAAGTCGATGGTAGGACTGTATGTAGTGTTGTTAACCCAATCAAACCCAACTCGCTATTCCGCACCCAACTGCGGCCTCCCTCACCTGCTGCTGCTGCTGCTTTGTTTCGTTGTTGTTTGCAGAAAGAAAGAATCAAACCATCAACCATCAACTGCAGCGGGAGAAAGAAAGAAAGAAAGGACTTCTACTACTACTACAACTCCGCCGGCAATGGTTTTACCTGACCCAACAGCAACTCAAACATAACCCCGGCCGAAAACCCCGAAGAGCCCAAGAAGCAAAAAGCAACGAAAGGGGGATACGAATAGACTTCTCGACAAACAAACGCGTTCCATGTGTTGTTCCTGTTGTTGTTGATGTTGTTGGGCTGGATCATCTCTCTCTTTGCCCGACCACCACTTGCTCGCTGATGATCCTCTTCCTCCTGTCAGCCTGGCGTGGTCGAACTAACTTAACCATCGGATCGCCGCAGCTTGCTCTCCACACTCGCCCATCCCCAACCCATCGAACCCAATCGCACCCCCGCCGCGGTTACCAACTTAACTCCGTCTGGTACCCGATGGTACTTTTCAAACTCTGTGCGGTGAGGTGGACGCATCACGCATCCTCCTCCTTTTGTAGGGCATGCGTATCTGTGTAAAGCAAAGCATCGGGCGGGCACAAATCGCCAGCTTGCGACCACATCAGGAACAAACGTGGAAGGATCTTTTTTAACCATTTTTACGCCATTTTTGGTTTTGGGATGTTATATATATATATATTTTTTTTCCTCTTGGGGTGAGGGAGTGTGTGCAATAAAGAAACAAAAAAAGAAAATTTACATTACGCGCCAACAAGAAAGGAACATAACATCAAGTTATCATCATTGATCGGATTTGTTAGATAACCTAACTAACTGGCATCTGATCCAGCCATCCACGGGAAGGAAATCAGACATTCTCTCGATCCTGCATTGCGATTTGTGCGTTGTACCCGTGATGCACCCGGCCTGGTCAAACGAAGGAAACACGAGAATAGCCAGGAAGTCATCCAGTCGAGTCGTGCTTGGTCAAGAGGCGAAAAGGAGCTCGATCACTCACGTCTCTTCTGGCAGCCATAACTTGCTTCACCGTTCTTCTCTGGCCGGGCCAGGGGACTGGGAATCCGTAGGTTGGGTCGAATAGGAGCCTCGACATCCTGGTTGTGCCCGTGAACAAGCCCTGTGCCGCCTCCTCATCATTTTTACAAAGTGGTTTTGCGAAAGAAAAAAAACAACAGAAAAGGAAAAAACCAGAAAAGGGCAAGGCGACTAGCCGTGGGACATCCGGCTCCCCGCCAGACTCGCAAGTGAGCTAGGCCACCGGGGCTTGTTTGGCTCAGCAGCGGACCGTTCCATGGAAGCGTGCTGGGGAACCTTCAACTACTGGCAACCGACGCCCCCCAGATCTCACCAGCGAAGTCAACCCCGGCCCCACCCCCCCTGGGGCGCTTGGCCCTCCGTTAGGTTTCGCCGTCCAGCCCCAAACGAAAAAAGAAAAGAAGCAGCAGGAAAAGCAAAAAACAAAAAGGAAAAAAGCAAAAAAAAAAAAAAAAAAAAAAAAAAAAAAGCAAAAAGCTGAACGCCGAAAAAACAAAACTTTAAAAAGAGGGAAGAAAGCAAAAGGTGACCAACCAACCAGACAGAAAACCTGTCATATTTTTATACTTTTGGCCCTTTTCTTTATCCCGCCGCAACGGTTTTTTTGTTTGTTATTTGCCTGGCCCGCCAAACAAGATCCTCTATATCAATACCGCCGTCCCGCCCGTCTGGGTTGATTGTCTCGATCGCCTCATTCGTACCCTGAATAATCCTGAATAGCCTCCTATCCACTGTTCCTCCCCCAGGTTTTATATAAACTCTTCACATCCTGCTGCTGACTTCCAGCTTACCTCTTTCAACATACCACCATACCACCATACCCCATTATTCATTACACATCTTAACATCCACATCCACCACACAACACTCCTACTACCACCAGCAAAATGTGGTACGGATTCAGCTTCAATAGCACGCTCTCCTCACCATCTGGCTCACCCTCCTCTCTTCCCCCACCTCCTCCGCCATCTCCCAGCGACTCTCTACTTGATATTGCTCCCCGAAAAAGCTCTTTCTCCATGACATTGGGCAGGAACACATCATGCGCTTTTCCCTCCTGGCCCAACCGGTCCTCCCTCTTTTCTGACTCAGACTCCACAGCCAGCGCCTACCTGTCAGACGAGGATCTCTTTCCCACGTCTCCTTCACCCAGCTCTGAGTCAGCCTTTGAAGAGGATGCCGTTTCGTACCACCCGGTCTTTGGAGCCGGAGAGCTGACCACAGAGGAGCAAATCTCCATGATCAACGGAGCAGCAGAGCAGGAAGAGCGACGACAAAGATATCTTGCCAATGCTCATGCTCAGCTCCGTGCACAACAAGCAGTACGAGCTGCCCAAATACTAGCTGCTGAGCAACAAAGCGGGAAACGAAGAAAGCGACGCGTGGTTACGGACAAGAAGCGGAGGACTGCCTCATCATCTTCCTCCTCTTCGAATTCCACCAAATCGCCCACTGGTTGAGTTGACGTGTGCTCAATGTTTACTTTTCTTGTCACATGTATTAAAACTCAACACATTTCCCATTTATCTACCTTCCAACATAACCTCCAGCCTTACCACTTCCAACCCGACAACGAAGCAAAGTACACCAACATCTGATACCGAGGAAGGAAGAACTTTTGAGTGAGCATATGCATGGAATGTGCATTGACTCGCTTGTTTCGATCCCGAGTGTATCATTGGTTTTTTTTTTCCCCGAGCAAGAGGAGAGACTCTAGGAAGCGAATACGGCATTAACTTTTTAATTTGCCTCGGAATTTTCTACAAAGACGTCATGTGAAAGAGCGGTGTCGCGGACCAGAAGGAATTACTCGGAGAGACGAGACGCAATGATTCCACTGCGACGGAGCCAACCTCCCCTGACTTCTTCTTTCCTTCTTACCGCCCTTTATTCGAGCACACATCTTTTCACCAATACCATCTGAAGTGAGAAAAACATTTAACTTTTTTTCTCGTTCTTGGGGTTTCGGGGTCCCTTGTCCATGTCGGATTGGCAGGTGTGACTTGCATGTGGCATGGATGTGACGTGACGTGACGGAACGAAACTCAAAAATGTTCGATAGTTGGAAGAACGGATTCCGACTTGACCTAAGCCAGTCGTTTGGTTACAGTTGGTCAGCCTTCAGTCCAGGTTGACATACATTACGCCATTATATTTTTCATTGCCCCTTACACCGCCCACTGCCGAACAGGGCCAGATGAGGAATCGGATGTCGAGTTTATTTTTTTATCGCGGTGGTGACTCATTTATTGGAGGTGTGGGTTGGCCACTTTGTCAGCGTCGGCTGTCATCTGAACTATTTTTGTTTCTCAGTCGGACGCGAAGCCTGCATGCATATTGGCTGGCGGGGCGGGTGATTTTCTCCCTTGCTGCCCGATGCGAGGAAATCGATGTTTGTTCGTTGGGTTTCTTATGGAGGTTGTGTTTCACCCCACGCATCCCCTGCGGCTTGGCCCCGTTCTTACTTAGCCTATTACCGCGCCCCAAGCAAGTCATCCGCTGGCTGCGCATCGCCCTACCGCCCCGGCACTTCCTCACCGCCTGTTGCCTGTTGCCTGTTGCCTGTTGTTGCTGTTCACGTCTATCATCATCATCAGCAGCAGCGGCAACAACAACAGCAGCAGCACTGTTCACTCTCTGCCTATCCTTCCCCCACGCCTTGACTTGCCCCTCACCTTTCTGCCTGAATTTTTATTTTGTGCGTGTGGTGTTACCTTCGGCATTCGGCCTTTGATCTCTTTCTCTCTCTCTGATGTACCAAGCACAGCAGAGCGCAGTGTTGGGGGAACCCTATTATTTTCTTGTCCACATCTTGTTCGGCGCCTCATTTTTATTCATTTTGTCCTTTTCTGTTATGCATTATACCCCCCCGAACCAATTTGGTATCGATTTGTTTTTGATTTGTTTTTCGCTACTCTGTTTATCGATATGATCGCAGCTGTGCTGGAGAAATCGACTTTTTCATTTTTTATTGACACTTCTTCACCTCCTCTTCTTCCCCACTTTTAGCTCCCGAGCGACTATGAGATCATCGTTCTGGACTCTGGAGATGGCTGAATGATGGAAAGTACTTTTTTTGATTTCTCCTAATGGTCTCCTGCTGGGATCACATTCGAAAGCAACGAGCTTGCTGGGGTTTTGTTTTTTTCTTCTCCTTGACTGGGTTGCATTATTGCATAGCATTGCATCACACATTGGGCAACGGTCGAAATTTTTAATATGCTTTTTTACACATTCAGCGCACATAAACATCAAGAAGACTCTGTACGGTGCGTACAGGTTCCCATTTAGCTAGCAATAGTTAGGCGGAAATAGCAGCATAGGGCATCAGGATGGGATTAGCCTGTCTTGAATCGAGATTTGCTCCTTCAAACGAAGCAAAGAAAAAAATAATATAATACACAATACAGATAAATACCATGAAAAAAATAACATTCCTTCGTATTCCTTTATCTTCCTTGAGAACAGTCACAGAGAGAGAGAGAGAGAGAGAGTTCAAGCTTCAAAACGAGCGGTCGGCTGTTGCCACCTCGCTAAACTCCCCCGCGGATTTTCCATCCCAATTCCATCGGAGTTGGTGGGCGGGGGGGCAGCTGGGCGGCTTAGGCGGCTTAGGACCATACCTCGAGCGAATAGCCTGAAGGGGCAGGTCGGTTTTTTCGGCGTCTGTCTGTCTCTCGCTCTCTCTCTCTCTCTTGCTGATCGACTGATGATGACTGATCCTAAAACATAGGATTTATGTTGTTGCATCTGCCAGTGTCCTTTGTCGAGAGTTAGTGCTGCTGGGTTTGTCATATCGAACAAGCATCGGGTCTGCCTCGGCGGGGCAAAATGAGGAGGAACGGTGCGGATGAGCGGAGGGTTATGGGGTCGTTTCTTCGTAATTGTTTATATAGCTTTTTTATTTGGTTTCTTCATTGTTGGATCCTGGTTAACCTGGATAGGAGGGTTGGGTTGTGTACTTTTGAAGGGCTCTGGGGAGGAATGCGATACGCAGGATGGGGCTGATGGTTGTTGCTGGACAAAATCACCGAATAATTTCAGGCATTATTATATTTATTGTTCTCCTGTTCTTTTCACGGCTTTTGGGGGTGCTATACGTTGTTTTCATCGTTGGGTTTCTCTTTTCTCTTGCTGCAGACACACAACACACACACACCCCTTTGCGGCTCTTTATCTAAAAGAAAGAGATTCGTTTCTTTGGCTGCACGCATATATGGGGCTCCCCTACGGATATCAAGGTAAGTTAACTGACATGGAGTTTGGATCTGGGGACGGTGATGTCGCGCGATTCTGTATTCGCGATGGATGGACAAGAACAAAGAGTTCCATTGTATCGTTGTTTGCAAACAAACAAACAAAAAAAAAAAAAAAAATAAAGGCGCTCCGGTGAGCGATCCTCCAGCTGCATCAATGGGCAAGATACCGTCTCTGGATCAATCATTCTCCCTTGTCTGGCAGGCATCAAGAGTCGCAGCCGCTGTTGATAGCCATCGCCCATCCGGATGCTGCCTGACTTGTTGCCCGCCTGTACCAGGGCAACCGATGGTCAGCCCAAGTAACCCATGTATGCACATGTAACGTAATCCACCACCCAACGCCCGTTTACACCCAACGCCCGCCATTTCACCATTACTATAATGAAATATTTTCAACATTATTTCAACAACACAATTAGATTTTAAGATAATATATCATAGGATGAAAATATATATAGAAAATTACATATAAAAATATATAACTAATTCAGTAAACATTTGTTTGGTTTAATAACTCATCTGGAATGTGAAATCCTGAGTAAAGACAGATTCAGTGAGCAAGCAGTCATTAAATCAGTAGAGATTGCAATATCATCATATCCCTCTGACAGTGGATTCATGGACACTCTGACAGAGCTCTGAAAATGTGATTTAGCCACTCTTTACAAAATCAAGGATTTATTTTTCTGATTAGAAAGATGATTTTTAAATTCTTTCATCATCTTTTTATTCAATCATGATTGTAATTGTACAGCAGCTCATTTTTTCTTTTCTTTTTATTTTTAAATTTTTTTCTCATCTTTAAGTTTTTTATCAATCTGTTGTTGAGCAGTTTTTGCAATCTTATTCTTTTTATTTTCCTGTTTTATGATTTGATGAACTGTCTTTCATTTCATTCTCTGCTGAATGATATCTGTTTTTTTCTATTTTTTGAAAATAGTGTGTTGCAGCTTTGCATTTTTCTTACAAATTTATTCATTCTTTTTAACAATTTTCAAAACTGTCAAATTCTCACAGATGCTGTGCATCTTTGTTAATGAGAAGAACTACATTAATGATGAATTTGAAAGATTTAATAATTTCATTACTCTGTTATGTTTGTGATGTTTTTTTTTTTTTTTTTTTTTTTTTTTTTTTTTTTGATTAAAAGCTTTTTAGAGCTGTTGATTTTCTATTAAAAAAATCTCTTTATCAAGAGCAAAACCTTCCCCTGCACAGATCACTCAGTTGAGATCATAAAATATTTAATATCATTGTTATTTGATATACTTCATCAATTTGTACAGATCAACAATAGAAATAGACATTTTTAATTGATATATTATATCTGAAAAAGTGCAAAATTGTATTTGAAGCTTTTTAAAAATGCATTTTGAATTGAATGAATGTAAATCAGTAGCAGCAAATGCAACTTCAATATTTGAAAATGTAACTATCTTCTTTCATACAATGTTAAAAAACTGTTAAAAAATTTTTTTGATAATGTATATAAATCTCATTTTAGTTCTTATTCATTCATTCAGCTATTTAAAATATGATTTATTTAATGATTTAAATATTTCAACATCTAGCAGTTGTAATCAATGTGTAGAATAAGAAGAAAAGACAGTAAATATAATTCAATTCTAATTTGTGTAATTGATAAATGCTATATTAACATGAAATGAATGATTATTCAATATAAAAAATCTATATTCACAGTCTGTCATCTCTTTTGTAAAAGATTCAAAGATTGTCTTTAATCATATTGACTCATATTCATCATTACTTCATTTATTTTCTGAAGCAGTGAAGTAGATCTGACTTTTTTCATTATTAAAATCTTCAAATCAAATATCTTGTATATTTTTTGATTTTTTTTAATATATGAAAGCAGATGAAAGTGAAGTTTCATTTGTGTAAATTGAGATAAATAATATGATAAATTCTCAACTGTCATTCTGACTGACATCTATCATATAACTCAAATTAAGTGAATTAATCAATACAATATATTTAAGAATGTGAATGAATTCTAATAAAAATCCTTTCTCATCAAAGTTGTAGATATTTATAGATTCAAAATTGTATTTCATGATTTTTATCTGCAACTGAAAAATTAAAATAAATTAATAAAATGAGAATTAAAAAAGCAGTATAAAAAAGAAATCTATTATAAAATTAAAATAATGTTTGAAGTATGCAAAATTGTCTGCAATCTTGTATTTTTAATCAATATTTCACAGATAAAATGATTTGATCACATTTTTATAACACTCATCGAATCAAATCATTCAGTTGATTTCAATAAATGCTTTTAGAATCTCAACAATGAGATTATGAAGAATTTAAAATGTACAAGAGAAACTGTGATCTGTCAATTGATTGATATGAAAAAAAAGCTGTTTTTTTTTTGTGAATCAGTGAGAACTTTGCAATGGGTAGAGCTTGCTTTTTTTCTTGACATTTGAACATCTCTATAATGCCTTGACAATGTATATCAGCTGATTTTCATATTTTTTTGCAGTCTCAGTGTAATTAGGTGTTAATTGTATGTTCAAATCATCAATCACAGCTTGTATAACTGCTTCATGGTGCATGTTGTGGGTGGTTAAGGATGAATGAAAAATGAAGATTTGAGCGGGCGTTGGGTGTAAACGGGCGTTGGGTGGTGGATTACGTTACACAGCAGCCGCTCAACCTGACGAAAACCCTCAACGCCTGGTCGGGGCTATTTCCATTGATCATTCAGGTTTCCAAAACATCAAACCGTGCGCCCGTGCAACTCTCTGCCTCGCCCGGGGGGGCTGAAAATGAAGAGAGGGTATGATGATGATGGTGGATGATTGTCCTCCAGCACCAAGATGTCGACCCGATGAATGAACTATGAACGAGTACTGGCATCCACTATGCTACCTACCCCCAACTGAGGTAGGCCGTGCACATATGCGCAAGAAAATCAATGATTGCTTTATTTATCCCTCGGACGTATGAAGTTTATAAGGGCTCACAATGGGTGTGATTTTAATATCCCGTGTTCCGATTATCGATAAACTAACTACCTGGATGGAGAGTATGAAAAAATATATATATATGCTGTTGTTGCTACATATATTTGAGCTCACGTCTGCCATCCTGTGCAACAGAAGTTCTGACAATTGATGCATCCATCCCCTGCATGCGAGGGGCGCCATTCAAGGATCAACAACATCCAGTAGCGTCGTAAATATATAAATAACGGTTGCATATTTTTTTTTTTTTTTTTTACCCTAGAGAACGATAATGCACATAAATTCAAACCACAATCTGTTTGTTAAAAAAAAGAACAGGAGTACGAGATCGCATATCGAACAAGAAAAGCAAAAGGAAAACCACGACCAATCCGAACAAAACTTAGCCCTTAGCCCTCAGCATGGCCGAACCTGAACTTAGCCATAATTTATTCTATTCCTTGAATCCACCCCAATGTTTGAACCTCCGAAACGTATGGCGATCGTGGGATAGAAAATTGAGAGATTCTAGCCATCACAACGGCTATCTTAGGTCCGACGTCCGGTAGGATCCGAATAAAGCAGAAAGTAACTCAAATTGGCAGAACTCGGATTCCTAGCATGAGATAAAGGCTCCCGTCGAAAACGATCAAAACAATATTAAATAAAAAAAACAAGGCCGCAGGCGCAACATAAAAACCAACAGCTCTGGGGTAAGGAGATATGTAAAAAGAACGCTGACATATAAGGAAGACGTTTTGCCGTTCAGAACCGCGATGTGGATATTTTCGATCGAGAAACGATCGCGATCCTGTTCCTGAACAAATCTTAGAGAGTGGCGAGAAAAGTAAAACTGCAGAAATCACAGCGGTCTGACTTGCTCCCTCCTTTTCAAGTTCGACGTATTGAGGGGTGTTTATCCAGTGTATATCGGTTTACTACCGCAACCATATGTTAGCCAACTGCGTCCACACTAAGGCGGGAACTGAGGAGAAATATATATGCCAACATACAGATATCTCATCCATTCCGAGGTCCTCCCCCCCAGCCGCAGCTGGCTGTGCGGCTCCGTTCGTTGCGGCTGGAACGGTATTCGACGAGGGAAAGTAGTCTTCCATCTCCGCATCAAGCTCTGCGATAGACTTGGGTTTCGGGCGTCCCACATTCCGTCCGCGACGGTTGCGGCTGCGCCTTGAGCCCGCACTGGCCTTCGTGGCTGATACGGGTTTGGGTTGGGGCTTTGGTTGACTATTACACGGAATTGTTAGAACCGCGTGTGGAGATGGCGATGAATGGGCTGGATTAACAAACTTACGCGACACGTTCCGTTAGGGGCTTCACGGCAGGAACAGTGGGAGCGCGAGATGCATCAAGAACAACCTCAATCTATCGCGACCCAATGTTAGTGTGCGCAGCTACATAGAATGTATTTTTAAGAATGCAGGATTCATCATGCCTTTATGGGTCGCTTGTCGATGAGTAAACCATTCAGTTCCTTTGCGGCTTTCGCGGCAGTATCTGGACGAACGAAGGTAATGGAAGCAATGCCGCGGCTAGTACCATTTTGGTTGTAGGTGAGCATGACCTTTTTCACAGGTCCAGCAGATTTGTGGAAATATTCCTAAGACAATGCCAAGGTAAGCGATCAGTATTTTAATATTTGTGTCCGCTTGACTCATGAGCTGCATGCAATGACCGAATCTTAAAAGCAGGGAGTTTTGAAGCCACTTGTCAGGCCTAATCATCAACGTCAACGTGATATAGGTCAGCGAGCGCAGAGTGACAACACAGCGTTAGTAGTCAGTATCGAATCCCGAATTCGAACACGGCAAGTGGTACGGGTGTGGCAGCTCGTGCAGTTACGGGTTAACCCCGGTTTCTGTCACAGTTCCCTCCCATACGGGTTCGCTCCATGTCAACCAAGTGCCAAGCCAGATTCAGCACCGAATTACCGAGCCCACGTCGCAATGGTAAGATCCCTCGAAAGAAGGCGCAACATCGAAGAGAGGGCTCTGTTATACAAGATCTTAACGCCACCCACCACATGTCGAGCGACATTTCTGTTGGCCAAATGCAAACAAAGCAAAGTATATCGGGCGATGAGAATATGTCTTTTCTCAGCTTTGCATATGTCGCACGGCATCAACCGGATATAGTATGCAGGACATGACTAAGCTCTGGAGACAATGACTGGATCCAAAGCTAGTGGAAATAGCCGACCTTTTCCCTTGCCTGTTCCTTTTCGTTTTTTTTTTTTTTTTTGGACAACCCTCTATCGATTTGGGTTTTGCTAAACGATATGTGACTTCGGGTCGCATCCGTCGGAATACGTCGAGGCGAGTGATAGCTATGCTGTGTATATTGTGTTGCTTCAATCACTTCTGCGCTCGCTGATACCCATCACTCCTGGAAGGAAAATAGAGGTTGATATCAACGCGATCCGTAGTTACGTGTATGAAGTTGGATCTCTCCCAAGACAACTGCTTTTTACACGACCTGCGACCCGTTTGGCTCAGGAGACATTGTGAAGAGCTGCCAGATAAGCCTTCGGGTGCAGGGGAGTCGCGAGATGGAGACAGAGCTCAACTTGCTGCGCTTTGCATCAGGCCAATGACCGGCGAGCCAAAGCTGCAAGGATGCCAAACTGTCTTGTGTTGCTAAAGCAACAGCAGCAACCAGAAGTGCACACGCCACGAACAGGCAAGGTGCGACCTTGGAAAAAAGGAAGAAATGTGCGACGATTCGTTCGTGACATTTCGAAGGGATATATCTCGAACGGAGACGGCGACGGAAACCCAGAAAGATACCCTCTATCAACATACCTTGATATTCGCTTCACCGACATCGGAGGGCTGGAAGAAGTTAGTTAGTACATTCCAAGAAACAATGGAAACTGCAGCCTGTGTCTCCGTGCAGCGAAGGAAGGTGGTGGCAGAATAGAACTTACCAAGCCGCTCACGATGATCTTGCTTTCGCCCAGACCCATAGATGGGCCTGTAGGAATAGACTTGGAAGTGGATTTCGCATTTCTGACAGTCTTTTTAACGCCACCTACAGGTGCAGTATTGTGAGATGCCCTTGTGGATCTGGTATCGCGACGTCGCTGGGAGGTGCGACGGGCTGTACGCCTGGAGCTAAGGATATCATCAAGAGATTTGTCCAGTTTGTCCGCCATGGTTATGTAGTAGTCGTGATGCTGCAGAATAAGACGAATTCGCTGAATACAGGGAAGATGCGCGGAGCGATTAGCTCAGTCTCTAACGCAGGTACGGCAGGCAGGGCAGGATCTCTTCTGAACGATGTTTTGACGTGGTGGCGATTGTTGATGGAGGGAGCCAGATCACGACAAAGAGGGAAGATAAAAAAAGGGTTTGACAGCCGCTAGCGGAGAGAGAAATAAAGGAGTGTTTCAGTCACTAGTTTTCGCGGGTGGTGAACAGCGTATCTGGATGGGAGTGAAGAGAGAAGGTGGTTGGGATGTTTGAGGAAGCAGAACGGTAGAAGACGTTGACTGAGCCTTGAAACGGGCCAAGCGCGGATGACTAAGAGAGCCACTAGTCTATTACACCAATTTGCTCCAGCGAAAGGGGATTGGAGGCAAATTGATAGAATATATATAACTTGTTAGAAATATCTTCATGGACACTCGTAGATTTACCGGTGTGATCCACTTTGAAATAACTGCGTCGGCAACGATCATCTATATCGTAACAACATTATAAGAGCAATCAATAAACCTGCGCCCAAAACGCCACTGTTTATGAAACAAACCACAAACGACAAAACGCCCGGCAGAAAGCATGACCATAATTCCACTGCAATATGCTGATAAAAAGAATCAGGAAACGATAAAGGAGAAATTAAGGAAGATATCCATCTCAACTCTTCAACGCCTCGAGTCGCCCTCTCATCTGAGCAAGAGTTTCCTCCTGATCCTCGAATTCTCCTTCCACTGGCTCCTCTTCCACCTTGTTTTCTGGCGTGAGTCCTTCCACCTTCGCCAGCTTGCCTTGCAAGATTTCTTGAAGGACCTTGTCAACTTCGGAATCCGCCTCTTCCTCTTCGCCCTCCAATAACTGGTCCTGGGGGATCATATCGTCGACCAGCTCTTCGATTATACCAGCCTTGACAAGCTCCATACCTAATTATATCTCCATTAGTAACTAGCAAATCAAAAACGCAACCACGATCACTGTAATTATTCGTATACATACTCAACTGCTGCATGGTTCCCGCCAGCTCCGGCAGCCGTACAAGATGGTTCACATTCTTCATAATTCCCGTAGAAGCCTTAAGGCTTCCTTCAATCTTCCGTACAGAAAATGCCTCGTTGACCTGCATCTTCACGCTCTCCAGCTGCGCCTTACTCGTCGTCAGCCGGCTGCTCTGTTTTCGGATGCGGATCATCTCACGGGCGAATACACGGGACTCCTTGGCTGCCTGTGTAGCCTGCGACGGGTTACGCTCTGCCCGTCGTGATGCGGCGACAATATATTGCTTCGTTTTGATTTCTAGGGCCTTCAGTTGGGCGATGTCCCGATCTAGCTTGCGGGCGTTGGCGCGGATGAGACTGTTGCATTTTCTCATCTGTGAAGTGGTGTGTCATTAACCCTGCTCTCGGGACAATCGCTTACTTCAACGAGAGATAAGAGTTGAGATAGGCAGTTAGGCGCATACCTGGGCAGCAGGATCAGGCCCGAAGAACACGGTTTTAAGGGCGTCCATTGAGAGGTGATTGGCCACAAGGCCTGGGAGTTGGTGTGTACTGGTTTACGGGCAATTATGGGTCTAGGTGGGTATGGAGAGGATAGAAGCTGTGGCACTCATTGCCGCTCGCCGTGAACCGAGGTTGTAATGTTGGATATTTTGCTATCGGTGTGCCGGAATAAATGGATAGAGGAGAAAGCAAGATATAGGCTGAGCCTTACAGTAGAAGCAGAGTATTCTTGTGGATAGCCGTCTTCGTTAACGCCGGAATATCGTCCACTCAGGCATCCTCCGACATTCATCCCCAACCGGGCTGCTGAGTCAGGATGGGGTGTTCCACGTGACTAAAGTCGATGTGGTTCCAGTACTTTCCAAACAGCCGAATTAGTGGCACAAAAAGGGAAAAGCTCACCACCACCACCAACAGAATAAAGCATCCGAGAGTCAACAATATCAACCAATCTTCCCAGCTTCAACTGCTATTGTATCTCCTTCCCGCGCTCTCCTCCTACTCTTACATTTCTCTTTCTTACGCACACATCTCTCACAATGGCTGCGACTCAGACCCCGGAAGGTACATTATGCCCCTCATCCGAATACCTAGATAACAACTCCCAGCTATGTTTGCTATCAGTAGCTTTTTCAGAATTGCGAATCGCAATAAATAGCTATACTAACAGTATGTCTTTGTTGCAGTCCTCTGGGCCCAGCGCTCGTCAAGCACTGATCCCGAGAAAAACCTTCTCTACGTCCACCTGGCCGTGCCCGATGTCTCCCCCTCTTCCGCAAAGCTCTCCCTCACTGCAACCTCTATTTCCTTCTCGGGTTACTCAGACACGAAGAAGGTCGACTACAAAGTGGACCTGGAGCTGTACGATGATATCGATGTCGATAACTCCAAATCGCATCACTCCCCTCGTGGTGTCGACCTCGTATTAAGAAAGAAGGAAGCCAAAGACGAATACTGGCCCCGCTTCTTGAAGGAAACCAAGAAGGTCCATTTCCTTAAAACGGACTTTGATAAAGTAAGATCAATTCCTTGGAATGCAGCATGCGTAGAAATATATATATATCGTAGGATTATATACTGACAGGAATGCTATAGTGGGTGGATGAGGATGAACAAAACACATTAGCAGATGATGACTACGGCAACTTGGGTGACATGGGTGGAATGGGCGACATGGGTGGCATTGACTTCTCGAAGCTGGGAGCCGGTATGGGCGGGATGGCTGGTATGGACGCGATGGCCGATGAAGGTGGTGATGATGAAGGATCGGTATGCGACACCTCTCAGAACTAAATTACTGGCAGGTATAAGAGAAAGGGGCATAATACTGACAAAATCTAATCCCTAGGAGGACGATATGCCTGCATTGGAAGAGGACATCAAGGACGGTGATGCTAAAGATACGAAGCCTAAGATCGAGGAGGTGGCTTAAAATGTATTTCCTATTTTCTCTTGTGGTTGTCGTTTTGTGTCCTTTCCAGCTAGCCATGTATTGCCTGGTTTCTAATAACACGTGGACTGCCGGGTGGCCTTCAAGTTCCTCCTTTGTTCGGATGCGTGTCCCTCACCGATAAATGTCGACATATCATCACCTCCGACAGCAGTCAATGATCCACTGTCAACATCTGTCAGTTCTAATTCCAGGGCTGAGGGAGTTCCTACGGTGTACGGTGCGTGGATGGGAGGAGGATTTTGGGAGGTAGACTTTTCATTTTTATATGTTCTTGTTTGGCCGCTCTTGCTCTCAGTCCCAGCCTCCTTCTCACCCCCAAGGTCTGCTGGAAGGGATATTAGCGTACAAGCAATTCTCTATTCTACGAAGTCAAGGAAACCAGGAGAAAATGAAAACGAAGCCCATATTTATGAATTAATATGACAAATTATTACACTTGCAATTGGAGAGGACATGATGTATGAAAACGAAGTCATTTTTCTCTATTTTCCATTTACTTGATCTTACTTCACCCCGTCCGTACTCTTAAATAAAATGGGAAACCCTGAAAGCTGCCAAAAGGATAGCTGAGTGTATTAGTGGGTGCTATTACTTGAAGTTTGACCTGCTGATTAGTGAAACAGAAATTCGATATGGCCAAACTTAAGAAGAGTTTGACATGATACACTAGCATTGGCACATCGAGACATATTTGTTGGAGCTTTGGATTGGTTCGTACCCTCTACTACCGGCATGGCGCTGGTGGTGGTCGAACTCCTTTGTCCCGTTGCCTAACATATATTTCATGGCGGATTACAATAGTATTTGTTCGATCTTTTTGCTCCTAGGTATAAACAAAGGCCCCCGGTGGGACCACAGAGATAAGGACAGTTTCTCAATGGATATTTCATCCAGGAGAGAAGTGGACGCAAACGAAAATCTACGAAAGGACGGGTAATATATTTTGGGTGACAAATACAAAGCAGCAGGGATATTCCGAAAAATAGTAATTTCGTATGCGATACCTACATCTTGAAACAAAAGAAGACTGGAAATGATAGGGCAAACTATCGCGTATCGGGGTAGGGAAATGGGGATTGTTTTTCTAAGAATCACATAGAAAGATCTCACAAATGGAAACCCCAGCTCACTTCAAACCCTTAGAACGGTGAATAAGCCCCTGTTGAGCTTATCCGGCATGCACATCCCCCCCTAGTGCCACCCAAGAACACATCCCCATCATCACCATTCATGCACAAATTGCTGATCCGGGTCCCCATCCTGGTTTCAGTCCCAGTTTCCAAGGAGTTTGGACAGACACTTGCATCGATAGGGTAGAAGTCAGAGAGATTCAATGCCTCCAGTGGTCGACGGTGTTTGTTGCTCCAGCGCAATCGTCCTTTCCCTCCCTCCTCGAGTGGTATGGGAGTTTCAGCGGGAGCGTTCTCCTTGTTAGCCTCTTCATCCGTGTTGTCATTGATAAGTCTGCGGTAGGGATCCTCTTCCGTATTACAGTGAATGGACTGTGCCGGGCCTGGTGGGAACTCGTTTACTACGTTAGAAATATTGACAGTTTCCTCTCTGTTTGTTGTGTCTGCGCCCGGGTTTGGATCTGTGTATACTTCGAAGAGTCGACCATTTAGATATGGATGTTGTTCAGGATTTATAGCTAGTGAGTTCCCACTGGATTTAAATGCCTTCGAATGTTCGATTGGCGGCCCAGAATCCGTAGCACGGTACCGGCGACTTTATTTATTCAGGGACGCTAAGGCTGGCTGGCTGTGATAGCTGTTGGTGGTGTATGCTTTACCAGCGTCTGGGGACCATGAAATACGCAGGGAATGATACGTGGGAGACTGATTCCAGTTCGACTTGTCGTGTGAATTGGGCTCAGGCTCAGAATCAGCGTCTGGAATGCTGTGGCCGTTAGGTCCCTTGGTGTTAGAGTCTAATTGATATAAGAGTTAATTGCAATAATTGTTAGAGCAAACTGTGATATTTTCCAGATTACATGCGGCTTCCGCTCACCGAAGGCTGATCTTCGAAACATATCGCGGCTACCAGGTCGTCTGATGGCCGGATATGGCTTCTTGTATGGGCTACCAGAGTCCGGCCTAGGATTTTGGGGGCCGTTTCCCATGATTAACAAACATTGACGAATCCAATGCAACGGAATCTGACAGTTTCAAAGAGGCTTGAACCGTACAAGTAATATGGCGGTTTCTCGGCGATGTTTTGTTAGACATAGTTGATCAGCCGGGAGTGGTGGGTTTTACAGGAAGATCAAAGGCAGGAAAAATCACCTCCTCCAATTCATTATACTCGCATGGGAATTGAGATAGTAGGATTCCTCAGTTGGCTATATGAAAGACATCATCTCACTGAAGTGTCTTGAAAGTCCCGAAAATAATCTTTCCTGGGCCTCATAAAGAAAGTTTTCACCCGATCATTGTTTGGAACGGCGAAAGATCAAAGATTAGGAAGATTTGGACTTTGTATGCGTGTTTTCTATTGGGGGATGAGTTTGTTCCAGCACCAAAACCATAATGACTTGGAAGTTTTTCAGCAAGAACGGAAATGGGTAGCATGGAGATGAAATGCAAACGAAGGTATGTAGATGAGCTTTGTCTGAACGCCAGAAGCATGACTCATTGGCGATTTGCTACTGAATGTAATTGGAACCCAGCTCCAAAGGAACAATGCATGGTATAAAAGTAGGTTATCCTTTCTTTGGCTGCCAAAGTAAAAAGCACAATGAACACCTTTTGAAAGTATAGACTAAAAGACAAGGAATATTCGCTGCTGTGGACATCCACTGTGGACAACGGATTTTTGAACCAATATTTCTTAGGAGGTCCTTGTTGTCGAGAAAGACTCCGGTGTTGTTATATATATTCGATGCGATTGATATCGTTACTGACTGCCATCCACAGCGTAGCCTTAGACAAGAACATTGACCTAAGAGAAGGATATTTTGTACCTTCGTGCGGGTGTATGTGAAAAACCCCTCAATGGTATATAAGACATCAAGTAAAATTGACAGAAAACTTGAAAGAAGACAGTTGCCGCGAGAGACATGGACAGCGAAATAAAGGAAAATAAGGCACAACGGAATGATCTAATTTTGAGATTTGGATGTGATTTTCCAGAGCAGCGTAGCAAGCGTAATGGCAGAGAAATTTAATATTATCTTTGTCAGAACAAGAAAATGGGGGGAGTGAGAGCATGGCTGAACAGGGGGAAAGAATGGAAATGGAAATGAAAATAGAAGCAAATGTATATAAATAAACACCCCACTATCCACGGCAATATCACATCTCAGTCTTCATTATGGTAAAACACCAAAACCAAAACCAAAACCAAAACCGAGTAATCACTTGTGATCTTTGCGTTCGCAGGAGCAGGGGCATTACCCCTACATTGATAGACCTGGTCTACAGGCCCGCAAACTTTCAGTGGACGGGACGCCAGGTCGTGAAAATAACAACGAGAACCGACATCATATAAAATGACTGGATATTGATTCTTGATTTCGTCGTCATCACTGGTGATTCCTTTTCCCTTTCCTACGGAAAGAGTGCCAAGAATGTGTCCTTTCTTTTATTCATATATTGATATTTATCCAGCTCCATCAACTGGGGTGGGCCGTTCTTCTGAACCAGTGCCGGACGTAAGAGCCGAAGAAGTTCCGTGGAGTTTCGCAATTCGATCCTCCTCCGATTGCTCTCGTAGTCGCTCTGTCTCCTTGCGTAATGATTCCATATTCCATCCATTCCAGTCCTCATCTCCGGCGTCACCATCATCATCCTCACTGTCGGAAGCGTTCCAGTCACCACTTTCGAACATGGCACGACCACTGGCATCTTTTGCTTTGCGGGCCTCTTCCTCCGCGGCTTTCTTGTCCAGACGTTCTTTCTTCCACTTGGCAAATGTTTCCGGAGTGACTGGTGTGAGGTTGCCTGTGAGTTTATGGCGTTCGGACTCGAGGAAATCTTCGAGAGTGAGGGTTTTCAATGGGGATTTGTCCATGAGAGCTTTTTCAGCGGCTCTTTGTTCTTTGGTTTTAAGGACGAAGCTATTGTACCAGTTAGAAATCGAGAAAAACAAAACACACTGAGAACCGAGAAGCATACCCAGGTGGCAAGCTGTGTCTGTACATGCATTTATCGCCGCCATTTGGACAAATCCAAAACCAACCATATTTCTGATTCTCGACAGCATCGATAAAGTACTTGCAGACTTTGTCGGTCGTTGTCTTTGGGTTACCATGTTTGCTCAACACGACCTTCCGCAATTTCTCTTCATCCCAATTATCCATCAAATCCTGTTTCTTTTCCTCTTCCGCATCTCTGCTATCGGAATAGAGATCCTTTTTCTGGGCCTTTCGCTCTACAGCTGGGTCGTGGCTGAACTTGCATCGTTTTCCCTTTTCACAGCTGCCCTTCTTGAAGAAAACACAGAGGACAGTTTTGGGGTCAACACCAAATGGAACTTTTTGGACTTGAACGGGCTTAAAGAGTTCCGCAGCTTCCCGTTTGGCTTGCTCAGCAGCAGCCTTATCCTTCTCGCGTTGAAGTCTTTGTGCTTCTTTCCTTTTCTCATCCGCGTTCTTGTTTGATTGGGCTTGTGCTTGAAGCTGGGCTATTTGTTTCTTTGCGTTGCCTCCTTTTTTCTATATTAATTTCAAAAATTAGACATAGACTAAGGTATATTCCGCAAACATCCCCCCTGGCTAGGTAGTATCTCAAACTCTTATTCCTATTCCGTGTATGTTTATGCGTGTGGGATATATCTAATGGGGCTTGAAAACATACATTTTTCATGCCAAATGTCTGAGGAGATGAAGACCAATACATCAGCAATATTGTTCCGAAGTGGGCTAGAGAACAACAGCAGGAACAGATAACTCACCTTATCTTCCACCGTAGCCCTCGTCTTCTTCGGCTGATCAGATCCTTTTTTGGGCGGCATTTTGGCGTTGAATGTAATTCAAGTTCGGGCCTTTGCTTTTCAAATCCGTCGGTATTTAATGTTTGATGATATTGAACTGGACATTAAAAATAGGGAGGGTATATTCCGGGAAACATAGAGGGCCCCTACAACCAGCGGCCGATGTATGTTATGGACAGGGTATAGGCCAAATTTGTGATATATGTGTTGTGATTGTGATGTTCGTGTGTGCTGTGTGGAGTGAAGAACATGAGTGTGCTGGAAAAAAGAAGCCTGAATCATGGTGGGGTTATTTGGCAGCGACAGATGAGGCTTTGGCGGACGTGGCAGTAGCAAAAACATTTGTATATAAGACACCACTAGCTTCAAGCTTTGGTACTGCATACCGGCGACGAATGTTCGTAGGTCCCATTGTGAGTGCGTCCAACGGATTACACTACAGCTCCTTGAGAAGTGATAGCCCAGAAGTTGCGCGATACGGAACCTGATCGACTCGCCGATATATATACGATTTATCTATATAACCTTACGAGTACGGACTCTACTCCCATTCCGGAGATAACGATATCGACCTTGCCAAAGGCCAGCTATCGCACACAACTACATAGGACGTCGTCACCTTGAAGATGATCTCAGACGAACAACTCTATCAACTCGCCATGTTCCTTGGCTCCTGCGCCATGCTCCTCATCGTCCTCTACCATTACCTCGAAGTCAACGCCAAAGACTCTTCTGCAACCTCCTCCACATCCTCCCAGACCTCTGTAAAATCCCACGCGTCGACAAGTTCGTCGAAGAATTCCATTTCCACTACAACAATTAACCGAGATGCGGCTGGTTGAGGGCTATTGGATAGGAGAAAGTAGATGGGAAACTCGGGAAACCGGAGATGGCGAGCATTTGTTGATTGGGTTTGATAGGATCGGATCATATGGTCTCTCGGGTGGTGGAAGTGCGGCTTGCTTCCAGAAATACCTACTTCACATGTACAGTACAAAATGTATTAATTGGCTTTTTCTTTTTCTTCCTCTTGCTCTCTCGCTTCTTCTTCTTCTTCTCCTTTTTTTTTTTTTTTTTTTTTTTTTTTTTTTTTTGTTGTTGTTGTTGTTGTTGTTCTAAGCTACGATTGACCTTTCTATCGCGAAACTGACAATCTAACCTGAAAGCCATTCGCATTGTTGGCGGGTATCATTCGCATGTATACCGATCCTGAATGTACGTACATGTGACTAACTTCGAAAACTCCCGGCGCCGAGCTATATAAGTACTGAGTACAAGTAAAAGACAATATGATTTCTTAAAAAAATCCACATGCATTTCCCAAACCCATTGCTGGAACATAACATCTGTTAATAAATATTCAAGGGAGGACGAAAGCGAGAAACGAAAGGAGCAAAACTAGAAAGCTACCATTCCGTAAAAGATTTTCTTATGCTGAGACACGTAATTTCTAAAGACCCTCCTTGTCTTCAGGGACGATCTCAAAAACCCTTTCAAACGCCACAACCGTCTCCTGTCTCTTTGGTTCATAAGTGTACATCCGCCGCGGCCCAACCCCGTTCCTACCTTACTTGTTTCATCTCCAGTGCCCGCAATACCTCCAGCGCTTTGGCTTTGTCGCTCTCGTTTCCATACATCTTGTTGAAGCATCGGATCGATCTGTATGCGGCGGGGAGAATCAAGGTAGGTCGTGTGCCTTTCGCGCTTGCCCTGGCGACCACGGCGCGTCCATTGCTGTCATTGAGGTAGTCGGCGATATTGTAATCTCGATGACCTAGAAGTGGAGAACAGAGGGAAAAGAAAATGAGAATTTCCTGGTTTGTTATACGAGGGTCTTTTGGTATGTCTTTTCTTCGTCTCTCGTCTTGTTTAAGAAACAACAATTGGGTCGCTGAGTAGTTTTCCAGTCTCACCAGATCTTACAGACCCTGGCCCTTCCCCCAGGGTCCATGCGAGGGCGCTTAAATGTTCATTCTCCACATGATCTGCCAGCCTCCTACTTCCAAACATAATCCCGCGACCACTGCAACCAGCCCATAAGCAAGAAGTCTCCATCCCATTGTTTTTGGGGATATGGAGGCGGGTGACGTGCTTTCGGAGTGTTTGGAGGTTGTGAAGTTCGGCATCGCAGTTTTGCCACTGGCATTTGTACGTATGAAATGGATGAAGCGTTTTTGGCGATGAACTTGTCGGAATGGTGATCTCAACTCGGTCTGCGAATCGAGGTTTATTCTTCGCGCCTGCTGGTCGTCCGCGTCGGCGAGACAATGGAATGTGAGATGAACTCATCACGGAGATTTTAGTTCTGCTGTCGATATTGCTCTCTTGCTGAATGTGAGGTGGCGAGTTATCAATGTTGGCTGTTTGACAGGTGTGTAGTGAAGGACTATGACTAACGCCTTTTGTCGAGTCACGTGGTAATATGTTATGTAAGCGGCCGATAACGGATCTGGACTTTGCATGTTTGCAGAGAGTGAAAAGGGGAGGTCTGGAGGTGGCAGAAACAAGAGGGGCTTCAGGTGGTGGCGGCCCTCCAGGATCGACAATGTCCCACCGGAACGTGCACAAATCAGATGAGTTATCTACAGCAGAAAAATTATCTCGCAGTTTCGAAAGATGTTGGTTCAATGGACGCTCTGTTGGGTGGCGACCGGTTGCGATTAAGAGATCTCTCGCAATGCTCTTCGGGTCGTAGTAGCGCGTTTTCAAAGCCTGCGTCTTGTTGAGAGGCTTGACGATATCGCCCCGCTTCGGTAACTTTTCATTGCTGGTAGAAACATCGGCATCTGGCATATTAAATTGGGACAAATCGGGCGTCTTCGCCTGTGTTCCAGGCGTCCCAGCCGTTTCCGATGCCCATGCTGGTACTTCTTCAACATTCACTTCCACATTTGCTTCGCTCTGGGTCGGTACGTCCTCTAAGCGCGATGCTTTTGACGGGTGGGGTGAATCGTTTTCGTCACTTGAAAGTTGTGTAAAATCCACAATCTCTGCAAACGTTCGCTTTTTAGCGAGTGCCTCCTTGGAACCAGGAGCAGGCACCTGCGCAGGTGGTACAGGAACGTGGAGCTTGGATTTCAGTTTGTTTCCAACCAGAGCCGGGTCACCTCTGCTGTGTCGAAACGACGGCTGGCTTTTGCGGTAACATGGCCCTGCGTAACCAGGAGCTTGGAATCCCATTGAAAAGGTTCCTGAAGGTGGTGGAGGACTTATAAAACCGGGGACCTGATTTTCTGGCGGGACTGACACTGGAGGTTGTTGCTGCCTGAAATATAGAGGGGATCTGTTGGCCGGTGGTGGTATGGGTGTCAATGATGGAGCTGGGAGCTCCACTTTGTTCCCCACAGCCTGAGTGTCAGGCTCTGGCGGCGACATGGATACTGGAGTAATGGGAACAGGATCATCTCTTGGGGCAAGTCTGGTATCTTGAGCTGCTGGTGGAATGGGCATTGCAGCTGGGAGAGGTTGGATTTGCGCTTTCCTAGCAGTGGAAGATGGCCCATTCGCGGCCCGGTTCGGACGAGCAGTAACACTGGAACTTGTCGTTAGTTCTGGCATAGCGTTGAGTAAATGTTTCGCGAAATGAACGCGATTCAAGACATAGCCCCGAGATTCCAACATTCCGCACAGCTCAATATAGCTTGGATTCTGATCTATCAGCGATAATACCATCTCTGGAGGACATTTCTTGCCCTGGTTGCGATTACTAAGGACGTCATCGATATATCTTGAGGCCGCTTGGGCGAGGGCTAATCGCTTCGGCTCAGGCCAGATCGTAGCAACCTTACGGGTTTCTTCCTTTGTTTGCCTAGTTTCAGGTTCAGGTGCAGGTTCAGGTGCAGGCTCAGGTGCAGGCTCAGGAGCAAGTTCGGCGGCTGGCGTTGCAGCTTGAGCTGAGGCTGGAAATGATGCAGATTCTGATTTATTAGTATCTATCAGCTTCCCAATTCCCATAGCCGAGTCCGTTCGGGGAGCCCGGCCTCCATTATGGGTTTCGGGCTGTGAAGAAGGAGCTGGTGCGGGCTGTTGTATATCATGCCTGATAGGTGAGGGTTGAGCTATACAATTAACAGCATCAACATGCTTTGGCTTCCGTTTTCGCCGAGCTGCGGGGAATTTGCCGCGATCATGGATTGAATTGCTCTCATCTGTGGGATTCATGGGAGCCAAAGTGGCTGGTGTAGATACTGGATTTTTGGCTGTTCGTTGATCCTCCACGACATGGGATGTGGCCGTAACAGGTTCCGGCTATTATTGGTACGAATATTAGATTGCGGTTGTGGTAGGAAAGGTCGAGGAATTGACGCACACACACACAAAAAAAAAAAAAAATATGAGAAGAAGAAGAAAGAAGAAAGAAAAGAAGAGAAGAGAGAGAGAGAGAAAGAGAGACAAAAAGACAAATGGAGACCTCACTCACCATTTCCAGTCCGCTTAGTAACTTGGCAAATTTGCTCGGGTCCTTGGATTTGAGTTGTTTCATTTTTTCCAACATCAATTCCATTTCCAAGTCTTCATCTTCACTAGGCCGTCCTTCACCTGGGGTTTGGGCCGCCGTTGAAAGTGTCTGACTTTGACTTTCGCTAGGTGGAGCAGTGGGCGCGAGCTCTGCTTGAGGGACACTCACCGGCACCCCGACGGGCGGAGGAGGGGAAAGTTTTATCTGCGATTTCCGCTGACGACGTTGGTGTTTCATGGTACTTCTAGGTTTTTGCTGTCGTGAATTAGTGGCGTTAGGAACTTGTAGCCTATTTTTTGGGACGGGTTTCTGACTTCGTTTATGTGTCTCCGAAGGGGATGGATTAGCTACTGCGAGGCTTTCAGATTGTGTTCTCTCAGCATGTGGGTGGGCAGTAAATGTTACTGTACTGTCTATCTTTTGGTCAATTTTGGTATCAGTAGCTCGATTCTGATTTTCCTCTATCTCTACTATCTCTCTCGCGACCTGCACACGTCTCTCTTCCTCCCTTTGACTCTCTATTTCACCTTGTTTCTCGTCTTCCTTCTGTTTTTGCTTCAGCCTTTCAGCTTCCGCTTCCGCCTGTGCTGCTTTCATTTTCTGGTATTCCTGGTAATACGGATTGTAGATTTGACTGGGGTCGATATAGCTTGGCGTAGCTGGCTGATGTGATTGTGATTGGCTTAGGTTCGCCGTTTGATATTCGGCGGTAGAATTTATGTGGGGGGGATTTGACGGGGTACTTTGGGCATGTGACACGGTAGGGTGCTGTTGAGAGGTGTTGACAATATTGTATGCTGCGTGGTGCTCTTGAGAGGTTGAACGGTCAGAATATGTTGACGGCGTGGCTAGCATGGACGAAGAATGCTTGAGGGGTGCGTGGGATAAAGAGGGTTGGCTCCGACGTATGTTTGACTGGGCTGATGGTGTTGACGTTCTACTAGACTGCGGAGAAATGTTCTGTTGACGAAACGGCTGGCTCTGGTGAGCTGAAGGTGAGGACATTACTGTGGGACCTAGGGACGCTAAATTGGAGCGAGGAGGCCCATGGCTTGAATTATAAGAATGCGATGTTGAGGAGGAGCCAGCAGGTCCAGTCATCAGCCTCTGGGAATTGGCACGAGGAGCGGTAATGCTGGAAGAGAGAGAAGTCATAGCTGAAGCAGCAGTAGTTCTCAAGGATTGAGAAGAATTTGGACGGTCAATCCGTAGAGAAACAATCGCCGGTGACCTATTCTGTACTGGAGGATCCGTGTCATAGCTCATGTTTGTAGAAGGGGAAGCGGTTGATACCGGATCCACCGAGGAGTTGGGGATGGCAATGGGCTCCAAGGGATACTGGATACTTTTCAGAGTTGGTGAAATAAGTTGGCTTTGTCTCCGATGGGACTGCTGGGCCTGTTGCGATGACAATGACGGCGATATTGACGGTGTAGCATTGGAAGTATGATAGTTCGTTTGTTGCTGATGCTGATATCCGTAGCTAGGGAATGGATTGCTTGAGGGCTGCCAGCTCTCAGTCTCCTGCTGCGGCCGTGGGCTTTGGCTTGATATATCTGTACCGTTCTGCCCTTGCCACTCATAACTCTGCTGCTGCCCGTAGCTTCGATCTGCTGATGGCTGGATATTTGGAGTTGATGAAGGGTGAGTGACAGGGATTTCGCGCATGGAAGAGTATGAGGTACCATGGAGGTACTGGTAAGGAGAGTAACCAAATCCTTGGTACGACATACCCAAAGGGTATAGCTAAAATTTCTTTTCTAAAATTCACGACTCCACGACAGCTTGAAAGCTATCTTGAGATACTGCACAGAGTATGGCATGGGGTAGAAGGGAGGGGCGGTTGAAGCAAGATGCGGGAGGGTTGATCCGATTGATAAAAGCGAGGGTTTGTGCGGTTGCGGCATAGGTGATTCGGTCGCAAAATGAGCACGATGCAGGTTTCGAGAATAGAATTAGCGGCAGCAGCGCGAAACATCTCCTTGAAGTGTTTCTCCTCATCGTTTACAGAATACTCTTTTGTTGGTTGTTCGTTCAATGAATGACTTGGCAGACGACTGAGTCAGCCAGCCCTAGACCAAGTCAGCTGACCCACAGTCTCCCACACAATTTTCGGATCGGAAATCTTGACGGCGGACGACTCCCAACGACGACGATAATTGAACAAACCCACCTCCTCCCACTCTCTCTCGGAGCCAGATCTCATTTTCCCCTTCAGATCTGCACAAATGGCAAAGGTCAACGGAGGTGCGTACAACTGCTTCTTCCCTGCTTGATTTATTGGGGCCGCGCTATTTACGGAACTCTGGACCTTATTCAAAGTATTATTACGTATGTCAATGAGGGACTGACAATTTATCTTATCGACAGAACTTGCCTCTTCACGGCGGAAGTCGCGCAAGGCGCACTTCAGTGCCCCTTCCAGTGAGCGACGAGTCATCATGAGCGCCCCGTTGAGCAAGGAACTGAGAGAAAAACACAATGTACGAGATCCTAGAATCCGGATATTATTCTCAATGGATACGGCCACTTTGGAACATAAGAATAGCCAATTACGAAGAAAGAAGAAAAGGAAACATGGGAACGAAAGTAGAAGGACAAAGGGCATGGGCTAATTCTGCTACAAAAATCTAGGTCCGCTCCATACCTATCCGCAAAGACGACGAAGTAACCATCGTCCGAGGCTCCAACAAGGGCCGCGAGGGCAAAATCACTAGTGTATATCGCCTCAAATACGTCGTGCACGTCGAGCGCGTCACCCGCGACAAGTCAAACGGCCAGAGCGTCCCTATCGGTATCCACCCATCCAAGGTTGTCATCACGAAACTGAAGATCGACAAAGACCGCGAGAACATCCTCGAGCGAATGGGTAAAGGCCGGGAAGCAAAGGCAGCTGCAAAAGGAAATTAAATTGAAAACGGCGTAACTATTGTTTATACTGGTCTTTTCTTGCTTTTCTTCCCCCCCCCCCACCTTTCCTCTCCAACTCGCATTGCATGCATATTGGTGAGGGATTGTACGCAGAAGGACCTTTTTTAACTTTGCGCAACTTATTGGCCGGATGGGATTTCCTTGGCGCGTGGAGTGGATTCATGCTATATTGTATGGACTGAACGTTGAAGAAAAAAATAAGAGCAAGACACTATACGACTTCTAATTGTCTGTAGTTACAAGCTTGGCCGGGGTGGTGGGTGGGTTTGACTCGTCTCTCCAGCTTCGGCCGTTTTTATTTTTCTTTAGTCTTCGTGCAACCATTCCCTCACCTCAGTGTCCAATGCGAATCAAACAGTGGACATAACATTTCAGAGCCTCGACCGATCAGAAATGCCAGAACGGGCCCCAAAGAATTTAATCACTTGAAGAACCATTCCCATTTCAAATCCTTTTTCCGTCCGGGGGGGCCCCCACCCCCAATACCCATCCGTTTTAATAGTAACAGCACATAATAGTGCATGACCTTTGCCAGTATTATCTCCTCGCAAACCATAAGATATAATCTTTATTCGGTGGTTTAGTGAGGTATACGGCTGGCGTATATGGAGTGACCTATACAACACCAAACATCAAACTCCACTTTTTGTATTCTTAAGTACGATGTGGGTATTGTGCGATGGTGTGGGTAAATCTCGCCTGCAGACTTGTTCCTACGGTTTATATCCATGATGGAGACAGGTTTGAGAGTGAGGGACATTGATTCTAGGTATATTATGTGTACGCAGTGAGCTGTTTTTAAATAATTTATTTCCTTTATTGCAAACGGGAATCGCTCCCAAAATTCAATTCCTAAGAATTTCTAATTGAAGAAAATAGGTTTCTAGATAAACGAAGAAGTTTTAATTTTGAATCTGTAAATACTAGAATCGAGGGATGAGTGCAATGAAAGGAAAGGATTAAAACTTGCGCGCTCGGCAAAATACAAATACAAAAGCTCTGTGGCTAGCAAAAGGACATTTCAAAGACATAAGAAATACACCCAGAAATAAAATCCAGTTAAAAACATGGGAAAGAAGAAAGAAAGCCTCCACCCTCAACAGATCTAAGACAACGAATATCTCAATGTGATATCAATGTCCCCAATATATGGTATACAATCCTAGCGTCCAAAACACTTTCCCCACGCAGGCAACCCACACCCCATCCCGACAAACAAATATACCAAAAACACAACGACGACGACCAACAAGGCCATCACTTTAACATTCTTCCACCACATCTGCCGCCTCAATCCACGACTCCGAACACGGAAATCCCGCGCGCTGCCCCCCAGACGATCTGTCTTATCAACCAACAAATCAATCCGCTCCCCACGCTCCAGCACCCGCTCGATGTTCTCCGTCATAATTCCACGTACGCTATCGATCTCCTTGCGCGCAGAGGCAAGCGAGTCTGCTGGCGGGGCAGTGTTGTAGGTCTGCAGCAGCTCGCGGAGGTGTGTGTTGAAGGCTGCACAGCCGTAGGGGGGCAGGGAGCTAAAGTCGGTGCTCTCTGGGTTGTAGGTTGTGAGGAATTTGCGACGGATCTCGAGGAGGAAGGCGAAGGGGATGCGTCGACCTAGTTCTGCGGTGGCAACGACTAGGTAGCTGAGCGGGGCGTGCGAGGTGAGTTCGCCATTTTCACCTGCAGCCGAGGGAGAGTCGGCTATGTAGTGGACGAAGAGGCGGTCATGAGTATAGGTGAGTTTTTGCGGTGTTTGGTGAGAGATTTTGGGGAGGATTATGGATGCGAGAGAGGAGGCGGCGGTGGAGGAAGTGCCGGGGGAGGAGTGTTCGGCTAAAATGGTGGTTCTATGCGCGATGCAGGCACTGCCTGATGGTCAGCTGGAGTTCCATCGTATTGCACAAGGGAGAGAGTGCTAGACAGAGGTACCTACTAGAGTAAAGGGCTAGGAGGTTTCGATGAAGAAGCCATCTTCGTCTGTTATCTTTGGCTCTTCTACCAGTAGTAGTGATGAAAGAGTCGAGGATGGAGAAGAGAAGGGGCAAATAAGATGTTGGTGGTTAAATACTCCGAGGTAGTTAACAACTTCCTGCGGTTTTGTTCCAAGTGTTTCAGGGTGTCAAAGACTCGTATATGCTTCAGAGGATGGTGCTTGATATATTGCGTTTTCTAACCTTGAAACTCTTCCGCTCCTTCAACCACGTGAAATCGATCCTTTCTTGGCGTCACAGACCCGGCATAAATAATCTGTTTTGTTGCCCATACCCGCACCGTGGTTGTCAACAGGTATAACACCCAACAGTCGTGCATAAGAATGGCCACTCGCCCTCCCCCACCACCCCGCGGCCCTCGACAGCAACTGTTTACGTAGGTCCTCACGCCGGGCTTCGTCGGGTTCTCCCTTTTTGTTGTTACGCTATGGTTGCCTCCGTTGGAGCAGGCCTGTTTACCATGTCCCTTTATCGCATGAGGCAGCAGAAGGTTGCGGAGGCAAAGAGGCTCCATGATGAGCAACATCGATAGGGGAATGTGTGGGGAAGTTGTGTACCGAGAGACTGGAAAATTGAGAAAGTTGAAAGAATGGCAGGGTGGAATGCGACATCTAGGCGTGATATGGGTGTTGGGTGTTAGGGATTTTATATATATCGCGAGAATGCGATGTCATCTGTACGATATACGATTTCCATTGCATTAATGGATTCAAAAAACCCAAATTTTTGTGTGGAAGACACTTTTAATGGATAGGGTCATAAAAGACAGGAATCGGATGCGAAATGCGGGGAATATCGCAAGAGACGCAGTGTATGGAGGATCGGGAGGGCAGTGTCCCTCATGATGCACTTCGGATAGTAGCAAAAATTTCACATCCTCTATGCTATGGATGAGTTATTGTGCCATGTGATGGGACGCTGTACAGAACATATATAAATACAATGCAGAGTCTTACCACGGAAAACGAGGTGATTATAAGAGCGCTAGGCCTGTTTAACCATCAAAAACCCCTAGCAGCCAAGTTCCTGAGAAAACACTTACAGAATCTGTAGGAATAAAATGATTCTCTTAAGTTGCTGTGTGATTCAGTTAGCTCAGCTTGAGATATTTCTAGACACATGAAATTACTAGATTTGAGTAAAGAGCTCTCAAGTCCCCATAAAGGCATTCTCTCTCAGAATCCTATGGAGCATTTCACAAGAGGGTTTTCCTAAGAGAATTCTTGCATCTAAAGCAGCTTGGACATATAGTACCAAGAAGATTCTCTTAAGATCTATCAATATTGTCTTTGCTAAAAGCAGCTTATAAGAGAATCCTCTTGTGATGAGGTAGCTCATGAAAGCAATCGCCAAGTCTTCTAAAAGAATTTACTTGTGAAGTTTGGCCATTAAAGAGTATTTATTTAAAAAGCCTCTTCTGTGACAAAATCCCTCTCAAGAGAATCCTCTTGTGATTTAAATCACATGCACAGAGCATTTCACAATATGAAATTTCTACCCTTATATTTCCTCATAAGAGAATTCTTCTAAAAGAATTTATATCATAAAAGAGATGTTCTGAATCCATTTCTGAAAATAAATTCTAAAGAGATGACATCATAGATAGAACATTCCAGATAAAGCAATCATCATAAGAGGATTCTCTCAGAAAAGGTACAGGTGCGGCTAAAGCCACTGGAGCATTTCACAAGAGGATTTTCCTAAGAGGATTTTCCTAAGAGGATTCTTTTCTTCAAAGGGTAGAAATTTCATAGGCTTGGTAAGCAACTTGAGAATCATTCTACCTTTTCTGTGACAAGAATCCCATGGAAGTAATTGCTGAGCAGGCCATGCAAACCAACCAAATCATGGCTTGGTGCTCTTCTGGCATGAAGGGCATGGATTGTTTACCTGGAGGGAGATAAACCAGCATATCAAATGTAACAGCTGGTATAGGTTGGAAAGTGTACTGGTTTGCCTGCCACAAAACCTGCCAAGGTTTGTACCTACAGGTACTTCGGTCAAAAGTCATAGATCACCGAAGAACCTGCAACCACTACTCTATGTTTATAATATGTACAGGTTATTCAGCACAGGTCAAACTGACCTATGCCAACCAACCTATTTCTGGGTAACGTAATCAATAACCTTCCCGATCAAATACCCTTCCCGATCACTTCTTCACTTTAAGACACATCATACAATTTATTCATCAAAATGTCAACAACAAGTGACAGAAGAAACTTCTATCAAGAAGGCAGGATTCTATTAGCTATTAAGGCTCTAGATAAAGGTCAAATCTCAGGTATTCGAGCTGCTGCACGCGCGTACGAAGTTCCTTATTCAAGTTTATATGATCGATTACACGGCCGCACAACACGAAAAGATTCTCAGTTAAAAAACCGAAAACTCAGTCTTACAGAGGAAGCATCTCTTATTCAGTGGATTCTATCCATGACTGAGCGAGGCCAGTCACCCCGCATCACAACCGTACGAAATATGGCCAATTTGCTTCTTTCTGAACGAGAAATCAAGTCTGAATCCAAACCCCCTCCAACAGTGGGTGAATGCTGGGTACGAAACTTTGTTAATCGTCATGAGGAGTTAAAATCAACATTCTCTCGAAAGTATGATCACCAGCGAGCTCTATGTGAGAATCCTGAGATTATTCGTGGATGGTTTAATCTCGTACGAAACACCATTGCAAAGTATGGGATTGCACAGGAAGATACATACAACTTTGATGAGACTGGATTTCAGATGGGAGTTATTGGGACAGCCAGAGTAATTACTGGATCTGAGAGAGTTGATCGTCCGAATCTTATACAGCCTGGAGATCGGGAATGGGCCACTGTTATTGCAGGAGTTAATGCAACTGGTTGGGCTTTACGTACGATGATTATTCTAAAGGGAAAGATGCACCAATCCCATTGGTATGAGACTGAGAAGCTGCCACATGACTGGGTGATTGGAGTCAGTGAGAATGGATGGACAAATGATAAGCTGGGGTTGATCTGGCTTAAGGAGATATTTGACAAGGACACTCGATCTCGTACGAAGGGCAAATATCGACTCTTGATCCTTGATGGACATGGAAGTCATGCTTCAGCAGAGTTTGATCAATTCTGCTCTGAGAATGACATCATTGTTCTCTACATGCCATCTCATTCATCTCATCTTCTTCAGCCCTTGGATGTTAGCTGTTTCTCTCCTCTAAAGAAGGCATACAGACGACAGGTGGAGAAGCAAATGCAGCTTGGCATCAATCACATTGATAAGGAAGAGTTTTTGACTCTCTATCCAGCAGCTCATATGGAAGCCCTGAATGAGAACAACATCAAAAGTGGTTTTAAAGCTACAGGGTTAGTTCCGTACGATCCAGAGCAGGTTCTCTCACGCCTTAATACCCAGATGCATACACCCACCCCCCCAGGAACTTCTCATAGTTCTCAAGCCTCCTGGGCCACAGCCACACCACACAATGTACGACAAGTGGATCTCCAGGCCAAGAAGATTAAAGGATACATGCAACATCGTACACAGGGTTCATCCAGTCCAACCAATCGAGCTATGAATCAGCTGATCAAGGGGTGTCAAATGGCTATGTGTAGTGCTGCTATTTTAGCAAAGGAAAACAAGGAACTAAGAGCTGCAAATGAGAAGCAAAAGAGAAAGCGAGGGAAAGGTCGTACATATATAGCTCAGGAAGGGGTTTTAAGAGTTGAAGAAGGAATAGATCGCGTACGAAGTGTCAATGAACAGGAAAATGAGAAGGTTGAGGTTTCTGACTCTCAACCACGAAAACGAGCAGCACCATGGTGCAGTATATGTGGTACTATTGGACATACTGCTCGTAAGTGTGAAAGCTGATTTGTAAATGATTCTTAATATGATTAATCTATTTTTCTTATGTGATTGTTGTTCTATTTAGTTATAAACATGAAAAAGAGTGAAGAAGTGATCGGGAAGGGTATTTGATCGGGAAGGTTATTGATTACGTTAACTGTACTAGCTAACATAAGCACCTCGACATGGATTAGTCAACACCAGCCCTCATAGAAAATCTCTCCCCATTTTGCATTGAAATGACAGTGATGGTCATTATGGGCTGAGGAGTCCTTGGATATTCATGTACCGAGTTGGATTGTTTTATTTTTGATCTAACTAACTTATTAAACTTCCCAAAGAGGAACAAAAAGACGCATGTACGACAGAAAATTAAACTAGGTGGGCCCTGTGCCAGGAACAGTAAATAAAATCCCGAACCACAATCATTGTCTGATAGTCTTGAATATGTGACCAAAGACATACATCGAACGCTGCGGCCTCGAACCCCCAGTTGTTTACTACTATTGGTACCAAGCCATTGCGGTGCATTCCATGTCCAATCACCCGTTGAAGGACGCATCGGAGCATCTGCATGGTTGCAGATCGGTTCAAGGCAGGGAGCTGGACCGAGTGGTTTGTACATCTGCTGAAACGGAATCGTCAGTGGGCACTCCACAAGAGCTATACGAATCGATTGAGTATGGATAGATTTTCCAGCGGGAGTTTCATCACAATATACATAACTGCGAGCCGCCGATTCCCAAGCTGTTAACATACCAAGGGCTATTCACTTCTCTCCTCGGGTTTCCTTTCCTGTTTGCCCTGCCGTTTCTTTTTGGATTTCCGAGGTTTGGGGTAACTCTCGCACGTCGTTCGGGACGGCGGAGGGTATAGCTTCTCCTGTGTTTTTGTCAGCGAGGCGTCTTTCTGCGGCTGTAAATGACTCACGATATCTTTATCCGGCGGTGGAAAATGGCTGTTTAAACCATCGTCTTCGCTAAATTTAATTGTAAAGTACCGATTGTCTTCGTGGATGAGAAGGTAGACACCCCTACAACGACAGTCATCAAAATAACTACGCAGCATACGCCGCAGCGTCCCTTTCCGTCGATAACACATCTGGACGAGGCTATTGCGCTCGCTCCATGACTTTTTGACCTCCTTCGAGATTGATGGCTGCATCTTATGTCGCTGGAACACAATAGAAAATAAAGGCTCTGAGACATGACTGTTCTCACATACTGTATCCCTATGAGAAGAGCTTTCATTTTATAGCTACAGGTGAAGGTCCAGATAAAGGGTGGCCTTTGAGCCAAAGGAGCGTTTCAAAACGACACTTCTGTCAAAAGGTTATTTCGAGTGATCGGTCGTTTTGTTGCGGCGCTTGCAACGCCAGGCCACGATTTCAGATTGCAGGCCACGGTTTTGTGATCCAAAATTGTGGCTCTCTCATGTCACTGGTCTGAAACAACTGATGGTTGTAGAGTTGCATGCCCAACTTCTGTTACTGTGCATAAGGGAATGGTAAACCGAGAGAATACTAGATCTAGAGAACCCTAGAAAATGCTTGACCGAGAGAGTACTTGACCGGGAGAATGCTTGATCGGGAGAATGCTTGTCCGGTCACGAGGCGCCAAGGCCTTCTTATCTCAGATAGTAATACAAGAGAATGGCTTTGTGAAACACGGGGACTTGAGAACTCTCACTCAATCTATTCTGTAGAGAAAAAGGAGTTATGCATCCCTGTTATCTCAGTTCCTCACTGCCACTTCGCTTCGTAAAATTATAAGCTAACTCCTTTTGACTTCTGCCAAGTGCTGAGATCTTCTGGACCAATCATAATCTACATGGCTTAAACTAGTCTTAATTAGGAAGGAGGAAAATTTTCCTTCGCGAAGCGTCTGAGAAAGAACGGTCGCGCGTTGTTAGTAACCCCGGGTCATTTTGAAGGGATGGCCAACTTTGCTCCATGCGCCAACTCCATCCTTATCAATTGACACAATTCGGCATAGTAAGGGAGATTTGTCTATCAAAAAGCTATAGAACACACTATTTTTTATTATGATAGGAGCCCTTTTGAGGTACGAACAACCGTGTCAAAAATGGTCACTTCGTGTTTTTTCACCAGAATGTATACTGATTTTTCAAAAATAATCTATAGATTCTCAACCACATATCCTATCAGCAAGATAAACATACTCGGATGCTCAGAATTAAGCCTAGAATGTCCGACTACCAACAAATAACATTCTCTTGATGATACTACCTCTCAGTCAGACCATCTGGTTTCTGTGGCACAAAGTAGGGTTATACCTTACACAGTGAACCCCTGCAAACCTCTGCGACCTCCCATAGGCTTCTATGAGCTCCTGATAATATCTTCCAATTATTGAGAATCCTGTGAGATGGTTCGTGGCAAATCAGACCCCACACCGGACCGTCGGAAACGGCGAAGTCGACATCAAATACGGCACAGAAGGGCTGCACTGGCAGAGCCACAAGACATTGAAACAACATTATCACCTAGCGCTCTAGATGCTATATTAGTGATGGATATCCAAAGTATGCCTGAATTAATTGGGAAATACTCACATCCAGACCATGTTAAGCAGCAGTATGGTGTGATTGAGGCATGTCTGAAGCGGCTGCTAAGAGATGGAAAGCCAGAAAGTACCCTCTGTCCTCATCCAGAACAGGTCCGTACTGTACGGCGATTAATATATGGATATGGTGACACTCTGTTTATTGCGCGGACTGGGTTTGGCAAAAGCCTTATTCTTCATTCCTATTCAATATTAACAGGAAGGATAACCATCCAACTTGTTCCATTGACTGGACTTGGTGAGCAGCAACAACGGGATATTGCTGAATTCCCAGGGGCACGGCCTTGTATGATCACTGCAGACTCCAAGAGAGCTGAACACTCATGGTTGCAGTCCATTCAACGGGGGTTATATACCCATGTTCTTCTCAGCCCAGAGCAGGCTCTCTCCAAGGTCTTTAAGGGAGCCTTGATGAAGCCTGACTTCCAAGCACGGATTGGACTTGTGGCTATTGATGAATGCCATCTTATACATCAGTGGAAGAACTTCCGTACACAATTTGCTATGCTGGGACAGTTAAGGCTCTTACTTCGTGAGGATATTGTCTGGTTTGGCTGTACAGCAACAGCCAGCAGTGCATGTGAGAAAGATATCCTATTGAATGGTGGATTCCGAGCAATTGGTAACAAGCCTTGTGAGACTGAGATAATCCGAACATCTATCGATCGACCTGATGTTTTTATTAGCATCCATCCTATTCCTCGAGGTCAATATCACTCCTTCCACCTGTTATTTTTCCTTATTAAGGATGCAATTGATGTGGATAAAAAGCCTGTACCACAACAGATTCCAAAAACTATTATCTTTATTGATAATATCCACCAGGTTTTTATAGCCGCTGACTGTCTCCGTAATCTCCTTATTGGACTCACCAGTCATTTAACAACAGGTGGTTATTCTACTGCTGGAGAACTATCTGTAAACCAGATTGTTCAGGTCTATACCTCACGGGTAACTTCAGGCGATCAGCATTCTCGGTTTAAAGAATTCATGAGGCCTAACTCCAGCATACGGCTCATGATAGCCACTACCTCTTTGGGCATGGGTGTAAATGTGCCGGACGTGAAACGAACTGTTGCATGGAGATTCCCAGTAAGCATGGATATAGCAGATATATGGCAGCGAATGGGGCGAGGGGGGAGAGGAAAAGGACAGACCAGTCATGCCTTTCTATTTCTGAATAGTACCTTTTCAATGTCGGCAATTTGGCTCATTAACGTATTTCCGTGCACATAGCTATGGCATATTCCAAAGCTTGACAGAGTCTCTACCACTCGGCGCTTGACACCAGATCCATGTAGATAAGCCGAGAATAAAGCAGCAAAGAAGTTGGAGGTCTTTAACGTATGAGAATGACATATTATACTGAGGATAACAAAGATTCGCCGGTTGACAGTTAACTTGTTGGCATTCCACGTATAACTTTGCCGTCCAGATCGAAAATTAACAAGAACCTTTGATAGAAGCATGTACCAGATTGGTGCCTGTTCCTGCATGTCCTTAAATGCTGAGTTGAAGTCCATCGTATTAAGATCCAAATCTGGAGAGAACCTGCCAAAGTATGGTGTTTTGATAAGTTCTCTCAGCTCTTCCTTAAGTTGTTGCTGTACCATCTCATGATTCTGAAGAAGGTTTGTCCGTAATACTGCACGATGTAATGCATTCCGTCGCTTTACACCAGTTGCATATCGTGATGCAGAGAGAATGTATTTATCGCTGACCCAGGCAGATATGAGACCTTCAATTCCCCAGCGTCTTTCAGCCATAAATTGTGTGAAATCCTGCAACTTGCTGATAGTGCCACGGTTGCGACGAGGGCCTTGTTTTTGAACATAGTATCGGCGTTGGGAAGGACTGTTGTTGGACTCATTGTCTAATCCAGAAGATTCCTCAGTATCATCCACTGTCTCATAACCATCATTGATGTCTGATGAAGGAGGAGGTGATGATAACTCAGAAGAGTATGCGCCGGACGTGAGGTCAAAGAGGCCAAATGAGGAGGTATTTTCAACTGGAGTTTCCATGCTGGTATTAGGCTGTGATAACTTTTAGGATAGTACAAGTTGTAGATAATATATAAAAGAATTGAATGGTATGGTTTTCAGTCAGAAAACCTGTGTGGTTGATGTCGATGTATGCCTTCGCAGATAGAGGATGAATTTGTATGGTGGAGATTTTCAGTATCACCAGAGGGGCGACCGTTCTTTCTCAGACTCTCTACGAGATATTTTTTGTTGCTTACGTTGCTGTGTTCTCATTGGTGCAGAAGTTAGCAGGACTTGGCAGGTGATCAAAGAAGTTAGCAGGGCTTGGCAGGTATTCAAAGTAGTCTGTGGCTAGTTTGCAACGAAAATATCTTGAGAGAGGCTGAGGCACTGAGATAATACGCGAGAGCAATACAATATGTTGGGGGGCACGTGATAGGGTAGCCGTACCTAGTACCCACTAACAAAAGCAACGAGCAGCTGACAATACCTGGAAAAACATTTTTCCTAGACGATGTCCAAGTTGTTTAAGGGCGTGTTCGGTTGCACGTACAATGCCGTATAACTGTAATAGGCGCAATGGAGATATCTATATTAGCTATGTGGCGATAGAAGGGCACAGAACACGCCAGAATTAATGAGGATGGACATAGCACACGGCACCATAGGTGGCTTTAAGGTGTGGTGGTGGCAACAGTGCCCATTTATATAATGCTCGCTGATATCCGTAGATCTTAGGAGATCAGCGATTAGCTTTGAATAATAGAGATTACTACCTTTTAAATATCCTTTGTGCGTACTTCACACTACTTTCGGTTTACCCTCTGACTTCGAGAAATATTTCGATGCCCAGGCATGGGATACGAAGTTCGCATCCGCACCAGAGTCTACCAATGTCCACGCCATCGACCATCCTGCTTCTGTCAGCATCCACGTACTCATCGCCAATAACTGTTTATTTCGCAGCTTAGTTGTCTGTATTCCCAATGCAGCAGCTGCTCCTACGATTGGGATTGTTGGTTTTTTGCTTGTCGGACTTGGTCGCGCTTTTCAGGGTGTAACATCCAACAGTCGTTTGCGACATGCCCCTTCTTATGGCAGTGAGAGCACTCCTTCATCCAGTTATATTTATCCTTCTTGGTTTGTTCAGTTGCCTTCTCATTTCCTCTTATTTCGACGGTTGCTAGATCTATCAGGGCGGCGCTGATTTCCTACAAATGTCGCAGGTCTGCCTTTGCGAATGGCACGTCGTCGCTCTGACATAGTTTCCTCAATTGTCTGTAGACTTCGGAGCAATTCTTCGTAATTGCGAGGCTTATCATTGCGTCGATCAAGTTCCGTGCGTAGCACCTTTAGTGCCTTGCCACGCAAGTTGTTCATCCTTTGTTCCTCATTATATGGGGGTAAGTAATACTCCCAATCTTCGAGATATTTAGAGAAGTCATGTATCGACTGCCACTTCTGTTGCTTAGCATCCTGGAATCTCTGGCTCGCTAATCATTGTTGGTTCTGCGGATCGTTAATCTGTATCTCTAGGTGTGTTAACATGTCTTCAAATGTTAACAGTGTTGCTCCTTCGCGTCTCTCATATGATGACACAAAGTTCAACCATTTCTGCTTAACGTGAGCATCAAGGTAGAGTTTGGCGTCGTTTATCTTGCGTTCTTCCTTTCGATAGTATCGGCGGTGGCGTGCGAAGAGAGTCAACATGCGATCTTTATAATCCTTAAATTCTAACCTATTTTTTCCTCGATAGTAATCCTTAATCTCCAATCGCGGCGGCGTTTCGTTATCATCATCGATATCATCTGCGGGTCGATTTAGCGGCGGTTCTACGGCGACATCCCGGGTTGGTTGAGGCTTGATAAAAGTGTCTTCGCGTATCTGCGCTTCCAACTCGTTAAGGCGCTGCTGCGTGTGCAGAATAGCCAATTGTTGCTCTCATTCATGAATTTGGTCATTTAGTTGTTGCAGTCGGGTGTTATGATCGTTGGAGGTGATAGAGGATTCAGATTGGTTCTCAAGGGATCTTGCATGTGTTGAAACCATCTTGTGTGTTTTAACTAACATTGCGAATCTTGTTGTAGGGCGTGTGTAACAACGGACCACTCAGATAATGTTTAGAGCGATTAGAATTGTAAGAGATAGGTTATAGGAATAGTTATAAGAGTAGTGTGAAGTACGCACAAAGGATATTTAAAAGGTAGTAATCTCTATTATTCAAAGCTAATCGCTGATCTCCTAAGATCAACGGATATCAGCGAGCATTATATATATGGTCACTGTTGCCACCACCACGCCTTAAGGCCACCTATGGTGCTTTTCCTATGTCCATCCTCATTAATTCTGGCGTGTTCTGTGCCCTTCTATCGCCACATAGCTATTTCCTAATATAGATATCTCCATTGCGCCTAATTACAATAACCACTACCATAGTGTCGGAACTAGATAAAGTCCGAATATTGACCCAAATACTGAATATCAAAAGAATAATTGAATTTCTTCTATTAACTCCAGTAATTACATGATATCTAGGCAGTATTTATAAGAAAGAAGATGCTTGAACATATGATAGGGGCAGTGCTGATATCTTATCGGAACATCCATCCGGTTTCCGATATTGTCACAATAGAAGATCCTTGTTAATGTAATCAGTAGAATCTGAGATATGATATATCACTTCTGACACATAGGCAAGGGCAGAAAGCAACGAGCAGCTGACAATACCTGGAAAAACATTTTTCCTAGACGATGTCCAAGTTGTTTAAGGGCGTGTTCGGTTGCACGTACAAAGCCGTATCCTCTGGAAACCAGGCACAATTAGCGCGGTTTTTTTAGCGTGTACGATAGCGTATTAAAAACGCGAAAACTACTGGATTATATGAGAGATCGGCTGTATTAGAATGTTTTAATGTAATTTATGTAATCTATTCAATCTAGCCCTAATTAATATCATGAGAATGAAACTCCTGTCAACACTGGCTTTTCAGACAGAGAGGAATATTATTACATGCAGCACACCCATATCTTGATCTTGGAGCTTTACCTTTATTCTGCTCTACTCTCTTTCTTTTATACTGACACCAGGCACAAGTTCAAGATCCTGGCAGAGAAATTTGATGATGATTTAGATCTGAATTTGATTGAGTAGATGATAGAGAATTAGAGAACTCAAAGAGTTGAAGATAGAGCTGTTGATAGAACTGAGCATGAGATAGAGTAGTAGAGTCCGGAGCAGCAGGGCCCGGAGCAGCAAGGCCTGGAGCGGTAGTCAATTGATGAAAAATATAACCATTGACAATCACATAATCGATAATCCAGTATAGAATTGACAACCATGTGTGATTAGTGGGCATATGAGTCTCATAGAAAGCTCTATACTTATTTGTTAAATCAATCCTATTTATATTATGATTGTAGTCATTAATAATGATAGGAATCTCCATAGCTTGTTCATATTTATCATCAAATAAACATCATATCTGCAGGCCGTTAGTGGAATTGATCTCAAAACATTTTCAGATACATTCAATGAAGCTGTCTGACTTATAAACTGTAAACAGTAGTAATATCACATTATTGTTTTTTCATACAAGATAGAGAACTTCATTTTGAAAGATTATACACAGAGTATTGAAGGGAATATGATGTCACACCCTTGGTTGCGCCAAGGCCCCGTGACGGCTCCACACGGCCCATCGTTTCCCTCGGATAATCACATCTATCCCATGACATCACGCAGGTGTCCGAACCGGTTTCCAACCACCCTATGACATCATTCGGATGCAATAGAAGAGGATCCGATTGATGAGCTATGAGAATCCTGTTTCTATACGGGGTCTGGATTTCTTCTGGCAGATCAATGCAGCGCCACTGCGGAGTTGCTTCGGCTACCCTCGCTTATAGAGTGAGGGGAGGATGGCTGCCCGTTGTCTATATAGAATAGCTAGATGCTGGCTCTCTATTCCAGGAGCCAGCGATTCGTCTTTTATCTTTTGACAATAAGATACCAGAGTTACCACTGTCCTCATACAATATTCTTAGTGTGCCGAGTACCTCTGGTAGTTCAGTATTTGTATAGTATTCTACGAGTTCGCGGTTCAAGCGAGATAATCAAGCCCACCCATAAGGCTTCCCATTATATACCATCCTCCTCTGTGCCGCTGCCGAGTAGCAATCGCCTCGGCGCCGTCACATTACAAATGTGTATGGAATTCAATGCATTTGAAGCCCTGCCTGTCTGCCTGCCTGCCTGATTCTCATATATTCGCCCACCTATCCCCCTACCCGCGAATATGGAACCCCCCAAACCTCCGAATGTGGAATCCACTGAGAAACCTACTAAATCCAATGGTGAGTTCCTTATATTAATCAATTCAAATGACCTAGCTAACTAATTCATTCTCTAGTTCATACAAAAACATCAAGAAAATGAAAACAGCCTGTTGAGGAGGTTATTGCAGAACTTCCACCTTTAGAATCAGTGAAATTCCACTCAATACTGCCTACCTCACGAGATCCAATTCTCAATATTCCTGCAAATATCAATATTAGCAGTCCATACGCCCTGTTTATCTTATTCTTCTCTGAGGAATGCTTTCAAAATATCAGTAATTCTACTAATCTCTATGCAAAATTAACGAGAAATACTAGAGATACTGATGATGAAGCTCCAGAGCTTTCAGAAATGGAGGAGGATGAGGAAGCTCAAGATATAGATATAAAGATTTCTGAAATATCTATATTTTCAAAGCCTTCTATTCAGCAATGTTCATGGAAAAATACCAATCCAGCAGAGATAAAGGTCTTTATAAGCATTCTTCTCTATATGAAAGTTCATAAATCCCATCAAATTGATCTATACTGGCGGAATGATCTGAAACAAGGCTCTATTCATTCTGTTCAATCCTATATGACCCATACGCGTTTCGAACAGATTAAACGATATATCCATATATCTAACCCTCATGAGGCCCGCCGCCCGGAGGCCAAAAATAAGGATTGGTGGTATAAGGTAGAGCCATTAGCTACTAAGTTTCATATGGCATGCCGAAAATACTATACCCCTGGCTCTAAGATTTCCATTGATGAGATTATGGTTAAATGCTTCGGACGGAGTCAACATACATACAAGATGCCTAATAAACCAATTCCTCGAGGATATAAGATATTTGGCCTAGCAGAACATGGCTATTTATGATCTTTTTCCTGGTCTAGCCGCCGGCAGGGTATAATGCCTATGTTCCAATTCCCTATGTTAACAAAAACCGGATCTATGGTGGTGAATCTGGTGAAGCGGCTTCCTATGGTATCCACGCCGAATACGCCGAATACCATACCGAATGCCACCCCTAATATCGACCCTAATATCACCCATAATATTGGCCCTAATATCAACCCGAATATCACCCCCCTGAATGCTACGCCGAATGCCACACCTAATGAAATCTCTATCTCACAGCTGGTCACATCCTATTCAATTTATATGGATAACTACTTTACATCAGTTCCTTAATTCAAAGAACTACGTCAACAGGAGTATGGAGCATGTGGAACCACTCATTCAAACCAGGTTCCAGCAGCACTAGATGAGCTTTGAGAGCATTCAAATTCCATACTCTGAAATACTCTGCATGTCATTGAAAAAGAGAATGTTCTCTGTCTTGCCTGGCAAGATAATAATATGGTATTGGCACTAACTACGATTCATTCATTGGACGCAGTTATTGAATGTACTTGTAAATGCTCAGGGGAACTCTCAATCAATGTCAATATTGTTAGAAAAGTCTTTAAAGGTCAACCACAAAAGAAGCTGAAAATCCCATTGATTATAGATGATTATAATCATCATATGAATGGGGTAGACCTAGCAAATCAATACCAGGCAGCATATACTAGTCATAGAGTCACCTATCACACCTGGCTTCCTATTCTCTACTGGCTTATTGATTCCGCGGCTATTAATGCATACCGGCTTCAATATCTATATATGAAGCAGCAGGGGATTCCAGCGAAGGATCTTCCTTCTCATATAAGCTTTCATGAGAAGCTTTACCAGGAACTCTTTGAATTCACATCTAGAATTCATGATAATCTATCAAGGGAATGATCAAATTCTAATCTAAATCATCAATGGATTCCTCTTCCAAAGCAGCGTGTTTGTGCCTGGTGTCAATATAAACGAAAGATTGGCCAGCAGAAATATAAAAAGATAGAGAGATCAAATTCTGGCTGTTCAGAGTGTCAAAATACCCTCTTATGTTTGAAAACTCAATGTTGGGCGGAATTTCATAGTATATCCTAATATCTATTTACGCGGATCCTTAATTAGGGTTTATATATTACACTAATACCAATGAATACTCAAAAATACACTGATTATTCAATGATATCTCGTATAATATACACTAATGAAACCACGCTAATTTTGCACAAACCTACGGACGAGAGGATAGAACTTGATAACTTATTCTTAACTTGAGCATCTGAGTGCAATCATAAACATAGAGCACTCAGACCGACACAGATGAATCAATTTATAATGTAACAGACATACATCAATTAACAATCTAACATTATTCTAAATACAGATTACAAATTGATTAAGAAAAGAAAGAGAAAAGAGATCAGAAGAAAAGGTTGTATGAAGAGGGTTTTTATAAAGAGGAAATCAGAGCAGAAGAATATCAGAAGCTGCTCTGCAGTGAAGCACAGAGCAGAAGAACATTGAAGATTATGTGGAAGAATCATTACAATTATGTGAGTGCGGAGTATGAGGAACTACATGAGCACGGAGTGTGAGGAACTACCCGAGCGCGGAGCGTGAGGAACTACGCGGGCGTGAAGCGTGAGGCAGAAGGGGTTGGTTGCGTAAGTTAACCACTAACAAGTGCTAACCCGTCATAGATTGGGATGCGGATTGAAAGGCAGATTGAGAGACAGATTGAGCAGCAGATTCAATAGCAGATTCAACAGTGAATTCAACAGCAGATTCAATAGCAGATTCAACAGCAGATTCAACAGTGAATTGAGTGAATTGAGTGAATTGAGTGGATTGATGAAAAGCAATAGAAAACATCAACTGAGTTGAATCTTCTATTATTATTGGCGGTGCAGGCAATGTGGCAGGCACTATGGCAGGTGAGGAAGAGGTAGGCCATTGACTTGATGAAACTGAAACTTCTTCAAAGAGCCCCATATTATTTGAAGACTGACTGCCCAGCATTTTTCACAGCTCTATCATACAAAATAGGTGAGGTTGAATTGAATAAGAACAGTCTGCCTGTCATCACGGTGTGTATTTGATTATTACATTAAAACCGCGGTGATTTTAGGGTGGCAATCAAGGTTTGAAAAATCAACGCCGGCAGTACGCTAGTATCCACTTTTTGCGTGCAGGATATACGGCTTTGTATTCTGTACGTGCAACCGAACACGCCCTAATTTACGGTCCCTTTGACCATACAGAGTGCACGTGCCTTCGCTTCCCCAACCACACCCGTGTAGATGTGCTACCCCTGAACGTAGCCAGCGGGTGAACTATCAGTGCCCTTTAGTGTTTTCTACTTAAAAACCCAATACTGACTTTATATATTACTACGTGGTCTGGGGAAGATGGCTTTGAATGGGCCATACATTGTGAAGATTATCAGGAAAGTCCTTAGAGGTTATGTTCCATGAGATTAGGTTTGAAAGTCCAATGATATTAAAATCTTTAAACATGCACTAGTTACCAAATGATCAACAGCTTTTCAAACAGGATAATCTTGTGGACCCGCTCCTTCACGCTCTGGAATGTTTTCTAATAATCATTATTGTAGCGGCTCTTCGTGCATAGTTGTCCAACTGAGTTCCATGGCGCTATTCCTAAACTTTGAGGCGGAATTCCGACGGAGCAATTCCCTACAGCGCTCCAGGCTGATCTCGGCTTTTGAAAGTGTGCGTGCAGGTGATGGAGATCAGGTAATCGATCCGCGCAAGTCAAATGCCCTCTTAAGCTCATCATTCTCATATATTCGGTCTATTATGGCCCGCACTTGATTTTCTACCGTTTCCCGTTCATAGTACCGAAGATCCCACTCTGAGGAAATTGGGCTGATAAGTTGATGGACGTAGTCGAGCTGATGTAGGGAGGGGAAGAGCTTTTCTGTCAACTGTCTTGAGGTCAAAGAAGTTATGAGAGGAGCTGAGTGAATAGTTGCTAGTTACAGATGATAACACATGCTGAAATGAGGATGTCACATTGTTTTGATGGAGCCACAACCCTCCTTCCATAACTGCCACCAACTGGCTGGCTTTGAATCACAAAAAACAGGCTGACTGAAAAATTATTGATTTATTGTGTAGAAGTCACAAAATGGGGTAAAAGTTGTTCATCTGAATTTTTTACACAGTTTGATTAAGAGAAAAAGTGAAACCTGAAGATTCTGAAAGAGAGAATTATAAGTTTTTAATATTTTAACAAATTCATTAGAAATATATATAAAAAAGTAGAAATTTGCACTTTGATTTCAATGAATGATGATACTAAAGAGCATTTGAATGCACTTCTCTTTTCTCATTAATCAGATGACTGCTCTTTTATATATTTCTGATCATAGCAATCTCTTTATATGTGTATTTTTATAGTTTTCCTGGTCTGCAGCTCAAGCAGATTACATGGTTCTCTTGCATTGTGACTCAGTCTAATATCACTATGTTGATTAATAAACTTCAATTTAGATTTGAATTGCGACTGTATTTGATGAGTTTTGATCATTGATTTCATAAGTGCAATATATGAAAATAGAGTTCTGATATCTGTAAGAATTACTACACAGTCAAAGCCATTTAATTTATGAATATGCGATTTTGTATATTTTTTCAGCCTTTTTTGAATGTAGCCCACCTCTTCCTGACTAATCATCAACATTGACAGCATGCAAAGATAAGTATACATTGATGAGCTTTTAAATGAAAATAATAAAAAGTTTTTACAGTTTTCATTTTGAAATAAATGATTCTTCTTCATGTACAGAAAGCATCTACTTCAATTTCATTATATGATAAAAAAAAAAATGAAGAATATCTCCATCTTCTGCATCAGCAGATCATCACAAATTTTAAGAAATTTTTTAAGTGAATATTGAACTGACTATCTAAAACTTCTTCAGAAAAAGACTATATTATTATTATTCTTTCATTATAAATGTATGCAGTCAGTCACTATGACATCTCTCTAAAATACTCTAGAATTCTTCAACTTAAGAATAAGTTAATATACAAAGTTAATTTAATACATGCAATAACAGAATTCCAGCCCAGAATCAAACAATTATTCAAACTATTCAATTAAGAAAGAATGTCAAAAAATAACAGCAGATCAATACATTCAATTTAAAACAAATGAAATAAAGAGTATAAAAAACAATAGTTATTGAAAGAAAAGAAAGCATTCATAAATCAAACTTTTCAAAACAAGTCAAAATCAAAAATAATCAAAATGAAACAAATTTCAAAGTAAAAGTAACAAAATAAAAATAAAAACAAAAACAAAAACAAAAACAAAAACAAAAACAAAAACAAAAAAAGAAAAAAAAAAAGAAAACAAAAATTGAGTTTATTATCAGACCAAGCTATTCAATTGAAATCTTGTAGAAATATTTGATTCTTTTAAATATTCAAGTAAGAATTTATTTCCAGTTTTTATATTAAATAAAAGTTTTAAATTTAACTGCTTCAATTCAAACTTCTCTCTCAATCTCAATCTTAACTCTGTATGCTTTGTAAAAAGTAAAAGAAGATGCTCTGGATTTTTATATAACTGATAATTTGAATATAAATCACTCAAATCATTTGTAATCTTTATTAAATATAATTCAAAATAATTATATTCAAGTTTTAGCTGCATTATTGTAGCAAAAAGTTTCTTTTTACATTTTATTGAACAAGCTTTTCATTTTGACTTAGTTGCAAATCTGGAATAATGTACACTCTTTTTTTGTAAAAACCAGATATCTTGCCATTTTTGCAAATATGATTCTCTTATTTTTCTCTTAATAAAAGCTTATGTTATAATTCTTTAAAAGCAGACTTTTAATTCAGTTGCTTTTTTTTGCAGCTTTATCAGTCATTTCATTGCCATATATACCCATGTGAGCAGACACCCAGTGAAGATGAATAGAACAATTAAATGAGATTTTTCTTTGAATATTTTAAAGACTTTTCATAATCAGCTCTAACATTGACTGTTCACTGCTGATTTTATTACTTTGAAATCTTTTACGCTCAGCTTAATTATCAGAGAATATTCAAATATACTCAAATTTTTTCCATTGTTCAATCTTCATCTCAATCAATTTAAAAGCTTTTGAAATTGCAAATAATTCAGTATTAAAAACTTCTAACTCTTTCCCAATTTGCCAAGAATTAAGAATATAGTTTTTATCATTTTCTGAATATGCTATTCCAGCTCCAAGATTGTCTGTTTTCTTATATTTTTAATCATCAGTGTACTGTATATAAGAATTTTTTTGTTTCTCATTTATTTTATAAGATTTAGATATTGTTCAGTCTGAACTTCTTTTGAAAGTTGATTAATATTTAAATCAATAAGACTGACAAGATCTTTCTTTCAAAGAGACAGATTTTCAAAGACTACTTTCTCCATATTTAAAGTAGAGAAACTGTTTTTAATCATAGAGCAAATTCTAAATAACTGAGATGATATCTTCTTTTTTTACACAGATGTTGAATTATCAGATGAATTTATTTCATTTCAATTAAAATAAAACTTTCAATTTAGATCTACTTCAGTTGATTCACTTGGAAGAAAACTTGAAACTCTTTGTTTAATTGAATGATTGAGATATAACTTTATAATTCTGAGAATATAATTCATACAGATTTTATTAAATCTCACTTGTAGTGATGATAAAGAGGCTTCAATCTCCATGGCTTTAATTGAAGAGGTTTTAAATACCTTCAATATTTTTCTTAAAGCTGAATTTTGAAGCTTTTGAAATGTAATAGGCACAACGGAGATATCTATATTAGGAAACAGACACATGGCGATAGAAAGGCATGGAATAATTGTAGTATGGTGGCAATATTGTCTATATAATACTCGCTGATATTCGTAGATCTTAGGAGATCAGCAATTAGCTTTGAATAATAGAGATTGCTACCCTGTTAATATCCTTTGTGTGTACTTCACACTACTCTTATAATTACTCTTATAGCCCATCTCTTACATGAAACCTCTCTATAAAACTCTTTTAATTTTTCCATCATACTTGAAATGCAAAGTCTGAAACAGAGGTTATACAAGCAATATATAATTGTCTCATTGCTTGAAAAGACAAGCCTCTCTCAGTATTTGAAAGTTATAAAATACTGTTTAAGATTCTTTCAGCATTTGCAACTTTGATCTGAATATGAGATTTAAAATTTAACTGAGAATCTAATCAAACACCAAACCATCTAACTGAATTTTTTGATTTAACTGAATGATTTAAAAGTTTATCTTCACTTTTTTATCTTTGAAGTTTGAATAAAAGTGAATTAACTCAGTTTTATCCATGTCAAATATGATATTTTTTGATTTTACTTTTCAATCATTTCAGTTGCTACTTATTCAATCAAATTGCAGTTATTTACAATTGATTCTGAGCTTATAACTAAACCCAAATCATCTAGATAGCTTGGAGTTCTCACCATAATTGCCACTTGTCTATCAATAAACAGAAACTTGACAAATATAGCAAATAAAATGGGTGAGACTGGGGAACCCTGAGGAACTCCTATCTCAATATCTGTTATATCTTGTCTCATTCCATCAAAAAGCAACTGAATAGTTCTTTTTGACATGAAACAGATAACTCATTTAATGAGAGACTTTGGAATTCTCAGTCCTATCAAAGTTTTGATCATTTGAGAAAGTGAAACACAATCAAATACATCTTTTATATGAATAAACATTGCAGTTGTAACCATTTTTTCATTCTTTGCAAGTTGAATATCATGAATTACAGAGAGAACTGCATCAATTGCTGAGTTTTGCTTTTTACTTTCCATCTGATCATCATATAATAAATCAGTTGTAGTAGATAGAAAAGACAATCTAGTTGCAATTATCTTTTTCAAAATTTTTCCCAGACAATTCAGCAGAGATATCACTCTATAAGATTTAGAAATAATTGGTTTTCTATTGAGTTTCGACAGAATAACTCCAACAGCATGCCTCCAGCATGTAGGATGATACCCATATTTCAAAAGATTTGAGAACAATTCAAAGAGCTCATCTTTTAATACTGAATAAAGCTCTTGAATTATTAAATGATTTATAGTATCAGCTCCTGCTGCTGTGACCTTTGAAGATGAAAAATAGCTGTCTTTAATTCATCTTCAGTTAAGTCAGACCAAGGGTAAACCTAAGCTGCACAGCTATCAAGGCAAAAATATTGAAAAGATCTAACAAATGTAATATCTAGTGATTGGTGCTTCCTACGAAAACCTAGTAAAGGTTTTTTCCAATAATGCTTGGGGTTTTTGGAAAACCCGAAGTCGCGCGCCACAGCTCTTGACTGATTATGGCCATGTCCACTACGGAGTACTCCGAGTCAATCTCTTGTAGGATGGAGTTGAGTGGCGTGGAAATCTTCACAGGCTAGAGACAAAGTACGCTAAGAGGATCAGCAGCCGACTCCTGCAGGCCAAAGTCTAAATTCTGCACTGTTTTACTCCATACTGTGCACAGAGTACTGCGTGCATAGTACATAGACTTTGCTTGAACAGCGGTTGAAGACTGGGCAGACACCCAGGTATCTATCTCCAGCAATTCCAAGGGAGTGCTACGTGTGGCTAGGGGTTGGATCGCATAGGAATCTCACTCTTGATCGATGTTCAACAAAGATGTCAAATCCAGCCAATGGGAAGCACGGCGCAGCGCCAAGCCAATGTTTCAGTACCTCCGATTGGCCCACTCGTCGGCCACTCATGGCGAGGGAAAAATCAGACTACGTCCGCGAATTTTCCTCGTGGGGGTTAATATTTTTGTTTTCTTCTTTTCAAGCCCACTTCGACACCGCATTCTCTACTCCCCGCTTCTAATTGATGGGCTTCCCCTCCCTTTTTACATTCCCCTAATATTTCAATTGCTTCCTGGCTTCTGTCATCCCACTTTTTGTCTCTCTCGTGCTCCTTCCCACTGATGCTCCGCTAAACATTCCGCTGTTTGCTTACTGTCCCTCGCAGGGCTTCCGACCCCAACGATGCCGCTTCTCAATGCCGCTGGGGACACCAAGAGCTCTATTGTCCAGCCCAATGCTGTAAGGGGAGGATGGCTAACTGATTCTTCTGCCGCTCATCCTTCTGGTCCTGCTGCTCGCGGCGTCGTCGCATACACCCCGAATAGAGACCTGCCATCCATTGCTTCCCGAACCGCTTATTCTCTCAATGACGGTGCGATCCCCCCAGCGTCTCCTCCGAAGGTTGGTGCGGAGGGAAACGGGAGCAAGTGGTATGCCCTAGAGTTGGAAGATGGCACTGTCTACCAGGGCTACAGCTTTGGTGCGGACAAGAGCATTGCCGGCGAGTTGGTATTTCAAACCGGCATGGTGGGCTACCCAGAATCGATCACAGACCCTTCCTACCGTGGCCAGATCTTGATCATTACTTTTCCCCTGATAGGCAACTATGGTGTTCCCTCGCGTGAAACGGTCGATGAACTTCTCGGTAAACAACTACCCAAATATTTCGAGTCCAGTGAGATCCACGTCGCTGGCCTTGTGGTGGCAAACTACTCTGGAGAGGATTACTCCCATTATCTAGCTGAGTCGTCTCTCGGTCAATGGCTGAAAGATCAAGGAGTGCCTGCCATGCATGGCGTCGATACTCGCTCCCTCACCAAGAGAATTCGAGAGAATGGGAGCATGCTTGGCCGCATGCTTTTGCAGAAATCCGATGTCAGCGTTGAAACCTTGAACGGCGACGCACCGAGAAACGGCTTGGCAGCAGCAGCAGTTGATGACGAAGGAGGATCTGATCTTTGGAGAGCATCATTTGAGAGTATTGAATGGGCGGACCCTAATAAGAGGAACCTTGTTAACGATGGTGAGATTAACACGCTGCCAAACTGTGGCATAAGGCTTCGTCCTCTGACTTGGCTTTTGCTGCAGTGTCTATCAGGAATCCCCGTTTGTTTTCCCCGCCAACGGATTCAACGCTTTTTCACCCTTCTGGTCGCCCGATTAGAGTCCTGTGTGTTGACGTTGGTATGAAATACAACCAACTAAGGTGCCTTCTCTCTCGCGGCGTCGAAGTGCTGGTCGTCCCCTGGGATTACGATTTTCCCAGATTGGCCGGAAAGGAATATGACGGCCTGTTCCTTTCAAACGGCCCAGGTAATCCCGCTACGCTTTCAAAAACAGTGGAGAATATTAGAATTGCTACCGAGGACTCCCGGACTCCGATCTTTGGTATTTGTCTCGGACACCAATTACTTGCACGTGCTGCTGGTGCATCCACCATTAAGATGAAGTTTGGTAACCGCGGTGCAAATATCCCTTGTACCAGTCTTATATCTGGTCGCTGCTACATTACCTCTCAAAACCACGGATATGCAGTTGATTCCATGACTTTGGCAGAGGGCTGGGAGGAACTCTTCGTCAATGCTAATGATGGGAGCAATGAAGGCATCAGACACGTTACCCGCCCATTTTTTAGCGTCCAATTCCATCCGGAGAGCGCTCCAGGACCCCAGGACACAGAGTTCTTGTTCGATGTTTTCATCGATGCTATTAAGAGAAGCATGATATCGCCTAGTGCCCTAGCAGAGCCTGTTAGCTTCCCTGGCGCCACTGCCGAAGAGAATGAGCTTAGAAGCCCGAGAGTCAACGTTAGGAAAGTTTTAATCCTCGGTAGCGGTGGTCTCAGTATCGGACAAGCTGGAGAGTTTGACTATTCTGGAAGTCAAGCCATAAAGGCCTTGAAGGAAGAAGGAATTTACACCATCCTCATCAATCCTAATATCGCGACGATTCAAACTTCCAAGGGCCTGGCGGATAAGGTCTACTTCTTGCCTGTCAACGCGGACTTTGTCCGCAAGGTTATCAATCACGAACGGCCAGATGCCATCTACGTAACATTCGGCGGCCAAACTGCTCTCCAGGTTGGAATTCAACTCAAAGAGGAGTTCGAAAAACTTGGCATTCGTGTTCTCGGTACTCCGATAGACACTATCATCACCACAGAAGACCGTGAGCTCTTCGCGAGAAGCATGGAATCAATCGACGAGAAGTGCGCCAAATCCGCCTCTGCTTCCACACTCGAGGAAGCGATGGAGGTTGTAAAGGATATCGGATTCCCTGTCATTGTCCGTGCTGCATACGCTCTTGGTGGGCTTGGAAGCGGTTTCGCTGAGGATCCTGACCAACTGCGGGAGCTGTGCATGAAAGCCTTCGCTGCAAGCCCTCAGGTTCTCATTGAGAGGAGTATGAAAGGGTGGAAAGAGATTGAATACGAAGTGGTCCGCGATGCTCGTGATAACTGTATCACAGTGTGTAACATGGAGAATTTTGACCCACTTGGTATCCATACTGGTGATTCTATTGTCGTTGCCCCATCGCAAACTCTCTCCGATGAGGACTATAATATGCTTCGGACAACTGCTGTCAATGTCATCCGCCATTTGGGTGTGGTTGGTGAATGCAACATACAATATGCGTTGAACCCATTTTCAAGAGAATATTGCATCATTGAGGTCAATGCTCGACTATCAAGATCATCTGCACTCGCATCCAAAGCAACAGGCTATCCCCTCGCCTTCGTCGCAGCTAAACTTGGCCTGGGAATCCCACTGAACGAGATCTCGAACTCAGTCACCAAAGTCACCTGTGCTTGCTTCGAGCCTTCTCTTGATTATGTTGTCGTTAAGATTCCACGTTGGGATCTCAAGAAGTTCACCCGTGTCTCCACCCAGCTAGGGTCTTCCATGAAGAGTGTTGGAGAGGTCATGAGCATTGGACGGACTTTCGAAGAGGCCATACAGAAAGCCATCCGTTCTGTCGACTTCCACAATGTCGGATTCAATGAGACCAACGCGCTTATGTCTATTAAAGCTGAGCTCCAAACACCGTCCGATCAGCGACTGTTCGCGATCGCCAACGCTATGCATTCGGGGTACTCAGTCGACGATATCTGGGAATTGACAAAAATTGACAAGTGGTTCCTCCGTAAATTGAAAGGCCTCAGCGATTTTGGCAAATTTATGTCTGGCTACAATGCCACCACCGCACCCGTTTCTCTTATTCGACAGGCGAAGCAGCTCGGTTTTTCCGACCGCCAACTGTCAAAGTTCTTGAGCTCTAATGAGCTGGCTATCAGGCGGTTGAGAGTGGAAGCAGGTATTGTTCCGGTAGTTAAACAAATTGATACGGTTGCCGCTGAATTTCCAGCATTCACAAACTATTTATACCTGACATACAACGGTTCAGAACATGATGTGGACTTCAACGACCAAGGTGTTATGGTTCTTGGTTCTGGCGTCTACAGAATTGGCTCCTCTGTCGAATTTGATTGGTGTTCTGTGCGAACCATTCGAACTCTGCGAGAGCAAGGGTATAAGACAGTCATGGTCAATGTAAGTAACGGTGCGTCGCGTTCATCCACCTTTCAGAGTAACACCCTTTTATTGGACCAACCCGCCTTTCACCTCCCCTTTCCCCTTTTTTTCCACCTCGACAATTGTCTTTTCCCTCTTCTTCCCACGACTTCACACAATCTCCTAGATTCCCCAAAAGCTCCCCAAGATTCCCTAAAAAGCTCTCAAGATTTCCCGAAAACTTCTCAAGGTCCTCTGCTGCTCTGCCTCCACCAGTTTGGTTCCTGGTTGCTCTGGAGACAATTCGATTGCTATGGCTTCTCCTGTGTTCTCTGCTTCAACGGCATTAAAGCTCATCATGTCTGTTGTTTGGAAATGCCTCTGCTATGCCCGTCCACGCTTCAAACATCCTCTATTAGCAAGATTCTTCGATACCCAGGAAGAGTTGGAGGCAACTGCTGAGGGGATCTCTCTCTCCTTCGCCTCCGGCCTCTTTGATGTACTGTAAACCCCAAACCCCCTACGCTTTGAGTATTTTCAGTCTCTCACTCCCAACCCCCTCCTCTCCTGGGGAATCTACGCTATTACCATGGAGAATCCCTGAAAGCGCCCTCGACTTTACATTGGGTCTGCAACTTACATTGGCACCCCCGCTTAATTTGCGGTACGCAGTCGCCGTAAGAATTACAATGATGGCGTGGGTCTTCCCATTTTTGTCAATGCTGCCTTGGATGATCTTTCCTTTCCAACCAGGTATTGGCTGGAGAAGCATGACAAATCTGTAAAGCGTCTTCTTAAATTCAAGGAGCACCTCAACCCCTTTATTTGCAAACCATGCAACGTTGGCTTTCTCAATAAGAGCAACCTTACCCATCCTGAAAAAACCGATCGGCATCAGAGGAACCTCGAGAAGCAGATAGCTATCAGCAACCTTACGCTTGAAAATGTCGATTGTGTTCAAAATACCCCTGAAACCCCCAATTTGCCCCGTGAAAAGCGCAACTATTTTCAGATAACCCCTGTCAAGTCTAAAGAAAAGAACAGCTATCATCAAACAAACATTAAAGAGTACATTGCTAATTAGAATAACTGTCAAGTTTAACCCCGAGACGGTGAGCACTGATTATGATGAAGCGGATAGGTTGTATTTTGAGAACATCAACCTGGAAACCGTCCTGGATATCTACCAACTTGAATCTTCAAGCGGCGTTATCATATCAATGGGCGGACAGACACCGAACAACATTGCCCTTCCTTTATACCGGCTTAATGTAAATATCCTTGGCACATCTCCAGAGATGATTGATACGGCGGAAAATCGATACAAATTTTCGCGACTCCTTGACCATATTGATGTCGACCAGCCTGCTTGGAAAGAACTTACAAGTATAGAGGAGGCTACCGCATTCTGTGCGAAGGTCGGATACCCAGTGTTGGTGCGGCCTTCCTACGTGCTTTCAGGTGCTGCCATGAACACAGTTTATTCGTTGGACGATCTTGCAAACTATCTCAACCAGGCTGCTGAGGTCTCACGCGAGCACCCCGTGGTCATTACCAAATATATAGAGAGCGCCAAGGAAATTGAAATGGACGCGGTTGCGAGGAATGGTGTTTTAGTCGGTCATTTTATTTCAGAACATGTTGAGAATGCTGGTGTGCATTCCGGTGATGCTACTTTGATTCTTCCGCCCCAGGACCTGGACCCGGAAACCGTCAGACGGATCGAGGAGGCGACTCGCAAGATCGGCAATGCTCTAAATGTCACTGGACCTTTCAACATCCAGTTCATTGCCAAGGATAACGACATTAAAGTCATCGAGTGCAATGTGAGGGCATCTAGATCCTTCCCATTCGTTTCCAAGGTTATGGGCGTTGACTTGATCGAAATGGCAACGATGGCGATGATCGGCAAGCCCTTCACTGAGTATCCGCCTGTCACCATTCCCAAGAAATATGTCGGAGTCAAAGTTCCCCAGTTCTCATTCTCTCGCCTTTCTGGTGCCGACCCTGTGCTCGGCGTGGAGATGGCCTCCACTGGCGAAGTTGCATGCTTCGGTCGTGACAGATACGAGGCTTATCTCAAAGCTCTGATTTCAACTGGCTTCAAGCTCCCGAAGAAAAACGTCCTCTTCTCCATCGGCGCTTTCAAGGAGAAGGTTGAGATGTTGCCATCTATCAGAAAGCTGCACGCGCTTGGCTACAATCTTTTTGCGACAGCTGGTACTGCGGACTATCTCAAGGAGCATGGACTTCCCGTCAAGTACCTCGATGTTCTTGCGGGAGAGGAGGAGGACCTCAAGTCGGAATATTCTCTTACGCAACATTTGGCTAATAATTTGATTGATCTCTACATCAATCTTCCCTCCAGCAATAGGTTCCGACGGCCTGCAAACTACATGAGCAAGGGATATCGAACACGTCGAATGGCTGTCGACTACCAGACTCCGCTGGTTACCAACGTTAAAAACGCGAAGCTCCTGATTGAGGCGATTGCACGCCATTACTCTATGAACGTGATGAGCATCGATTGCCAAACAAGCTATCGAGCAGTTATTCTCCCCGGCCTCATCAACGTCGCAGCCTTCGTGCCGGGACTCGCTAACCCTGATTCTCCAGATTTCCAGGTGGTGACCAAGGCCTCCATCGCTAATGGTTTCAGCATGGTCCGCATCATGCCAGTGGGCGTTGATAGCTTCGTTACTGACTCCCAGGCACTCAGAACGGCCCAGCATAATTCGTCTAAGGGCTCGTACTGCGATTTCAATCTATCGGTCACGGCAACATCTACTAATTCAGAGAAAGTTGGCCTAATCACCAGCGAAGTCGGTTCGTTGTTTATCCCATTCAATCACCTAGCGGGCAACATCAACAAGGTTGCAACGGTTACTTCGCACTTTGCTTCGTGGCCGACCAACAAACCTATAATCACCGATGCCAAAGCAACAGATTTGGCGTCAATTTTACTCCTTGCCAGCCTCCACAATCGCAATATCCACGTCATGAGTGTTACTAGCAAAGAGGACATCGGCCTAATTGCACTTAGCAAGGAGAAGGGCCTGAAAGTGACATGCGATGTCGCGATCTACTCTCTTTTCCTGTCTACGGATGATTTCCCCGGTTGTGCCTGCCTACCTTCGAAGAAAGATCAAGAAGCGCTCTGGGAACACTTGGATTCTATCGACATATTTTCCATTGGCAGTCTTCCATACCAGGTTGCCGGCAAAAATGCCTCTCCCGCAGTTGGAATCCAAGACGCGCTTCCCCTCCTTTTCACAGCGGTTTCTGACAAGCGATTAACGGTTGAAGATATCACATCCAGACTCCACGATAACCCGAAGAGGGTTTTCGAACTCCATGACCAGCCAGATGCCTCCGTGGAGATTGAGTTTGACAGGCCATATGTGTTCCAAGGCCATGATGTCTGGTCGCCATTTGCTGGTACTACTCTGAAGGCATCTGTCCGACGAGTTACATTCCAAGGCAAGACGTCATGCTTGGATGGTAAAGTGATACCAGATGCACCGAGGGGCACTGATATGTCCGCTCACCGGTTAACGCCACCGCCTCAAGGATCGCCCGCTGTTAAGGATATTCTTTCCACATCTCCGCGGCCGGAAAGTGCTCTTGGGAGACGGTTGTCTTTCTCGGCCACACCACTCCAGCGCCCAACGAGATTCAAACCTAATGCTCCTGATGGATATGCTCCATCTGCTTCGGGAGATGAATTCGTGACTGTTGCTCCAATGTACCCATATCCGTCCCAGGTTTCCCCTTCGTTGCAACAGCTGCTTTCGCAATCGTCTTTTAAACAGAAACATATCCTATCTGTCGGTCAGTTCACTCGCACTGATCTACATCTCCTATTCACGGTTGCGCAGGAGATGCGACTAGGCGTCCAACGCCATGGCATTCTCGACATCTTGAAAGGCCGCGTCCTTACAACACTATTCTTCGAGCCCTCTACTCGTACATCCGCCTCGTTCGATGCCGCTATGCAACGACTAGGCGGCAGAACCATTCCAGTTTCCACCGAGCATTCTTCTACTCAGAAAGGCGAAACCCTCCAGGACACTGTCCGCACCTTGGGCTGTTACAGCGATGCAATCGTCCTTCGGCACCCAGATGACAGCAGTGCTGCCACCGCTGCCAAATTTTCCCCGGTCCCCATCATCAACGCCGGAAACGGAGCCGTGGAACACCCCACCCAAGCATTTCTCGATCTCTTCACCATCCGCGAGGAGCTCGGAACCGTCAATGACATCACAATCACTTTCACTGGTGATTTGAAATATGGCCGCACCGTGCACTCCCTCGTAAAGCTGCTCCAATTCTACGAAGTGCGCATCCAGCTCGTGTCTCCCAAGGCGCTTGCTATCCCGGAGGAGGTCCGCCAACAGCTCGTCTTATCCGGTCAGCTTATTCTCGAGTCGACGGAGCTTACACCGGAAATCATCGCACGGTCGGATGTGCTTTACTGTACGCGCGTGCAGAAAGAGCGCTTCAAGGACTCGAACGAATATGAGCAGTTGAAGAACGTGTTCGTCATCGATAACACGGTGCTTAAGCATGCGAAGAGCCAGATGATTGTTATGCACCCCCTGCCGCGCAACCAGGAGGTATGTGAGGAGGTTGATTTTGACCAGCGTGCGGCTTATTTCAGACAGGTGAGTTTCTATCCTGATTAGATATCCTCCCCCCCCCCTCCCCCCCCCCTCCCCCCCTCCTCAACCATTTTCCTGATCCTGCGCGTTTACTAACCCCTTGTGCCTTTGCTTTTACTGTTACAGATGAAATATGGGCTTTACTGCCGCATGGCATTACTCGCATTGGTCATGGCATCGTGATACGGGGTTCAAATGACCGTTTGGTTACAGGCTGGTTTTCATTCACTTTCCTAACTTATCTCCAAAGGGGAAATACCGGCCGAGATATAGTTGTTTACTTTTGTTTGTTGGCGAATTTGCCCAAAAAGTTTTTCTGTTATTATTTCCGTTTTCATTTGCTTTCTTTTTTCAGCGCGAAGACAACCTTAGCAATGCAGAGCAGACACTTGAATACGTAAATAGGAGTCGTAGATTGCCGTTATATGATTATGGTATGGTGTATTTTTGTTAAGTTACTTGGTTTTCTGCTAAGTTTCGTGGATTATGTTGCTCATGTATTTTACGATTTTTTCGCGACGTGTTTCTGTTCGATGGCACTTCTTTCTGCTTTCCTTCTTTAGTACCCACTTTCTTTCGCTGTGCTTCGTTTTCTTCCCCCTCTCCTGTGTTCGCTGTCTTTTCCTTTGGGATGCATTTGCCTGGCGCCTGTTGACATTTGTCTAGTGATTTCTTTGTGTTGATATGATTCGGTTGTTTCCTTGCAAAATAGATGTTAAGAGTGGTTAGAGCGCACATTTTTTGTATAGTAGTAACCCGCCATTCAAGCCTTGCGACCTGACAATGAAATAGTCTCCTTGATCCATGCGCATTGACAATATTGTTTTGTTTTCCTTTTCTTTTTCATGGGGGAACATTCCACTGCGGGTCCCAAGCTGTGGCCATATCACTTTTGACACTTACCAATCCCGTTTCGATCGGTGGGAGTAATAAAGGATTTTACTGTACAATCCACCTCGAGCTGATGTCACCATGACTATTGAGCTGCTGTATTAGCAATAACTATATCACCATATCTCATCCAGTCCAGGGTGAGAAGGCCTAGCAATGCTCGGTTCATTAAGCGCAGAGAATAGCCTTGCCATGAATGAAGCACGGATCCGTCTTGTGTGTATTCTAGCCGGGGGTTTCGTTCGTTTCTTTGCTCCATCCATTCCAAACCAGGAATACCTTTGTTATTGCTAATAAAGATAACTATCAAAGTAAGTGCCAAGCAATAGTTATTTAGGCAAAACATATCCTCTCAGATATATAGAATTGAAACTCTCTTGGTTGTCTTTCTAAGACGCCATCGATCTCTTTGTTGGCATTTCCAAACAGACCCATCTTAGCTACTTTTCTTTCCCCGCTGTCCCTCATGGCTGCGCCCACTGGGGACTTGCAAGGCTTAAGGTGTCGTTCACCGGCCTGGCATCAGCCACCCAACAGGCACACAACTGGCAGAGAACATCCCCCGTCGCGCAGCCAGTAGTCTGAGCGATTGTGCTTGATGCATGCATATGCAATCTGGCCAGGGACGCTCCACACTTGACTGGCTCCGGTGTCGACAAACATAAAGGATTTTGCCGCCATCCTGTTTCAGGTTTCTCCCTTCTGCGCAGCGAAATCCTTGGCCAAGCTAATCACATTCCGTTGCTGATCGTGCTGGAATATCAGTTGAAACTTTCGTGCCTGCACGACTATCGCCCAGGAACAGGCGACCATTCGCCGAATCTGCATGGTCGTGAGTTACAAACAGTACTGTGTGTTACAACGTGCGGAACTTGGTTCGTACGACTCTTGCTTGGTTATGCCCAGGTATTTCAAGCAGAACAAACCATTCAATATTGGAATTGCCCGTCTGTGACCTTCGCGGGGGCGCTACTCTGAAATACTCGCCCGGCGGTTTGTTGATGAGGATGAAAACAATGTCGCTTGAAACTCCTCAGTGCCACGGAGGGGGCAAAGTCTCGCAGAGGATTTCCCTGCGCGCTCCAACCCACAATTTTCATCCGATTTCCAAAAGGATTTATCCCTGTCCTGCCTTAGGCTTAGCCGGCTGAGGTAGCCTGCGATGAGATAAATATAGCTCGACCCCCTAAGCTTGTTTCTGTTGTAATCCTGATCCTTATTTTCCTCTGCCGTTGCGTAGATCTCTTTCTTTTTTCTGCTTCCTCTTCATCTGCCCACGGTCTTCTCTTTCATTTCTTCTTGCCATTCACATTACGTTATTCATATATCAAGGGCGCCTGGTGCTCTTCTTGATTTCCCTTCTCTTCATGAACTAGCTGTTTTATTTTCATTTTATTTTCTGAACGAGCACTCAGTAAATAAACCCATACGGTGCATACTTGGCGTCCCGCCCATCATGGCAAAACGAAGCACCCAGAATCGGCTTGTCAAGCTTGCAATCGCTGCCTCCTTGATTACCACGTCTTTCTCAACGCCTTTAGACCCCTCTAGACTTGGGCCTAGAGATGATCCAGCGAGCGTTCACACCACTCCGGCTAAGCAACTCACCCTTGACCCGAAGGCTTTTGGCGCCGCAATTGAAGGCACCTCCGTCAATAAGGCTGGTGATGTATTCGCCGTGGATTTTAGAGGGAAGGGCGCAACTACGACTTCTTCCTTCGGCTTCTTCCACCAGACCAACGGCGGAGTGGCCAACGTTGTCGGTCAAGACCCCATCGTTATTGCCAAAGGCGCAGAGGATACCTTCCTTGCAGGCTCACGATTTGTGAAGAAGGGAGAAAAAGTCCTTATAGCAGGTTAGTTCTTCTATTATTCTGTTATTTATTCCCTGTATTATCCAATTCTCGATATATAATTGTTTCTGGTTTCATTTCACCAATACGCGATTGTTTTTTTAGATGCGCAGAACAAGCGCGTTATGGCGGTAGACGTGGCATCCAAGAAAGCCTCCGTCTTTTGCGAAAATGCGAAGATGCTCCAACCAAATGACATTGCCCTCTCCACCAAACGAGATTGCTTGATCTTCCTTTCCGGTCAAAAGTACGTTGAGACAACCGTTGCCGGTGAGCATGGTGATCTGTGGACATGTGATGGCGACAAAGCAACCCAGTTTAGCCCTGAAATCCTCACAAAGGCGGGTGTTCATCGGACAAACGGCATCGAAGTGGACCCCAAGGGCGAATTCCTTTATCTCACTTCCGCTGCGAACGTCAAGGGCGTAGTTGGCAGCCTCAAAATCTTCAAGTTCGCCCTGGACAAGGCGAGTGGTGCACTCCTCGAACAGGATCCAGTGGTATTCCATGATCTCAGCCATGAGAAGGGTGCAGATCTCGATGGAATGCGCGCCGATGTTGATGGTAACTTGTACGTTTCTCTCAACGGTGTTGGCAAAGTTGCCAAACTTGACCCTAGCGGCAAGCTCCTGCAGTACATCACCACACCCGGTGTTAAGGGTCCTAGCAATCTGGAGCTCGGCGGGAAAGACGGCAAGACCCTGTTCGCTGTTGGCAGGTGTGACAATAAAGATCTGGCACCTGGCTGTGCTGCCTCCATCGATGTCGACAAACCTGGTAGAGCATTTACCTCGCTCAACGCCTGACTAGCCGACAATAGAGCATCTCAGTCCCTCTTCCCAGCCCCTCTGCTTTGCCTGCTCACTTTTTCTTTTAGCATTATGTTTGTTTTGGGGTGAGAGAGCTTTCCCCTTAGGTTCAATGTTCCTCGCTTATCATGTCCTTTCTTCGTTTTCGGAATGGCTTGTTTATTCATTTTTGTTATTGTTGTGGCTATGATCAGGAGTTTACACAGCATATGTTAGGATAAAATATCTTCGGTTCGTTAAAAGGCCTCTTCGAGGCAATTGCTGCCATTTCCTAAGGTTCATGAATTGTATAGAAATGTGGGCGGGCAGCTCTAGGGTACTATAAATTCAGTCAGTCAAAAATCAAGCTCAGATCAGTGAATGAACATTGCCCAGTTTTGGGCCTTAGTTTTAGCCGTTTGACCACATCTGCAGCCAGCCTTTCGGCTTGTAGTGTCGCCCAGCCGGGTGCAGCTACAGCGGCCTCTCTAACAATCGAATGCGCTTCTGTAATTGATCACCAAGTGCTCGAATCCCATTTGTATACGCCATCAGGAACCAATCAAGGTTCTAATTCCGAGTCACGTGCACGATATCTGACTGGGCAATGAAGTCACATTTCCCTACTTTTTTCCATGAGCAAAAGCCATTAGGTTTGGTGGGTGCTCGAATTTTGTGTGCAAACTCATGGCGGGCCCCATCTGGCCTGGTGCTGGGGGTGTGGCCATTTTCCGTCGCTTCAAGTTCTCTTCACATTCGCCGTACGATGTCAGTGGGACGAGAACGTCCATGAGATTGCAGAGCAGAAAGGCGGGACCAGAAGCGGATATATGCCACACGACATATCCCCCGGTTATAAAAGTTACCAATGCGACCTTCTACCGTGAATATCCCACCGCGGATTCAGTCAAGAAGGACAACGCTCCCCTGTACCCGAACCTGACCTTTTCGCTTAAGTCTTACAAAGTTCCGACGAAAGCTGGAGAGTATTCTTCCTTGGAGCATTGCGCCGTCATAGGCTCGTCGGCCAAGTCCAGTTTTCTTGACATTCTTCGTGGTCGATATATCTGCGTCCCACCAACTGCACGCTCATATCCGTACCTTTTATCTCCCGGAGCGCGTGCGGAAGTTTCTTCGTGCGATGCGGCTCATGCGATCCAGTATGTTGGGTTCAATGGTGACCAAAAACAAAGTGCTGGGGGGATCCGTGGTTCGTACATGAGCGCGAGGTATGAAAGTAGGCGCGAGGAGACGGATTTTACACTTCTGCAGTATTTAAAAGATCAGACTTCGCTCAATCCGCTGGTAAGGGAAAAGGAAGATCTGCGTGAGGGCGGAAGCATTAAGACTTCCGAAAGCGATGAGCATTTGAATCAAATCATTCGAGATTTCCAATTGCAGGAGCTTCTTAATATGCCCGTATCGAATTTGAGTAATGGGCAAACAAGGCGGGCGAGGATTGCGAAAGCCATTCTTATGAAACCAGAAGTCCTTCTTCTGGATGAGCCTTTTAGTGAGTACTTTTGTATTTATATCTCTGGAATATTTTTGAATGCACAGAACAAATTCTCATATACCCAGTGGGTCTGGATCGATCCGCTGTCCCGAATTTAAGCCGCCTGCTGTATCTGGCTACTTTAAATAGGGGTCTTCGTATGGTCCTAGCTTTAAGACCACAGGACCCAATTCCCCCATGGGTCTCTCAGATAATCCTCCTAGTCCCAGATAATACTGTTGCCCTTCAAGGCACCCGTGACGAGGTATTTCGATCCCTCGAGGTGTGGCAGGCCGTGGCCTCCCGGGAAGCCAAAACCACTTTCTCAACAACAATTGGCGAGGAGAATTCTCGAGTCTCATGGACGAGCTTGGCGCATTCAGGTCCGGTTGAATTGATGCCTCGCAGCAATGACGAGGAACGAAGGTACCAGCTACTGCCATTTCCTCAGCGAATGGAATATGACAAACTAGAGCAGCTACGTGAAAATGGCCGATTTGGTGACTATGCCAACATTCTACATGAAATGGGAAAGCTATATAAGCAACCTGAGAAAATAGAAAAAAAGGTAGCCCATTTGGGGGAACCAATCGTGGAGATGGATGGTGTTCGTGTCAAATATGGCGATAAGGTGGTATTAGGGGGCTGGACTCAAGTAATTGACAGTGGCATGACAAAGAAAGGGCTTTCCTGGAAGGTTCATCGAGGACAGCGATGGGGAGTGTTTGGCTCGAACGGCTCGGGAAAGACAACTCTCATCTCACTAATCACCTCAGACCATCCACAAACGTACTCGCAACCTGTCCAACTGTTTGGCCGCTCCCGTCTTCCCGAACCAGGAAAGCCTGGCATATCAATTTTCGATTTACAATCTCGCATTGGCCATTCGTCCCCGGAAATCCATGCCTTTTTCCCTCGCCACCTTCCCCTCCGCGCCACCATCGAATCAGCCTGGGCTGAGACCTTCCTCTCGAAGCCAAAAGTCACGCCTGAACGAATCATGGACATAGACTCAGCATTGCGATTTTTCGAAGCAGATCTAAACCCCAATTTCAGCCCATGCCACGATCCAATGCAAGCAACCACCGCTTGGGCCGATTCTTTCACCTTCTCCTCCCTAACTCCCGCCCAGCAGCGGGTCGCGCTCTTCCTGCGCGCCATCATCCATAAACCAGACTTAATCATCCTCGACGAAGCCTTCTCCAGCATGGGGTCCTCCCTACGCGACAAATGTCTCCACTTTCTTGAAGTAGGTGAGGACCAACACATGTCCAGCAGCGGCACCAGGAGAACACCTAACTACGCGAATGTGTGGCATTTGCCCCCACCACTGTCATCGACGGCGCCAAAACTACGCCACACTGGGATCTCCGATCATCAAGCGCTGATCGTCATCAGCCATGTGAAAGAGGAGGTTCCTGATATCGTGAGCCAGTGGATGCGCCTGCCGACGCCGGCTAGGACAACGGAGAAACCGTTCGTGTCCGACGAGGCAGCGGATCCGGTGATTGATTTTCAGATTGGTCAATTGGCTGCTCATGAATCCGTGGCAATGCATGCGTGGGAGATGATTTGGAATACATCGGCGGAGAAAAGGGGGGAATTCCAAGCAGGAGGAGTTGACAAAAAAGTGGGAGGATGCTGTGTGTGATAGGTCGAGTTGGCTGTTTCTGGCCTTATTAACTCTCATACGACTCCATTGTTAATGTTTTTGTCATGTATGCCGGTTAGGAGGGTAAATTATTTATATACAACAGGTGTACTTCGATGTCTTACGGAGCTGGGATCAAAAGACTAAATAGATCATAGAGACCGAATTTAGAAGAGTGAACTTGCAGTATACACGTACTTGAATATATGTCATGATCTCTGAGTCTCGGGACACGTTTTGATGGTTCGACCATATCTGGAGAAACAAGCTAGGTACAATAGAAACAGGAAATAAAATGGGATATCAAGGGAATAAGATATGAAATAGAGATATGATGCAGATGTAGGATAGGATTAGTCTAAGATGACTCGATTAATTGGAATTTCAAAAGGGACTACGTCTGTGGAGGAAAGTCCAGCTTTCGTCCCAATTTGGCGATGATTTGACATATGAACAAGCAGACTGTCCAATAAAAAAGGGGGAAAGGTATAAGGGAAATTAGAGGGCAGCAAAGGGCAACGCTTGATGAAAAAACGTAGCATCCTACGCCGAACGAAAACGGATATTATATGCAGACATGGCTGGTTGAGCTTTGATCGACATTGAGCTTTATCATTGACAAAAACATTAACCAGTCAAGAAGGTGATGGAATCTCCTGTCCCGTGCTTGTGGACATGTTCCCGGCTGTGCTTGTGGGTAGTCCCTTGCCAACTAAATCCTTGAAATCAACACCGACCTCCAACAACAGCGCGGCATGCTCATGGACTGTTTCCATGCAGCCCTGCCAAACGGAGCTTTCAGGTTCCACACTGCTCAATTGCCGGACAAGGATTGCGTTGAAGCTATCCAATTGCTCCTTGGCCCATTTTATGCATGCGCTCGTCATTGGCGCCTGAAAGCAGTGCTGGTAGATTCCGATAGTGTTTTTTATCAGCGTAAAGTAGACGTAGGATATTTGGAATATGTATAGGCGCAGGTCTCCTTCGAAGACGCACTGGCTATTTGCATGAGTTAGTTATAAGCGCACCCTTTTGTCTTTCGTGGCTGGAAATGGGGAAAGGGGAGGTATGGGATGGGATGGGATGGCGTAGGAGAAAAGGTGAGAGTTGGCAAAATACCGTGCGCGTTTTGTGATTACTTCCGTCCTGGTGTGTAAGAAGGCTTCGCGTGCCCTATCGTCGAAACCTAGGCGGGAAAGCCAGGATATGTTCGTCTTGGTTGCTGCAAGGAAGGAATGGGTGTCAACCAAGGCACGCAGGATCGTCTCTGCCAGTTTTAGAGCTCGTTCATCGATTTTTGACAAGATCATATCTTGGGCTATAAGGTTCCCTTTTATACTCTTCGCGAGCTTTCGCAGCTGCTCAACCCGCGACACCGCGTTGTCGAAACGTTGAAGGGCGGTATCAATATCAAGCTCGTCCAGCTGGCCTTCAACCCATCTCATATTTTGCTGCTTTCCATCCACATCAATGAGTACATCGAATTTGTCGCGGGAGCCGGTTCTATTATCGAAGATATGAGATCCTCTTGAAAGGGATAAGCTACTGTTCGGGGCGTCAGCAGTCTTAGAACTTGTTTCAGTTTCTGTCCGCATCAACTTCCGTAAATCCTCGAGCGCTTTGCGGAACGACATTAGGAGATCTGATTTCGCGGAGCCCTCCCGTTTATCGCTTCGATAGGTGAACGACTTCTGGCCACATCGGATATTGACAGCATTTGGGACTCCCCGGTCTTCGGCTTCTTGACTCATTCCATATGCGTCGAGATTAGTTGTAAGGTCAATCACGTCGATATCCTGCAACGGCCAACACTCTTCTGCAACAAGTTTAGTCGGGGCAGGGCCCTTCATATTCTGACTGTTTGGATCTACTCTTTTCCGTTTCTTCGCAGCCACAAGGAGATGATCGTTGAGGAGGACAAGATGGACGGGCCGTTTGGGCTTCCACGTTGCAGAATCAAGCTCAACCCATTGCCCACTTTCAAGTATGATATGGCGACCAGGGATCGCGGGCAGGAACTTCTGAGATCGCTCGACAGTCTTCCATAGCGCTTGGAGTTGGACATTCCACATAGTTTCAAGATTAGCAACAGAACTACGATTTGGATGTCGTTTAGCGATTGAAGCTTCGTCGAAGCTTGCAGCCATTCCATTGGAGCCATTAGTTGCGTTCGCCTGACCAAGGGCGGTAGTGAGTTCCGACATGAGACCTTGAAGCGTGTTCATCTCCCCCTTGAGTTTCTCGGCTTCCTTGCTGATCTTGATAAATTGGGTGCGATTCCTATAGACACTTTGTTGCAGATCCGTAGATGTTCTGTTCTTGAGTTTCCGCAGCTGGTTCTGATATTCTCTGATGTCTTCTTCAGAGGCATTCGCCAAGAGAGTCGTGACGTCTGGTTCCGGATGCGTTAGACACCAAAATTATCTCAAGAAAATAATAGAAGAATGTGTATGGGCTTTAAAGGAGAATATACACTTTTCCACTGCCAGATTGGGGTCTCTCAACGCATTGACCTCAACGCGGAGAGGTTGGCCGGGAATTTGAGATTCATTGCCAGCTGGTGCTTGGATACCAGATGGCAGACTGGGAACATCTGGGATATCGAAATTGAACTGCTGGTTGTATCGAGTGGAGTATCTCCGCTTGACGAGATCCGAGGTGGCACCGCTTAGCGGTGGTTTTCGAGGAGGGGAAGCATCTGTAACACCAGGTTTGCTCAAGGCCGCAGCACCTGGAGCAGCAGCAGCAGCAACAGTCGCAGCGGGAGGAGGCCAATTACTTTTACTTGTGGTCGAGCGAGGGTCAGAGATAGGCTGAGGAGCGCTGATCTGAGGCCGCCTGGATCCCTTACTCCGCAGAGTCAGCCCCCTTCCATCCATACTTCATATCAGTAATGGCGACCACGGCTGAAATCGAGCGGGCTATATTTCAATGTCTGCTTGTCGCAGTTGTCGCATGCCCGTATAGATCTGTAATTGTTGGTTTTTGTCATGTTTTGAATTGTTGTTGCAGCCGACTTGTTCGTTAATAAGCGGCGAACCAACTTTCGCTTAGTCATATTCACAGGCTCGAGCTCCCAAAAAAAACTTGCCGACTCAAGATTGAACGCGATTTCCAAGCAAGAAGGTGAAGAAACAGACGAAAACACCGCACTGGCGACATTGGAAGTACTTGTGGACAGCAGGCTATTCCTCATATAGCTATTGGCCCTATTGAACTGGTGGACACCTATTCTTGCGGTCAATTCGGGATTGTGATCACCATTCGGGCCTCTACCCAGTCTCTTCCCAGACCGGGTATATTGCAGTGAAAACACATCCCATTTTTCAAATATGAAGGCAACGACTATCGTTGCTGCCTCTGCAGGCACCATTCTGACCGGTTTCCTCGGTACGTGGACTATACATCCCGGTTTCCTATTGACCTTGTTTTCTGCGTCCTTACAGACACTAACTATGCTACCCTGACCCAGCATATGCAATCTACTTCGACTACAAGCGACATTCCGACGCTGAATTCCGACGGAATCTGAAAAGGGATAACCGACGACTAGCCAGAGCAGTCCGTGAGGAATCAGCGGCCCAAGGCGCGCGGCAAATAGCTGAGATTAAGGAGGCCGTCCTAGATGCAAAAACGGAAGGATTCCCCACTGACCCTGATGATAAGGAGAGATACTTCATGGGCCAGATTGCGAAGGGCGAACAATTAGCTGCGGATGGTATGTTCTATTTGATCTTGTGTCTGCAGGGAGCGAGGCTTTTATCAAATAAAATACAATTCAAATTGTCTTCACTAACGGGATCTTGGCGAATTTTAGGATCGAGTAACATCGAAGCAGCCCTTGCATTCTACAAAGCGCTCAAGGTGTACCCGCAACCAAAGGACCTGATCACCATATACGACACCACTGTTCCCAAGGACGTGCTGGAGATACTGGCTGAGATGGTGGGCCAGGATACCTCGTTGCAATTGGGCTCGTTTACCGGCGGAAGCTCGACAGGTAGCAGTAGCGGAGGAGCGGACCACCACGGGGTTGAATAAAGTGCCGGCAGATCGTCAGATTAGTCGCTAGTCGGCGAATCAAGGCATGGAATTGGTAACTTGGATGAACGACTGCAATTATAAATGCCGAACCAACAACGGTTACCACTTTTCCTCTTCTCTGCCTTTCCCCGCTTTGTATTTGTCCATTGATCCATATTTGCCACATTGATCTATATTCATGATGGGGGTTTTTTTAAATTTTTCTTTTTTTTTTTCTTTTTCTTTTCTTTTCTTTTCTTTTCTATTTTTTTTTTTTTTTTTTTTTTTTTTTTTGGAACTCATGACCTTTTCTCCTGTACTATTTATTTTATCGCTCCCCATGATTCCTCTCTCGTCCCATTGCATATTGTATATTGACTCTAGAATGTATGTATGTACCGTTCACTGTGTTCACCCTTTCCTCCACAACAATGGGCTCGGTGCACATGGTACAATTTGCATCTGGCGCAAATCGTTGAAGCGCAGGATTGATTTTCTTTTTCTTGTTGCAGAGGGGGTGTTCCATTTTTATATAATGGTATTTTCCCTACACTTTTAACAAATGGAGAAGAAGAGGGCTGTCAACTTGCTTTATATGACTGATTATTTTTGTAGATGCAAAGGAACATGGAGTCCTAAGAAATCTTCAATAGCAGAGACGTGAAACGTTCCGTGGGACCTGCTGCTGAGCGGCGGAATTGTTTATAGGTGTTTTAGAATATATTTTGATACTCTACCCTCGACTTGAAACGGAGAGGGGCGTCTCAACCTGGTTTTGAGAGCGTTTGACCCGAGCAGACTCCGCTAAAACGTGGGCCCAACCAAGAATGGCTCGTTCTTGGACGAGGAACCATGATGAGGGTTGGAGCTTGGGATATTATTGCATGAAGAATGTCTCTGGAGCATTCAAGTCGCTCTCCGCTTTTTTCTTAGCCTCATGTTTCCTCAGTCTCTCCTTTTTCTTTTCTTTTCTTATTGTTATGTCTTTTCTTTCTTTCTTTCTTACTTTCTTCAGCATCGCTTCATCTTCAGTCTCTCTCTGTCTCTCTTTCTCTCTCACCCTTTGTCTCTCGTTCTATCAAATTACCAATAGGCCCCTCTTGACATTACCCACAACGTCGTCAATCGTCGGTTTCCCCTGGTCCCAGAATGACTCTCGTATGTACTTGATTGATTGACTGGCTGACTGATTGACTGATTGATTGATTGCTTGCTGTAAATTCCACTCTTCTCCATCGTTGTCGGCTAAACAAGTTTCCACCCCTACAGATTCGCGTTGTAACGGCGCTCCTTGTCCTACTTGCCCCCGCAGTCGTTGCTGTTGCGCCCGGCGTGATCCAGGCTCAACAGTTCGTCAACAGTCATTCTCAGAAACGATTACTGGTCCTCGGTGTCGAGTAGGTTGCTTGTCATTAACTACCGTCTATCTACTTCTCAACAGCCACTGACGGCGATGCACTGCCAGCTACCAGCCGGGAGGAGCCGCTGCTTACAATCCGGAAAACGGACGAGATCCCCTCAGCGACGGCGATGCTTGCTTGCGCGATGCTGCTATCCTCCAAATGCTAGGCGTATGTCCTACTTAGAATGGTCTTTCTCCTCTTTTTTGGAAGCTTTACCAACACAACACAGGCAAACACTATTCGGGTCTACACTGTCAACCCCGCGACCAATCATGATCTTTGCATGTCCATCTTCAATGCCGCTGGTCTCTATGTGATCCTCGATGTCAACTCGGCCCTTCCCGACGAAAACTTGAACCGCGCTGATCCCAAATCCTCCTATCACCGACAATACTTGGAACGTGTCTTCACTGTCATTGAGGCCTTCAAATACTATCCCAACACTCTGGCTTTCTTCGCGGGGAATGAAGTCATCAATGAAGATGCGGTGATCAACGTTGGTATTTACCTTCGGGTAAGTGGATTGCACCCGCTGTTCCCATAGTTCCATGTGGAAACTTTGTGTGCGCTGTAGTGTGCTGATTCGATTTTTCAGGCTATCATACGTGATATGAAGCAGTACATTTATCTCAATTCTGATCGCAAAATCCCTGTTGGCTATTCTGCTGCCGATATTCGTCCCATTCTAGAGGATACCGGGAATTACCTGTCCTGTGAAATTGCAGACTCACCTGGATCCGGAATCGACTTCTTGGGCCTCAACTCCTACTCCTGGTGTGGCGACGCCTCTTACACCAGCAGCGGCTATGACAAGCTCGTCGCACTGTTCTCGGGGGCTTCCTTCCCCGTCTTCTTCTCCGAGTATGGCTGCAACGCAGTCAAGCCGCGCAAGTTCACCGAGGTCGGCGCTATTTACGGAGAGCAAATGACCCAGGCTTTGGACGGTGGTCTTGTTTACGAATTTTCCCAGGAGGCAAACGATTATGGCCTCGTCCAATTGAACGATGACAACTCCGCCACCCTCCTCACTGACTATGATAACCTACTGAAGCAATATAGGAAACTCAATATCACTCTCCTTGAATCCCTTGACCCGGCCACTACCAACATTAAGCCGGCCAGGTGTTCCTCCGATCTCATTAAAGACTCAAAATATTTCGAAAATAATTTCAAGCTTCCAGATCCACCTGACGGCGTCCCCGAAATGATCAAGAATGGCATCCCAAACCCTCCCATGGGCAAGCTTGTCAACATCACAGATACCAAGCCGAAATACGGTGTGCTTGATTCTAACGGCCATGTGTTAAGTCTGGAGATAAAGATTCTCAACGACTTCCAATCCAACGTTCCCGGGCAGAATATCTCTGGCGTACCAGGTCCTACCGCGGATAATAATACAAAGAAGGCTGCTGCCAACTCCGTGACCAGCTTCAATACACTGTCGCTTGTTGCTCTTCTGACTGGATTGACTCTGCTCATAATATAGAGAAATCTCCAAACGCATCACTTAAACTGTTCCCACTTTCTCCCTACCTTTCCCGTATTTGACCTTCACTGTCGCGTATGTCTTTGATTTAATCCTATGATATCGAAACTCGGGACAGTGGCCGTGCTTTATGCCAGCTGATGAAAGGTGCTTCCCGTCTAGCGTTTGCTAAAAATAAACGACGGCAAACTACACAAAACATCGCATCGTGTTTAACCCATTCTGCCGTACGACGCAGGCCTGAAATGATAATTTCGCGTTATAAGAATGGGCATCTTATGCTCTTATGATGATATACATCAATTTGAGTCTTATCACTTTGCTGCTTCATGGATGAGATATTTAGTCCCCATATATTATCCCATACCTAAATGGTTTTCATTTGTGGAATATGCGTTGACGGCTTCCCACATATTATATATACCGTGGAACAGGACACAAAATGCAGGATCGAACTGAGCGTGAAGGTATCCTATAGTTACACTCATTTAGTATTTCATTGTTTCTTTGAGGTTCCATTGACTCGTCGTATGCCCCTGGTATTGATATGCAAGGGACAGGGATCAAATCTTCTCGCAAGTTAGAAAGATTAAATGGTGTATAAGTTTAAAAAAAACGGAGGAAGAGATTTGAGTCAAAAGGAGAGAAAAGTAAGAAGCGTAATTGAGCAACGGCAAAACTAGGTTTTCAATGCAAGGTTCTTTTTAAATCACAAAACCAGCGTGGAGTTCTCTGAGATATCGAATTGGGGAGATAAAAAAAATTTGAAATTAGCTGATCTCGAGTAATCGAAGAATAAAAGAGGTACACAACTAAGACAGACAATAATACATAACGAAACACAAAGCCAAACACAGCACAGCACATAACTAGGAAGAAACGAAAATCGTGGCCAGAGAGAAGCACAAATCTAACTATGCTCTCACTGGGTTATGCCCGCGCTTTCCCCTTCCCCTTCCCCTTCTCAAAACTAGGCGATGATCCTCCGCCAAACATGGGGAAGTCATCCTCATCCTCCACGCTCCTAATAGAAGGCTCGCTATCGTCTGCTCTCCGACTCGCTTCTTCCACCAGACTAAGATGCAGCGCAAATTCCAGCTCTTCAGCTTCCTGTTTCACACTGCACTCTGCATCCTTTGTCATGCTCCCTCCGGACACATCTTCCAATTTGAACGGAAAGTCAGATGCAGATGGGGAAGACGCCTGGTCAAGAAGGCTGAGGCGGAGGGCCTCCGCGATGTCAGGATCATGCTCCTCAGTGACGGTGTCGAAAACGGAGGACGAGGAGGTTGCAAGGCTGGCGGGTGTATGTGTGAGTACTGACGGGCGGAGCATCGCATTCCCATTAGGGGAAATAGTTCCACCTGAAGAACTATCTCCAATGCTACTGTCACTTTCACTCCTTTTGCGTTCGTCGCTTGTATACGATTCCTCGCTTAACAGTTGCGCGTAGGCAAGAAGTTCCTCTTCGCTAGCATCGGACCCAAGAAGATCTACTCCGAAACGGCCACTGAGAAATTCTCTTTTCTTTTGATCAGCTTTCTCTTGTCGCTCCAGCTCGTATCTTTCGTTTGCAATGTAGTCTTGCAACGCTCCTCGACCACTACTGGTGAACCGCTGGGAAATAGGAGAGCTGTTATTTCCTCGGTGGGAACGACGTAGTCGACGCTTGTTACTTTTGTATTGATCAACTGAAGATGAGCTATACGACCAGTACCGAAGATGGCTGCCAAGGGACACAATGCCTCTGAGAACTGTTGGATCGGGGTCTAGGCAAATAGCCCCAGCTGCGAAATAATTCTGACCAACCCCCACAGCGGATGCCTCGGCTTGGACAAGACGACGGCGAGCTCTCGATGAAAAGCGAGAGTGAAGTGTCCGAATGGGCTGCATAGACGATGCGAGCGGATCCCACGCCTGAACTAGTCCATCACTCCCGCCATGTACAAGGTAGAGAGACGTCAAAGCGACACAGGACATCTGTGGGGAATCTGTAGAAATAATTCGAAGTGGTGATATTTTGTTTATAATATCCGGCGTCTGCGAAACGGGTGCTCTTATATCCCAAACATAAACCGAACCTGTGGTGGTCCCAACTGCCATGTAAGAAGCTCGCTGTCCCGGAATATCAGCAGAAGACAATACTTGTTGGCTCATCGAAGATAAGGGAGAAGACAATTGAGACGATGTAGCAGAGCCTCCATTCATGCTAATTAATGGGTCTTCTGACGTAGTCAACTGGGAAAATGTCGATGTATCTAAGGCACTGGCAGAGATTCGAGGTGGTTTTTGCTCTTCGAAAACGAAATCAGATATTCGCCATTCAATAGCAACAGAAGAATCCATTTCTGCTCGCCGCTCGGAATTTCGCGACGGAGGAGTGGACGACAATGCTGAACCTGAGCCAAGGGGCCGGCCAAAAATCGACTGGCTTGTAGGTGCCGATATCGAAGGGTAGATGTCAGAAGTCTGAGGAAAGGAAACATGAACTTTCAGTCGCGTGAATCTTCGAATCGAACTTGTCTGGTGTTCTCCAAAACCGCAATTAATGACGATAACAGACTCTCCCGAATCATGGTGATTGTAACCAGCGAAATCAACCTCCAGCTTTCGTCTCATATCCCAACCGTCAAAAACGTTCCGAAAATGTTTTGGCTTAAAGGTAAGGAATTTCTCTATCTCTATTGTTTCTGCAAAAATCTGCTCTGCGGTAAGGCTCATGGAGTTAGAGGAAGATCTTGGGCTGTAGCTTCCATCCACCAAGAGCCTATTAAATGGGTCGGGCCGAGCAATTCGCCGGGTCGCTTCTATTAGTTCCCAGCGCACAGTTCTCCCGGTCTCCCAAGCAATCCGGTTGAGTTCCTGAACGCTATGTTTGGCCGTCAAAATAGGTTGATGAGGAATATCCGTTAGGTAGAACACTTCTCCAAGCGCGTTCAAGACAATAGCCCAAATGCGTTGATGAGAACGACGCTTAGCAGAGTAATTTTCATCAACTTTAATCGCAATTATAGGAATTCCTGGACATAGGGCCCAATTGGCGGTTACCTGACCAGGTTCAAAACGTTGATCGTATGAAGGTTTAGGTCCCAATGCGTATGCGGTAAGAATGCCCAATGACGAGCCACAGAGAATGCCACATAGACCCTTAGTCATTTCGAGGATCTGAGGAGATTTGGCTATCCAGACAGAGCTGATTGCAGTTCCAATTGTGCTAACGCCGGGAATACCAAGATGAGGCTGAGAGGTGGTACCCGCTCCAGACAAAAAACGACCACGATTTTCACTTGAAGATAAATAATAGGCTCTCCCTTGAGGACAAGCTTCTCCATAAACCATGCCGTAGAGTTGGCTCACATCCATAACATTGGACATGCCTACCATATTGCCTGGACCTAGGCCCCACTCAGCCTCGCCAGGAAAGATATCTGAAAAATGTTTGAACATCTGGGGAAAAGATAAACCCCAGGAACCAGTGCCAGTTTTTCTGGAATTAGGATCACTCATCGAAGCAACTCCCTGTTCGGCAGCCCCATGGATAAACAGAGGGGGCTTGTTGTTCAATGGCGACCCGAACGTCCCGTCCATATGGGTAATAGGGTAAACGCACATTGAGTTGTACGTGAATACAGCGCTCGCAGTATGCGCAGATGGATGTCTGATGGTGGAGCCGTGGAACAGAGCGGCGTTGAATTCTGCTGGCCTGCCTCGGGAGAGAGCCCGGAGCAATCTGGTTCGCAAAATGTATTCATTTCGCCAAGATGTCAGTGCTGTCAATCTGGAAAATGTGCGCCTTTGCGCCAGGATAAGTTCGTAGTCTTCCGTGTGGATATCTTGCCTCAGACTTGCCGGTCCATGGAAATGGCGGGAGAATGCGATTCTCCAAGCATGAGGAGTAGTCACAAGGTTGTAAAATCGGCGGCTAACAAGACTAATTGACGATAGCGACGAAGGCGGAAGGTGAGACAAGATGTGTGTCAAAACCTCTGCATATAATAAATTAGTATCACGCTATGTTGGTTCGCCTAATCTCAGTGAATGGATTGTGCACACCATTGGGAAGCTCCTCGAGAGGTTGGCGAGAGAGCCCATCGATACTCGAGGCTGTGATTTTGAACCCAAAATTTTTAACTTTCCCTGGCGAAGGAGTTAACGCGCCTTCGTGGTCACCGTTGCAATCCACAGAAAACATGGACTTCAGAGACTGGGCAGGACTCAGTTCTCGCGCAAGCGGGTCGAGTGTTGACAGCGGTGGTGAGACCTCATCAGGAGGGTTTTCAGGGGAGGCATTGAGAACTCCGTCCCTACTACTCTCCGGAGAGAGATAGCATGGGACGTTCTCATGCTGCTGCTGCTGAAGTCCATGTTGGGTAGAGGTGACTGGGCACTCGGGAAACTGGGTATCGGGGGTCGTGGAATGAGACGCTTGGAAGGGCCCTGGGTGCATAAAATGTCGGAAAGAAAAAAGGAGAAAGTAAATGACTGAGCCAGAGAGCTTCCGGGTCAGTCTGGATCAATGCGTGTGAGAAAGTATACCTTCAAAGTGTGTTCAAATACTGCCGCTGATCAACTTGACGTCGAGTCCGAAGTAGGAAATGAAAAAGGGGGAAAAACCCAAGCGATGCGGCTCTGTTAGCGACCAAAGTGAGCGTGATATTCATGTCACATGACCATACATCAGTCGACACGAACGAATTCTTCGACACGGTGAGCAACGACGAGAAGGCAGAATATCTAAGTCAAAAATGCACTCCGTTGCCTCTAGTTTGCATCTCAAGGATATTGATGCATTTTTTAGCCATTGTGTATCTTAATCCTCACGCCCGGTATGACCTCATGAATTGAAATCTTGCAGCCATAATCCCGTTTACGCATATGAGCGTAACTGAGAGGCTTACACATTCATAATATTCTACTTGCGAGAGGCCCAATAGACCACCAATTTATTGATATTACATTTTTTTTTCTTACAATGCCATCCCCCACAGGTAAAGACATCCGTTCGGATAGTGAAATCCCTTCTCAATATTGTCACAACTGGAGAGCTAACAGAAATTCACACACTAGAGGCAGATACTATTCGTATCCTAGTTTCAACAGACAATCATGTTGGGTACAATGAGCGCGACCCAGTTCGCGGGGATGACAGCTGGAGAAGCTTCCATGAAGTAATGTGTCTGGCCAAAGAGCGGGACGTAGATATGGTTCTCCTGGCCGGCGATTTGTTCCACGAGAACAAACCATCCAGAAAGTCCATGTATCAGGTCATGCGGTCTCTGCGGATGAACTGTTTTGGTGACAAGCCGTGCGAACTGGAAATGCTGAGCGATGCAAGCGAGAATTTCCAGGGGGCATTTAACCATGTCAACTACGAAGACATGGATATCAATGTTGCTATCCCAGTTTTTTCGATACATGGCAATCATGATGATCCCTCTGGTGAAGGCCATTTGGCTGCACTCGATATACTACAAGTCTCCGGTCTAGTTAATTACTACGGTCGTACTCCAGAGTCAGATAATATCCAAGTGAAGCCAGTGCTCCTTCAAAAGGGCCGAACGAAGTTGGCTCTCTACGGTATGAGTAACGTACGAGATGAGCGTCTTTTTAGAACTTTTCGAGACGGGAAAGTGAAATTTTTTCGGCCATCGCTTCAGAAATCAGACTGGTTCAACCTAATGAGCGTGCACCAAAACCATCACGCACATACGGAAACGGGTTATCTTCCCGAAAACTTCTTGCCCGATTTTCTTGACCTTGTTATCTGGGGTCATGAGCACGAGTGTATTATCGAGCCCCGTTTAAACCCAGAAACAAATTTCCATGTTATGCAACCAGGTTCTTCAGTGGCCACGTCGCTAGTTCCCGGAGAGGCAATCCCCAAACAAGTCGCGATTCTCAGTATTACAGGCCGTGAATTCAAGACTGATCCAATTCGACTCAAGACCGTCCGGCCTTTTGTTACGAGAGAAATCGTCCTCCATGAAGAAAAAGAGGCACAGAGATTGGCAAAGAAGGAGAATAACCGAACAGAACTGACCCGTTTTCTTATGAGCATCGTCGAAGAGCTAATTGAGGAAGCGAAGAATGATTGGATTGAGGCACAAGAGGAAGTGGATCATGAGGAACTCGAAATCCCACTACCTCTAGTTCGTTTGAGAGTGGAGGTTTCAACTCCCGGTGGAGGCAGCTTTGATTGCGAAAACCCTCAACGGTTTTCTAATAGGTTCGTTGGCAAAGTTGCCAATGTCAATGATGTTGTCCAATTTTATCGAAAGAAGAAAGCCGTCACAGCGCTGCGTCGCGGTGAAACAGAGGCACCGGACGAAGCGGCTATTTCGCACCTCTCCTCGTTGGATACAGTCAAAGTAGAAAAGCTTGTTCGGGAGTTCCTAGCTGCTCAGTCTCTTACCATATTACCCCAAAACTCATTTGGAGATGCCGTCTCCCAGTTTGTTGACAAGGACGACAAACATGCGATGGAAATGTTTGTAAATGAGTCGCTGGAGAGCCAAATAAAACATCTCCTGGCACTCGACCGGGAACAAGATGATGACGAAATAGATTACGGGGACGGAGAAGGACAGAGCGTCATTCAAGCTGCGATGGATAAATACCGAGCGCAGCTGGAGGACATGTTTGCCAAAGGCATCCAGCGACGTACTCGCGGACAGAGAAAATTCAAGCCGAAGCCCAGTGGTTGGGACAGTGAGTTTGATGGCCCTTGGGAAGACCAACCTGGTGCTCTAATCATCTCGGATAATGAAGCCGATGAAGATGTGGATGAGAACGCTCCTCCCCGGAGAGGGGCTGCAACCTCCACGGGACGAGGCAGAGGTCGAGGAGGCAGCACCTCAAGGGGATCTGCATCGCGAGCTACAAATACGCGCAAAAAAGCTTCCCCCGCTCCCCCTCCCGCTCCCCCTCCCGCTCCCAGCACCAAAACTCGCACCAGTCGTTATCAAACCGTATCGGATCACGATGGGGAGGATGAGGAAGGAGATGCAATTATGCTAGACGACATCAATGAAGATGAAGAGGGTGACTCCGACTCTCTATTCGTTCGACAAACTCCTGCTCCTGGTGATACTAGATCAGCATCATCTGCGACAAGCCGCACACGGAAGCAGACCAACGCATCGTCCACCGTCACTACGGCCGCAACGAGAAAACCTTCCACTCGAGGCTCTGCAGCTACCAGGTCTAAACCGCCGCCGAAATCCACCCTGTCACAGGCAAGCGAGAGTCAAACACTGAATGGCACTGGTGCAAGTTCTCTGGCTGGCAAGCGACCTCGTCGAGCTGCGACAAGTCGGACAACGAGGAGCGTCAGCGTCCTAAGCGATGATATTGAAGATGACGATGACGATGCATTTGATCCTGCACCCCCTATAAGTAGTCTACGGAATTCTGGAAGGAGATAACCACGCACGTTCCCGTTTCACTACTCACATGTTGTTTTTAGAACTGCGTCGCATTCTATTATAGGATAACACAAAAAAGTGTAAAGAAACGAGATTGCAGCGAGAATAACACACGCATATATAGAATCTGTTAAGCAGAAAATATTTTATCTACAGCTTGCCCATTCCCAAAAAGTTCGCCGGGATCTCAACCCACCTCTCCCGCAAATACTCCCCCACAAATATTCCACCACATTCTTCCCCAAAAAGTGCACCGCCCGCGTCACGCCGACACCACGATCTAATAAGTTGCGGAACAGGAAATGCACCGCGCACAACTCAGGCAGCTCAAAACCGTTCAAAGCTCATGGTCCCATTCCCCCCGCCCACTCTCCGCCCAACAAACCCTGCAGCTTTTCAATTGACGACAGCGTTCTTAGCCATGGGAATTCATCCTCGTGTCTCACCCACCCAGAATCCGCAGTTCGCGTCAGAACCCTTATCGCCCGAACGCCCGTGCACGGTCCAGCCCAGAGGTCCGCGCATCGTCGGGCCAAAGACCGTCACCCGGCTGTCGGGACGCACCGTAACTGGCTGTGATAGTTGTGGGGAGGGGCCAGATCTTTGTGAGGGGTGGCGGGGCGATGTCGAGTGGTTTTTTTTTTTTTTTTTTTTTTTTTTTTTTTTTTGGAATTCCCGTAGAGCCCGGGGAGGTGTGCTTGATGCTTCGCGTCCTCCTGCGGGGGGGGAGAGTTACATAGTGCTCGAATTACACGGGTCTAGGGGACACCTTGGCGCCTATCTAGATCGAACGTCGCACCGGGATAGCCCTGCATTGACGGGCAGCAACCCGAATCCCATGGCGACTCCAGAAACGACAGCTCGTACGCGGTCACGCGGCCGTCGTCGCTATGTCTGTTCTCACTCATGATGGTTTCCTGTTTCTCTGTTCTGGTGGTTTTCGCGCGTGCATAGAAGGGTCTCATGCGCTTTGTGTACCTGCTTGTCTGTGGGGAAGTATTAATCTCAGTAGCTCTCTTTCATAAATAATAAGAGATAGCTAATGTAGCCCTTTCTCCTCCTTCTCTGAATATTTCTCCGACCCAGATGAGGATCTTGGGCAAGACATTGTCGGTCCTCGGGATGGAATCGTAGTGATGATGATGATGATGATGATGATGATGATGATGATGATGATGATGATGAATGGAGAAAAAGACTACTTGCCCGCTGCCACACCAAAACGATATAAAAGTACACTTTGTATGAGAACATCATATAAGAGATACTTTGTAAAATACTCAATAACATCACCACCATATAAGATATGAGCGTGAAATTGAAATTTGACGATTGATTATATATACTCAAATAATATAGTTAATATAATATTTTTATAGAGGGGATGAATCCCTCCAACAGTTACTCCGTAGTTACCTCAGCAATTGCCGCCGTGTGGGAATCTGTGTGTTTCACACTTCGTACATCTATCTATCTATATTTACAGAGAGAATGTTATAACTTATATAGATAGACATGATGAATAAATTTAATAAATAATATATCATTAAAAAAAAAAAAAAAAAAAAAAAAAAAAAAAAATGAAAGTCGACCATCCCATTCAGCACGGTGGGTGTGCAGCGGCGGTGTGATCTGGTGCCGCCATCGCCGGGGGGCCCGGTCTCTGCAGAATCGCTTCCCTCGAGGGTACGGGCCAGGGCTTAGCGCGCCGACAGCCGGTCGTGGACTACTCGCACGAGTGCGGGAGAAGAAAGTTGCCCGGTGAAGGGCAGCATCTCGCGACCCGGCGATTCGAACCAGGCACCAAGTCCGCTGTTTGGGGGATCAGGTGACCCCCAAGCCACACGCACCTCGCCGATGCGGGAGGTCTCCCTTCGGCCATGACAGCTGATGTTTGGTGGGGACAGGCCCTGGAATGGTATATATTACTACGGAGTAACCCGTGCGTGGTTACCGATGGAGCTTTGTCTCTTACCCGAGGCTCTCCTTAACCGCCCCTCACGAGAAGAAATTAGGAAAGCAGCGTCTGAGATCAGACGAGGAGACCGAATGAATATAATATGTTGTCAATAATGTATTCGCGATAACTGGCTATACCTAGCTATAACCAATCATCACTGACTTTATATAACGATAATATTCTGCGGCCATCCGCGGCAGGATGCGGGAAGAGGGAGACAAGAAGGGGCAAGTTCCTGTATCTCGAGCAAGTAGTTCCACCAAGGAGTTTCTTACATACCATGGATGGGCCCATGGACCTTGTTTCTTCGCCGATTCTTCCCCGTTTCCCTCGTTTCCTGAAGCTTGTGTCTTCCCCCGCAGCTGGGGTTGAGACTCTGGGGTTGGGACTCTGGGGTTGGGACTCTGGGGTTGATAAATACTTGCAACACCTGCTGGAATTGGGTGCTGGATAGCTCCTGGTGCTGGTACTGGTGCTGGTACTGGTGCTGGTACTTCAAGTGGTTGGCCGTGTACTCTCCTCTACCCCACCTCTGCTATCGTTTCCGGGTGCGCGTTTGCATTTGATTGCTTGGTTGTTTGATTGTTTGATTGTTTGATTGCTTGATTGATTATATTAGAACCTTCCTCGCCTCGGGATTTCTCTCTTCTCATCATCATCATCATCATCATCATCATCTTCTTCTTCTTCTTCTTCTACTTCTTCTATTTTTCCCTATTATCTTCACGCTTTTATTCCCACTAAGCTTGTATCCTCCCTCATTCATCCCATGGCTCTCTCCCAGCAAATCACTACCCCGACCTGCACCTACGAGCAACCCCTCGGCCTGTGAGTCCTCCCTCGGGAATTTAACATATATACACACACACACACACACACACACACAAATATATATATATATATATATATACATGTATAGCTGACTACCCTGCAAAGCTTCATCAACAACGAGTTCGTCAAGGGCGTCGATGGCCGCTGCTTCGAGACCATTAACCCCCACAACGAGAAACCCATCGCTGCCGTCCACGAGGCCACCGAGAAGGACGTCGATGTTGCTGTCGCTGCTGCCCGGGCCGCCTTCAACGGGGCCTGGAAGCATGTCACCCCGACTAACCGGGGCCGCATGCTTATCAAGCTGGCAGAGCTGATGGAACAGCACTGCGACGTCCTCGCTGCCATCGAAGCCCTCGACAACGGCAAGGCCTACTCCATCGCCAAGATCGATGTCGCCCAACTCTGCTGCTTGCATCAGGTACTACGGTGGTTGGGCCGATAAGATCCACGGCAAGGTCATCGACACCGACACGGAATCCTTCAACTACACCCGCCACGAGCCCATTGGGGTCTGCGGCCAGATCATCCCTTGGAACTTCCCCTTGCTCATGTTCGCCTGGAAAATAGGCCCCGTCATCGCCACCGGAAACACCGTCATCCTCAAGACCGCGGAACAGACCCCGCTCTCCGCTCTCTATACCGCCAAGCTCATCGTCGAGGCTGGTTTCCCTCCAGGCGTCATCAACATCCTCTCCGGTTTCGGCCGCACCGCCGGCGCTGCCATCGCCGCCCACATGGACATTGACAAGATTGCCTTCACGGGCTCCACCGCGGTCGGTCGCCAGATCCTCCAGGCCGCTGCCAAGAGTAACCTCAAGAAGGTCACGCTCGAACTGGGCGGCAAGAGCCCCAACATCGTCTTCAACGACGCGGATATCGAGAACGCCATCTCTTGGGTCAACTTTGGTATCTACTTCAACCACGGCCAGTGCTGCTGTGCCGGCAGCCGCATCTTGGTCGAGGAGGGCATCTACGACACCTTCATCGAGCGCTTCAAGGCTCGTGCCCAGCAGAACAAGGTCGGCGACCCGTTCCACAGCGATACTTTCCAGGGTCCCCAGATCTCCCAGGTTCAGTTCGACCGCATCATGGGCTATATTCAGGAAGGCAAGGCCTCCGGCGCCAAGGTCGAGATTGGCGGCGAGCGCCTGGGGAACCAGGGCTTCTACATCCAGCCAACTATTTTCAGCAACGTCACGGAGGACATGAAGATCGTCAAGGAGGAGATCTTTGGACCCGTCTGCTCCGTGCAGAAGTTCAAGAATGAAGAGGAGGCTATCGAAATTGCCAACAACACGTCATACGGTTAGTCTCCTTTATCCTGCTCTCTTTACTGCTTTCGCTTCCTTTTCTTCTGATATGTCACTGACGATCGAGCTTAGGTCTTGCCGCTGCCGTCCACACCACGAACCTCAACACCGCCATCCGTGTCTCCAACGCACTGAAGGCTGGGTCAGTATTCATTCCCCCGTTTCTTCCATCTCCTGGGTGAAAAAAAAAAAAAAAAAAAAAAAAAAAAAAAAAAAAAAAAAAAAAAAAAAAAAAATGCTAATAACTCCTCTCAGTACCGTCTGGGTCAACAACTACAACATGATCTCTTACCAAACTCCTTTCGGCGGTTTCAAGGAGAGCGGTCTCGGCCGTGAATTGGGAGGTAAGCTTTGTTTTTTTCCTTTGTTTCTTCTTTCTTCTTTTTCACTTTGTTCAAAAGTAATAAATAATTCTCACTTCTAAAAATGGGCCCTGTCTCACACCCTTGCCTCTTTAGAATACGCACTCGACAATTACACTCAAATCAAATCCGTCCGCGTTCGCCTGGGTGATGCGCTTTTCGGTTAGGTGGTATGTTCAGGGTAAGCGGGGAAGTGACTTAGTTCCAGCTAGTTGTAACTAGTTAGTTAGTTATATGATTTAATAATTATTCAGCTGACATCTTCTGTACAGATCTGTACAGAATACACGGGGAGTGGTTCTTTTCTTTTATTCCTATTTTTATTTTTGTTTAGCCTTCTCTGTTCTGTTAATGGTGTACTCCGTATATGTTCAAGGTTGCTAGTGGTTAGTCTCAGAGGGTTCTTCCCTAACTCAAATATCGTCTTACGTCAATGCATGCATGCGTCTTCTTTTTTTTTTCTCCCTTCCTTTTCGGGCATTCTGCTCCCGTTTTGTGAAATGTGGGTTTTTCCCCCGAAATATTAATAAACATAGTTTTTAAAAAAGCCGCGGCAGTGCTTGAAACCTGTAGAACCCGGAAACCACAGTACCCCGCATCGAAACTACATCCATGTCCCGCAAGCTTAAGCGGTTTAGCCACCTCGGATCCTAACCTACTCCGTACAGTGTAGTTAGTTCTCTTGAACGAAAACCCTGTGTGGTGAGGGGGGGCGGAGAGAGTTGGTCGTAAACACGCTTGAGCAAAATAATTCCAACATCCCCCCTCCAATAAATGCCCTGGAATATCATCTCTTCTTCCTTCTCCCTCCTCTTCTACCTGCCGATCGCCACCCCACATCTGCGTGGCGGAATTGGGCAACCTGCCTGGGTAAACCAATTAATTTTTCTGCTGCGTGGTCCAATTGCCATTTAACTATTGCATAGCTAAAAGGACAAGGTTTGCAAAAGACACCCCCCGTTAACAACCGCCGTTCTTATGTGGGGGAGACAGAGAGAGAGAGAGAGAGAGAGAGAGAGAGAGAGAGAGAGAGTATGTTAAGCTTGCTTTCATTCTATTGGAACTGAGGTTTCGGATTCGAGCGATTTCATGGGTTCAGGTTGCGACCATGCTCGTAGAGCCATGGAACCTTCCTTGCACCTTGGCTATTACTATCACAGGCGATGGCGTTAGCCAGCCTTGCGTCTGGGGGTAAATTTTTTGTTTATTTCACGTTTATATCGACTCTACTGAATAGATAGATACATCCAAAGGGCTTGGTTTGAAGGAATGAGGGGGTTAACCATAACCCGATTCTGCATGTAAAAAGCGACGTTGAGGAGGAAAAAGCGAAATACTAATCTCTAATATGAAGCGGGGCCGTGCGAGAAAGGAAATGTCCATCCCAAACGATGCTTGGGATGAGTATGTGATGTAAGGAACATATGAAGTCATGATTTTTTTAAAGAGGAGGGGGGGGACGACATACATCTGCATAGATATCTCTTCCTCTGTATGTCTGTGGAACTAGAGCAGATCACATCCAAGTAGGGACACAAGTCCAAAAGCATGCTGTGCAGCGGATGGGCAGATCTGGCTTGTACACTGGCTTTTGTATATACAGTGAACGGGAAAGGAAAAACTATATATTGTAAAATAGAAAATTTAAAGCTCGAGAAGCGTGTGGGTGCTCAAAACTGGAAAATGAGGTAAGAGTAGAAGAAAACAAAAGACGGAAGTAAATAACAAGGACATCACTTCATCAAAAAGTTCAAAAGCCAAGGAGAAAAAAAGACGAGGACAAAGGTACAAGGAAATCTACAAGAAATACTCACTCTTCCCGGGCCTCACATTGGGCACATGTCTCATATCGTCCGGCACCTCCGAAAATAGCTTGAACGTCGGCTTCAGGTCCTCGCGTATTTCGCACACTGATGCCATGTTACCACACCGGTAGCAGTAATTCGGCGCGCTCCATACTGTCACCACGTTCTGCTTCTGGAAGTGATATTTGTAGCCCTCGTTTACGAGCTGGTGGGCGCGCGCGATCAGCGTTAGGTCATTCACTTGGCAAAATTCTTCCGCTACTTTGTCACCAAATAACCAGCCTATATAAAAAGAATTTGGAAATTTGGATGTCAATCAATCGTTCTCTCTGACGAGCGTGTGGATGCATGTATACGAAGATGTGATTTAGAAACATACCAGCACCCCTTGGGCTCACCGCCCACGTCTCTACGTCGTCCGGGTCCGACCAGACGAGATCGCAGAAGGCGCCTTCATGTGGGATCTCTTGGGCCCTGGCAACAACGCGCACCTGGTCCAGCGTGCGAATCTCTGGACTTAGGCCGCCATGTACGCAGAGTACCTTCCCATCCACTATGGCCCCGAGGGTCATAAAATCAAACACCTGGCAGCATGCTTTCCATACGGAGGCGTTGCCATATTTCTGAAAACATTCTTCGTAAAATCCGTAAACTTGAGTGATCTGTCGTGATTCGTGGTTGCCCCGGACGAGCGTAATTTTGTCAGGGAACCTAATTTAATTTAATGAAATGAAATTTTCTCACTGTCAGCGATATTTTGGGATAGATAAATAAATAAATCCATAAGATAATGGGAAAGGGATACGGACTTGGCCTTTAAACAAAGCAATAAGGTCAACGTCTCCAAACTAAAATATCCTCTATCCACATAGTCCCCCAAAAATATAAAATTCCCGCTGGGCATGCTGTTCAATTGTGATGTGTCCCCTGACTTATCATCTGGGGGAGAAGAAGGTTCGTTCTCATCTGCACCGCCAGTATTCGGACCGTCGACATTTTGCCTGATCTTCTTCCTTAATTTCGGATCTGTGATGGAGGATGGTGGCTCGATATTATCTGACGTGATAATAGTTGGTGGGGCCGTTGGAGATTCAATATTGCTGTCATTCGGCATGCCGCCTGCAACGCGGAACAGCTCGAGAAGGTCATAGAATTGGCCGTGAATATCGCCGCATATTGTTACTGGGGCGGAAACCGGCTGGATGTTTGACTCTGCAGATTGAAGTGGGGTTTAGCAGCAATTCCGTAGTGACTGCGATCCTTTCTCTCAACGTAATAAGTAGGGAAACTCGGGATATGAACCTTCCATCATGAATTCCTTGACAATCTCACATAGCTGCTTCATATGATGTTCTGAGAGATATTTGCAATCTTTTGCTGCTTCGAGCCACTCGTCTGGGCCAGCGTTTCTCTTTAACCTGGCCGGGCCTGGCTGAGGAGCGGATTTGTTTACCATCCCGGACTTAGATATCACTTTATTTTAAAATCAAAATAGGATTATGGTGTGGTGTTTCGTAATTTAGCAGAGAGTATTCTTCGATTTGCATTTGCGCGGCGGCAATTCAAGTGGGTAAACTGCATCCAAGGTTATCAACCAGCCAGGCGATCATTCACTCAAGTGGTTCGCCCAAGGAATAAAGAATTGTCCGTGTATCGTGGAGTGCATAGATAAATGGCTGGTTAAAAAGATGATGTGAGTCTGGATCAAGCGAGCTGACAAGTATCACGGGTCTGCAGGCGGTGGGATTGGTAACTTACGTCACTGTTGTTACACCTTCGGTACGACGTAACTAGAGGTTATACAACCATCAGCAACGTGGTATGGGCATGTATTTTTTGAATCTTTCGCGTAGGTCACTATATGTGTTTTGTACCCGTACATGGACAGATATATTTGTGTATTGTGTAGTTGTCTAGGCATAGTAGACACCTTTCCTTTTCAATCAATACGGATCTAATAAATTTGAATTTTTTATCTTCATAGCTCTCCCTCACATTACACTCAAATATCCGCAACACATAGGTAGTTAGTTGTGTATATGTAAAGATTTAAGATGAGTGATGTTGGAATCTCTTCGTGACCGAAGGGTAAATTGTGATTTATTTTACACATACGGCCATACAACATGAACGGTGAGGAGAATGAAGTGTCTATCAAAAAGGGAAAATCGGGAAGTTAATACAGAGCCAGGAATCGAAATCAGCCCCAGTTCTCCCTCTCAATCCTTCAACAACTGGTCCTGCAATAACTCACGTGCAGTCTTTCGTTCCTCGGGAAGCCATTTTAACATGGAGCGGATAAACCGGAGAAATAAACAATTCCTTCTCTTGCCCGTCATATGAACTTCGGCATTCTCGAGAGAGCATCCTGTAGGTATGTCTACGGAGTCGTTTGGAGCCCATTTCCCTGTTTATTTCCCGCCGCTCCATTGAACAGGGATATATATAAGCCCAAAAGTACATGGGGTTATAAAGGAGCGGGGATCAGTTGGACTGAGCTTGTGTCTCTTTTAGGGGCCTTTCTTTGTCTTGTCCTTTTCATGGAGGCTCTCACCTGTTTCGTCAAAGCAATTCTGACAAAACTCACTCCGTATAACAAATTCAGGAGGCGGGGACCCGAGAAAGGCCACAATTTTGACCATATATGTATAGCGACAGAATGAGCCATTTCTATCAACAATGTTGAAGAGATGATCGCTCTCGAGGTGATCCCAAATCTGCCAATAACTGTTAGGAGGTTAATGGAGGAGGGGAGGGGGGCAATCGAATAAAGTGAGACGCAGGGGGCTTTTTGCTCTGTGGTTTTGGTTGCCCAACGGTACAATCCAAATGTCAACTTCGGAGTCACACGAGATCATGAAAGAGACCTCTGGTGCCCTGCATATATGCGGCTGCGCTTCTCCAATATTTGTGACATTGTGAAGTTTCCCAATTCTGGCTTCTCCAAAGCCACAGAGGACCGGCGGACCCCAGTTGCTATCTGCAGGATCCCTAGGAGCGCGGGATGTGTATACTATTCTTGTTTTGTCGATAATTTTCCGCGGGGTTAGATCGCAGATCTCGTCCCAGCAGAAGTCATCTAGTGCATACTTGTCCGCGACAGAGAACACGATGTCGGATTTGAGATCTGCTTATTATGTTAACTCGTCGGTTTTAAAAGGGCCTGAATTGAGGCACCAAATGAGAGTAGAGAATATTTTATTATTACTTGCTTGAAGCTTTGATCAAACATACATGTACGTACATACATGACATACCTGTATGCACAATATCCGCCTCCGTATGCAAAAAGTCCAGCGCTGTTAAGGGGTATTGCAACGCCAATTTGAGCAGAGTCTTATTTAACCGTTTGCTTGCAGTTTTACCCATGAACTCCAATGAATTTAGATGCATGTGCCTATGAACTAGGCAAGAAGGTCGTCCATCGGGCTCTGACACTTCAAACATATCATAAATTTGCCGGATATATCGGGTACCATGGCGTGAGGACTTAATTGAGAGGAGGTGTGTATAGACCCGCACCTCCTGGTCGTACTTGGAAGCTTCTGTTGTGTAAACTTTGAGGGAGACATCGATGGACCCCGAGAAACATGAGAAATCAAGCTATCACGTGTAGCTGGCGATTCTGTCGCGAGGGAATTGTAGTTTATAAGATTTAATGGCTGGTAACTGGTTTCATGCATCGACGCTGATACTATGAAAGGGAGATTAGATGGGCAGAAAAGTGGAAGAAATAGGTGCATAAGAAGTTATAATCAAGCTTTCCTATAACTTCATATTTAGAATTAAAAACTTCACCAGTACGAACTGGATAGAAGAGCTCTGGCTTGTACGGAGTAGAAGGACATTCTTTGTAATCTGCACAGAAGATCCTTTCAAATGCTTTGATTGGCACTAACCGTGCCAAGCGCACTCACTACCTCCCATTGAGTGCACCCCACTGCGAAGGTAATATCACTGCAACAGTAATATTTTTGAATCATCTAAACTTCAAAATATCATTATTATTCAACACCACATCTATTTATAATATAAAAATCATCTATATACTCAGTAGAAGCAGTAGAATCCGCAGCAGGTTGAGATTCATTAAATTTATTGCATTGTGGTTAATTTGCAGCAGTTCTAGTGGGCTTGATTCCAATTGTCTGAAGACTCTTATTATACTTCTTTTTCAACTCCTCTGTCTTCTGAGTTGCAATTTTGTGATTTGCATCCTTTATAGTGAGGATTCTGCTTACTTGCATCTGTTTGTTTGTGCTTTTGACAATCTGATATTTATTCATTCAATAATGGTCAGTTAATTTTTTCTACACATGTGTGTTCAATTCTGTCTGCATCATATTACTCTTGAATATCTTACCCAACTATCTGGTTAAACTGGGTGTAAGAGTGTTCTTCACATTCTGTATAACCTTCTTGCTACCGAGTCTCTAACCTAGCAAGCTTCTCACTGGTATAAGGTAAGGTCGGGGCTTATATAGTGTTGCTGAGCTTGTTCACTAAGTCAGGAGGTAGTGCCACTATCACAGGTTAAGATATAACATCAAGAGGAATATCTAGGATGACTAGCAATAGCTACGGCGGCGGCCTGAGGTAAACAGTATGAGTACCTAGTAGGGCTTACAGGTAGGGGCGAAGGCTTAAGGTATGCGTCGTGAAGAAGTATACTTAAGGTGAACTTATAGTCGTACCATGTAACTGAGTGTAAGTAAAGGTAGTAGAAGAGTAAGTAAGTAAGATGATATTGATCGTGATCAAGAAGATAAGCTCCTTGATCCTAAGGGTAATGAGTGTGTTTATATACATCTTGAGATACATGAGGATAGCTCGGATAGCTCTTGCCAAGATAGCTATCAGAGCGAGGATAGCTGTGATCACTCCGCTCACTCGAGTGATCCGAGTGATCCAGGTGATCCACTATGTCACGTGACCTATTGTTCCTATTGGTTAACCGGATCTTCCCTTATCCGATGTCTAGCTTGCATGCCCTCTACCATTTAGTCATTCCTTGTCCAATGGCTCTCAGGGTTGTGCCGTAGGTTTGTAACACTTCTCTGCAACATCAATTTGATGATATAGTTTCATGACTGTATCAGAGAATGTTAACTGAGAAGAAGCAGTTGACAATCAATTTATGAATAATGAAATAAATTGATTGTGTTTCTCATCATCTTCATCATACACAAGCAGATCTGGGCCATTCTATAGAGTGTGAGATTTCAATCAATCAAATATTACTTCATAATTAATAGAGTAGATTCTGCAGTCTGTAAAGCCAGCTCTAATAATAACAGATTTGAAGATCTGCTGGTGAATGCTGTGCAGATTGACAAGAAATTGCCTCTCATTATATTATTTATATTCATAATAAGCAATCTTATTAATTGCTTTTGTATGATAATGCTTATACTGTTGAAAAGACATACCATCAAGAGATTGCAATATATAACTTGTTGTGAGGGGTGATGACAGTGTGAAAAGTGAATAGTAGAAGATAGTATATAGTGTAGTAGAAGATAATAGTAATAATAATTATAGTAGTAGTATAGTTGAAGTTGTAGTTGTAGCTAATCGCTGAAGAGGAAAAGAAAGAGAAAGAAGATGTGCGAAATACATGCATCCATATATATATACATATAGAAATAGTGGTAGCGAGAGTATAATGGAAAGAGGTAAGAATAGACAAAGATATAAACAAAGATAATATAATAATAGAAATAATAAACGAGTGCATTACACTTGTATAAGAGAGGAGTTCAAAAACAAAAATCTTATGAAGATCACAATATTGAAGAAATTCTTTATTGAAGTGGGATTTGTGATTGTTAAATAGTAATAATCAATGACTGCTCAGCTGGTGTTTCTTGCTCATTATATTGAAAAATTTAATCCATTCAAATATGATCTCATCATTAATGAAGTTTAATTCAAATGTGGTTATTGTATAATTGTTAGACAAATTGATGTCTGTATATGTGGCGTACTTACGCCCCTACCCACCCCTCGCTGATTCCCAGAGCTTCCGCTCCACCCCTTCCTTCTTCCGCCCCTACTCAAGGCTTCTATCCTTCCTTTTATAACCCTGCGATCGCTCCTTCCGCAGGAATCAATCACTGTAAATAAACAAGCATGTATATATAAGGGCGTCCGCCCATCTTCATCTTTTAGAGAATCAGACGTGTATTATCCTACTGAGCTGCGTACGCTACAGTATATTAATCTTTTAGATGAATTTTCAATTTCATTACAATCAGCAAATATAGAACTGTGCCATCTATACTCATACATTTCAACACAGTTATTAACTCATGAAAATATGAAGATTGTATGACAGAGTTCACATTTCAATAAATAGTTATAACTCACTGCCTGCATCCCTCTTCTTCTTAGAACTCAATCTCATTAAAGCTGTAAACATTGCATGAGTGGAAGTTGTACTGATTGAATATAGATTCATAGTGATTGAATCAGTTGATGATGAAGTTTATATCCTCATTAAACATCTGTTTTGAATCCATTGACTTCTGCTTCACTCTATTATACCCTGGCAAATGTTTTGTGAATTGATATACTCACATCTTATCTACAGTAGAAAGAGAGATGTCAGAATTGAAATGATGAAACTTCAACATTGAATTTGCAACAGCTTCAATATACTTGATGATGAGGAGGCAAAAATTACTATTCAACTGTATTATCCACTTCTTAAGAGCCTCCTTCTGACTGTCATTCAACATTTGATTGATTGGAATCCTTGTTGTCCTTGATTTCCTTCCTTTAATCCACCCAACCAAGGTTGTATATGGAATTTCAAATTCTCACACCACATTTGTGATTTTCAATTTCGGATTTGATTTTAATGTGTCAATGGTCTTTTGAAGCTGATCTTCAGTGTATTTAGATGATTTAGGCATGGTTGTGATGATTAATGATTATTTGAAGTTGAAGAATGATGAGAATTAAAAATATTACTGTTGCGGTGATATTACCTTTGCGGTGGGGCGCACTCACTAATGGGAGGTAGTTAGTGAGTGCGCTTGGCACGGTTAGTTAAGAATTTAAGTTGTGATATTGGAACTGACATTAAGTATTTCCATTCCATGTTTTAACAAGATTTACGGCTGGGTTCTATGAGAGGCTCCCGTTCGCGGAGTTGTCCTTGGTCCAAAAGCGCTTGACTAGAAAACCATTCAGTGTTGTTAAAACTTTGAATGCCATCATGGTTCAAAGTTGAACAGGTCCAACAATATGATGTACAGCACATATACACTTCGATTTGTTAACCCTGTTGACTTCAATCAACATCAAAAACTACGAGTCATGAGATGTCAACTCTTCTGTACCTTTTTTTGATTAGTGGTTTTACTAATGATCTTAACTGTCTAATCTAATCTTCTATCTCAATCCTTACTGTCATGAAAATAAAGACCTGAGAGTGGTGAGTGTATTAGATTTCGGAACCCATTCAACCGTCGCCAGCACATCCTGCACTTCACTAACCGATTTTACAGCCCTTCAATTAGATATATACTTATGATCGTGTTTCATCTGCCGCCCAGTTTTTGTGAGGTTACAGCAGATCAAACCTGTTATCACCTACGGGCTCATAGCCCTAAGATCAAAGTATCTTTCTTCATAATAATCATCTCATGGAGTCTACCCAATGTCCCTAAAACGCTGGCCACATCAATGGCTAACTGAGGATCGACATAGCATTCATAGCAGAGGTTTCCCTATATATGTGAATGCTAGCCACAGCATACAGTCACCTTGGAAGCGTCACTATTCCAACAAATGTTCTGTTAGCAGCTGCGCAGCCGTGAGCAATGAAGGGCGGATAATGTCTTTAGGGTTAGCTTTGTTTTCAAGTTGCTCACTTTTCTGCATCCGTGTTCCATGTAAACACAAATGAGCCGAGGAAAGCCCCAATCAGGATAGAAATGTAAATAAACCCATTGTAATACATTGCGAGGAGCATGATGAAATATGCAAGTCCGAATTGCATCGTGAACAACATAGACTTGGTAGTATGTTGGAGTAGGGACCGCCACAAAGGACGCTTTATCGCGTTGGCTGTGGTCTCGGTCGGAGATTCGAGGCCTGGGGCAGTTTGCTTTGGGCTTGTGATTACTCGTTGCAATCGTCCAGTATAGAAGTTGCTTTTCCCAGCTACGTATCTATCAAATTCATAGCTAGCACGCCGGAGGAATTGTAGGAGCATGACAAGAAGAATGACACCAATGCATGATCCTACAAACATGGCTGGGGAGGTAATTCTCCAATGGGATGAAACGAAACCTGAAGAACAGCCGTGTCAAAAAAAGGGCAGGCGGAAAGAGAAAAGGGAAATTAATTGGAGAACTTACAGGCATTCAATACAGTCCAGTTCCAAAGCATCTGCAATAGCAATTAGTGTCTATTCCTCCGGCCATCACGATAAACCAGCAGTGACGTTTAACAAATATATTCAATCAGGACATACAGAAATCTTGCAGCCATTACCCATTCCACCCATGTGCATTCCACCCATACTGCTGCCCATTTGCATTCCGGACATGTTAGCAGCAGCACTGGGGGTAGGCATTGGTGCCCCGCTTGACATGGACTGCATGTCCATTTTGATTTTAGATTGGCAGAGCAGTCAACAGAAAGCAATGTTCGAGCATCAAGTAGTGAGAAAGATAATGGAGGAGAGTAGCGAACTGTATCTACTGTATGATGCCATCCTTTATATTATATATATCTATTGGATTAAACGTTATGACTGGAGGTAAGTGAGTTTATTTGAGCAAAATACTTTAAGATAGCCCAAGAGCAAGCATTAAGGTTTAACGCCCCCTTTCGTGGGTTTTATTTATGTATGTAGGTTGTTAATTCGCTCAAATCTTCGCTCAGGGTCAAAGTCTAACGCGGATCTGACAGTTTCAGAGTCAAACTCTAACAGGAACTCAGGAACTTAACGGCGAGAATAATTTAGGGAAAGAGGTAAAAACAGATGCTATCTAATTCTTGAGATGAAATTGAAGGGACTAACAAGCCATTTTGTGAATTTATCCTCAACCTTTATTATATCATTTCCTCCTCATCGTTGTCAGTGTCCTCGGCCACATTTTGCACCGTGATCACGAATTGTGTGTACTTCGGTGTTCCAATGATAGAGCATACACTTAAATGACCCAAATTTTCAGCGGGAAAATTTTTCACCCACGGCACAGTGCAAAGTTGATCGCATATTCAACTTTAGTGCTATTGCGCATATAGAAACAAGCACTGCGGGCGGGCGAGGGGGACTTTACAGGCCTCAAGGATTAGTTAGGTAAAGAGTTATAAGCCTTAAGAATTGGGAACAAAAACAGATTGATGTTATTATTCTTTTTCTGTCAATCTAGTTACATCAATTTTTTAAAAGAAAAAGAAAACAAAGGAGCAGATGTTGGCATCCCTACAAATGCCATGTGACCACATGTTAGATGGATACTTACAATGGACTTATGTTCCATCTCCATCAGGTTATGGGCCCTCTGGTGCTTCAGTGCCTCAAATGCTTAAAATTTCAATCTAATTATTGATTCTGTGTTCTCTATGATAGTGGATAAGTGGTTTTGGAGCAGAGTTATCAGATTAAATGCTTTAAAGAGGTCTTCAGCTGTCTCCGTGATCAAGTTATTTTGCAATTATGATACATGCAATGTCTCTGGCATGCTGGTTGCCTGTGACGGGTTAGCACCCGTTAGTAGTTAACTTACGCAACCCACCCCTACCGCCCGTTCGCCCCCTCATGTGCTCACGCGCGCCTACGAAATGCTCCTCTCCTCGCGATTCCGCTCCGCGCTTGTGTAGTCCCTAACGATTCCTCCGCGTAATCCTTAACGTTCTTCCGCGCGGCTTCTGATATTCTTCCGTCCCGATCTTTTCCCTATAAGAACCCCTTCGTATGATTCTTTGTTCTGATCTTCCTTCTCTTTCTTTCCTTAATCAATTCGTAATCTGTAATTAGGATAGTGCTTAGTCCGTTAATCGGTAGTACGCCCGTTACACCGCCTCTCATATAGCTACAATTAATTGACTTTTGCAATCATGATGCAGATGTCTCTAGTAGGCTTACTGTCTCTTATATTGCATCTTACTGTGTTGCCTCCATATGTTGTTGTTGTTGTTCTTCTTATTTTTTCTAAGGCCATATGCAGTCTGAGACTATGACAGCCTTCACCTCACTAGCCTACCCTTATGTTCGGCTACTCTCTAGTTACATTTCCCTATTCATAACTGAGTCATCCTTGATGGAGAGACTTCACTATACCATTCTGGATCTAGCCCTCAAGGGGGGCCTTGCCCCACAATTGCTCACGCAATACTAAGCAGTCCCTTGTCACTTGGACTAGACATGTAAGAATCACAACACCTTAGGATCCCACACTATACTGAATCCATCTAGACTATATACAGTGTTGAACATTGCTCCACCCTGCAGTGGCAGTTACCAATAGAAATGAGATAAGAAAGGATACCCTCAATATCCATCAAGATGTGATAATATCCTTTTTGAAAAAGGTGGGATTCGAACCCACTACCTTCTTGTCTCAGCAGAGGTGGCCCCAACACCAAGTGCCTACTTGAGAAAGCATTCCACTACGCCATCCACCCCCCCTGTTGCCTCCATAAGCTGCAGGTAGCAATGGTCAAAACATGTGCTCTAGTTGAAGATGTTTTTATCTCAAATATCAATAGAAGTCATTGGTCATTCTCACCCTCCATCATCCATGTGTGTGATTGTGCCGGAACTAACAAAGTGCGAATATTAATTCAAACACTGAATATCGATGAAAAATTGAATTTATTATTATAACTCCAATAATTACATGATAATCAGGCAGTATTTATAAAAAAGAGAATGCTTGAATATATGATGGGAGCAGTGCTGGTATGCACCGGAGCAGTGATCCGGTCTTCAAAATTGAGATAATAGAAGATCCTTGTTAGTGCAATCAATAAAATTCTTGATATGATATATCACTTCTGACAGATTGATTCTCTCTCTATTCAGTATTATCATTCTATCAACTGTCAAATCGATTCTACTCTGTATTTATGAGGTTTGCTGTAAATTCTTTGAAGAATTGACTAGATCAACTACCCACCAGAAGCCAGAATGGTTGCATCATTAAATGGAGCGAAGCGAAGTTTGACTAAAATCGTTTTTATTACTCTGTACAGATTACAGGGGGGAAATTTCAATTAGAGTTTCTTAGATCGCGTGCAGTGGAGACTGATCTTCAACACTAGGCCGCAATTGGCTCAGATACACCCTTGCCCCTGAACCTACCTACCTGTTGGCCCCCTAGGCTGCCTATTACGGACTAGCGCACCATACATTCATGCCTACTCCGTACGGAGTACATGCTGATAACAAACAACTTAGACCTCCGTGATATCCAATCAACTGCCAATGGAATATAGAATGTCCGCTAGATATACCTAGCTATCTATCTACATCCCTATCCATTAACCAACCTTCCTGCTCAATGTCCAATCAATCTCTATGAGAATAAACATCACCAAGTAGCCCACCTATCTATCACTACCTGACTACTAGAATGATATCCACTGATGATATCTATTGATGATATCTACGGTGATATCTAGCGATGCTCCGTTTTATAAACAGATTGCAGTAAACCTATTCAAGGGTTTAAGGGGGTTTCCACCTGAATATTTATATTTTTTAAATATCATCATCTCATTCAACTATTGTAGATGTAAAATCACTCTGTTTTAAAATATACTTAGAAAATCTGAGTTGCATTGCTTCCTAATATATACTATTTGAAGTGTTATTGATGATCTTCAAAGGAGGAAGATGTAAGCAGCGGGTCAAGGGACTCGCCACTTATCTAGGGGAGGTCCTTAGAACTCTACAAGGATAGAGTTATTTAAGATAATACGGTGTTATATTGGAAGGGATTCGGATCGAAGGATCAGATATCAAGGCAGTAGAATATAGGGGTCAGATTATATCAGAATGATTCGCTGGCCCTTAGAAGGTTGAGCCAGCTGCTAGTTATATACCTGTAGTATCTTAAGCAGATCGAACCTGATATACTGCCTTGATCCTGTGAGACAACCACGTGTCTCGTGTAACGCTCTTACTCTATATAAAATGGTCCTCTTAGCTAGCAATTAATCAATCAAGCTTTTCACCTCTCACAGGTTATGAGGCCCGTTTTGCGCACAACGCTGCCAATTCGGGATTCCTTGTTGATATAATCGTTTTTTCTTGCTTATTGCTTCATTTGATACGCCTCTCAGCGGTTAAAATCATCTTATTCCATCCAAATTGACGCATTCTTGAGATCTTGTTTTGATTCTCGCACTATTGCTTGCTAGGGCGTAGTGGAACGCACAATGTTCAAATAAAAAAACACTCTATTGGCGGTTATCCACGCCACAAAAGCTTATATTGGCAAGGATCCAATATGAAGAGCAGGGTTACTGCTACTACTAAAAATGGTGGAGAATAATCCAAATAACCCACTGTCATGACCGCTCGCGTTCTCGCGGGCAACCCCCCAATCCAACCGTTGAGGATACGGATGATACCCCACAGCTGCAACCACATCATCATTCTCATAAATTCTTCTCATGAACATCTACCTGGCACATTCAACAGTTCAGTCTTTGAGAGTCCCGAGCCTTTACCAATCACCTCATCACCAATCTGTTTCAATGATGGGATTATTACAGCTCTGACCACCACCTTCCACTGGCTGATCAGAGCTCTGAACAAGATGGAATCTCATCATGATGATCTTGAAAAAGACTCTTTCAAACCCTCAGTCAGTGATGATCTTGATTCTGAAGTCACTGAATGAGCTGCTGAAGATAGAAACCTCTGATGTTTATTAATGAAATGTAAAATAGAGAAGCAGAAATGTAAGAGCTTTGTTAAGAAAAAAAAATTTTAAAAATCAAATTGAAATTGAAGATGATCTGCATTGTTAATAAAATAAACTTCAATTCAACTTTCAATACACTCATATGAGATTCTGATCTCAGTGAGAAGTTGAAATATAATCTATATAATTCTGACAACCATGTTAATAAAGTGATTACACAATTCAAGAAGAATATTAAGAATATTGTCAAGCTGAACACTTTTACTTACATGTTGAATTATATGTCATGAGTGGTTTTGATGAAAATCAAGTTAGTTGACATTTAATATTGAGATATAATTGAGAAACAGCAGAAAGAGAATCCTCTTCAGAATGCTGAAAATGCATTTTTTTAAAATATTTATAATCATTAATAATTATTCACCTTCATATTCAATTTTTTGAATGCAAGTGTCAGATCATATTTTGTAAAATATAATAAAGATTAGAATATATTTACTTTTTAATATACAATTGAAAAGAAATACTTCATTCTGAAGATTTAATTACACTACAAAGCAATCATAAAATTCATTTTTCTTGATGAGTTTTAAATTATTAACATGCACAGTTTCTTTGATAAGTTATATGTGGTTATCTTGAAATTGAAAATGTTGAATGCTACCTCTTTGAATGTCTGAGTATTTGACATATTCTATTCCACTCTGCCGAATAATTGATGGGGTTATGTTCAGAAGAAGGTTGAAGAGGTTCAGTAATTAAAATTAACATCAGTTGTATTAAATATTCATTGTGAGGGGTGATGACAGTGTGAAGAGTGAATAGTAGAAGATAGTATATAGTGTAATAGAAGATAATAGTAATAATAATTATAGTTGTAGTATAGTTGAAGTTGTAGTTGTAGTTGTAGCTAATCGCTGAAGATGAAAAGAAAGAGAAAGAAGATGTGCGAAATACATGCATCCATATATATATACATATAGAAATAGTGGTAGCGAGAGTATAATAGAAAGAGGTAAGAATAGACGAAGATATAAACAAAGATAATAATAAGGAAATAATAACGAGTGCATTACATTCATCTTCTTATGAAGAAGATCTGTTCCTGCTTGAACTCTTCAAAAGAAAAAAAAACCATTCAAAGTTTAGATATTGCTGTCAATTCCACTCAATCTGAATCAACTGCAGATTTCAATAATACATTCAACTCAGTCTGAGGCAGTTGTTCAAGATGCAGTTATAGCAGTTTCTACAGCAGTGATTGAAGTGATTTTAACACCTCATCAATCTGCTCTGAGTGTAAAAGAACTCATTTCAGATACATATGCTGATTCATCAATACTGATCAAACATTTAAAGAATGAAAAATCAGTAATGCTGCTAAGCTTAAAAAGTTCAAGAATAAAAAAAAAAAAAGAAAAAAAAGAATGAAAATAAAAAAAATAAAAATAAAAATAAAAACAATAATGAAAGTAAAATTTATCAATTGATGAATCTCACTGAAATGATAAACATGTCAATCTGCTTAATTGAGCTATGTAAGAATCCTCTTACTGTATAAAATAGTGGCGCCGGTTGTCATATTACAAGCAATAAATCTGTAATGCACTCGTTTATTATTTCTTTATTATTATATTATCTTTGTTTATATTTTTGTCTATTCTTACCTCTTTCTATTATACTCTTGCTACTTCTATTTCTATATGTATATATATATGGATGCATGTATTTCGCACATCTTCTTTCTCTTTCTTTTCCTTCTTAGCAATTAGCTACAATTACACTACTACTATAATTATTATTACTATTATCTTTCACTACACTATATACTATCTTTTACTATTCACTCTTCACACTGTTATCACCCCTTACAGTTTCTAATCACTCAATCTTTGAGAGATGATTTGTTGAGTAATAATCATGATCTTTACCCACAGCATCCACTGTACTCATGCTACTGCTGAATTAGAAGCAACAAACATCAGTGAAGAAAATTATAAAACATGCACCTCTGCCACTGAAAGTGTGTAACAAGCATCAATCTTTTTTATAAAATTAGACTTTGAGTATAATTCAGAAGAGGACACCTCTTTTGAAGATTTGAATGCAATTGAAGCTGAGAAGATAGCTGTGACTAGAAGAATTAAGAAGTTACAGACTGAAAAGAAATTGTGAGAACTTCAACACTGATGCAATCTCTCTTTATATTATAGAAAAACCAACTTTTTCCGTGAAAAACATACTGTAACGTGACCTCATGTGATATCACGTGCACCCCATCAAATTCATGAATGGATTGAACAGCTGGCTCTGCGGCCTGTATAGCTCTGATATTAATCTTTATTATTTCCTTTACAGATATTCTCTACTGTATTTACATTCTTTATACTCTTCTCTACATTCATTACAATCTATATATGTTCATTAATATACTCATTTCATGCACCTCTGCTCAGTGTGTGGGGATTCTCATCCTCTCAATGTATTTGAACATTTTCAATTCAATGCATTATTCCATACATGCTCTACATACCATCAAACTCAGTATTGCATATGCAAAACATGTTTAGTTCAAATCTTTCATCTGTCATTGAGAAATGTAGCTGCTTCTGTGCTCAACTTATAGTGAATTGAATTGTCATACTGTGATATGTGCTGTAAAGATCATCTGTTTCATCTGTTTCATATTGTTATTCATATTTTCAAGAACTGCACTGATTGCTGAGCTCTCAATTATGAATATATTTGTGATGTCAAACATTGTCATTTGACAGCTACTGCTGCTGTTTCTGCAGCAGATGAAGTTGCTAATTATATATATATGAATTCCCTGAATCAGCTGACTCTCAATGATTTCATCATTCAAATGAATTTAATTATTTTTAAATCAGTTGTTAATTTTTCAATTATTTACAATTGTTGATCTGTTCTCTACAGCTTTCATTTCTATATCTGTTGCTATCAATCATTTAATTTTAATTGAATGAATGTCTACTGCTCTGTTTGTAGAGTTAAGTATTGAATTGATGAATGTGTATATAAATTGTTAAAAACCTTCTCAATGTTTTTTATATGCTGTGTAAGAGATGCTGTGAGATTGCTATCTGTCAGGGAATCTCCATCAGAGCTACATGTATGTATGTATGTATGTATAGGTTTAACGTCCCGGAGAAAACACGGGCAGCGCCCGTGTTTCAGAAGCCTCCCGAAGGGCATGGAGACGTGCTACGCTGGAGAGATTTCTATGTACACAGAGAGAGAAAACAGAATCCAGGTGGCAACTCTTGAGAAGACTCAGCTCATTGCAAAGGATTTTTCTGAGCTGCGCATCCACTTCTGGCCCGACGTATGGCCATTCATGGTGGGGCTATAGTGTGGTTCCCTGAGGGGACCGCCGCTGCCGTGCCTGGAAGGCTTTATAGTGAGCAGAGAGGGATACCTCTCTCAGTTGATCAGAAAGCTGTCTGTGCTTCTAACATCAGAAGAAAGACAGACAAGATAAATAATGAAGGAGAGAGCACTGAAGAAGGTTGTGACAGGAAAAGAGCAGAGAATGACAGAGAGAGCAAAGAAAAGAAGGAAGAAGAAGCATTTGAGCCGATAGAGACAAGGGCAAACGAGAGGAAAACAAAGCAGAGCACGCGTAGATACAATGCCGGCAGTCAAAACCATATCAGCTGAGTCAGACACGTAGACTGTACTGATTACACCACAGCTAATTGAGACAGATGAGCCTAGTTGTGCTATCTGTACTGTCTGCATAGACTGTGATGTCCCTGGCAGTTGCACTAGCTACCGTGGGTGTACTCAGCAGGCCGGCCTCGTGGAACTGCTGCGGGGGTTGTCAGATGGTTTGCAGCCAGCCGGCTGCGTTACCTTGTGCAGTACCGTGTGTAGAACTGCGTGCAGTCCAGCAGTTCTACAAAGTCTGTAGGGGTCAGAGACCCTAGATAGGCAACAGCTGTCGCCCGGTTGTGTGGCCGTGCTGCTGGCCTCTTGGGCCAGTGAAGAAAGTGCCTCTGTGAGTGTCGACAGAGCACCAAATGTTCTGGGCTCTTGTTGTGTCCACAGACACAGGTGAGCCTCGCATCTGCATGCTGGAAACGCCTGTGGTACCAGGAGAAGTCCCCATGAGAGGAGCGGAGTGCGAGCCAGCGGTGAAGGGCATGCCGTGGCATGGTGAGCTCCGGAGGGGCCTTCACTTGGTATTCCACAGTCGGCCTGCTGAAACTCCAGCCCCGGTACCAGTCAGAGAGCCTGCCACAGGCTCCACTCCACCACTTTCGCCTTGCCTCTTGGCTGAGCTGCTTGGCCACTGTGCGGACCCCACTGACTGTGGGTGTGGCCTCGAGACCATAGGCTGGGGCTGCAGTGGATGAGACTGCCCGCTTAGCCAAGCGGTCTGCTTCCTCATTGCCCTCTATCCCCATATGCCCAGGAGCCCATTTCAGGCCGACATTGTGCTGTCTGAGGAGCTCATGGCAGCGGTTGTAGGCCCAGTTTGAGGAGGCTGCTGCACTGCCCCGTATGCCCCAGATGACTGAGGTGTTGTCGAGGCAGAGCCAGATCTGAGGGTTGCTGCTGTCCTCTGTGACACAAGGTAGGAGCTTCACAGCGCACTCTAATGCCCGGCAGGCACCAACTGCCTCAGCGTCGAAGATATGTGACATAGAGCTCAGCGCAGCTGAGAAGCTGGCCAGCTGTTTATTTCCCTGATAGACTATGAAGCCATAGCCCACCTGCCTGCTGTTGTCAAGGCTCCGTTCTGATCCATCTGAGAAAACATATAGATCTGTTGAGGGTTGACTTCTCCACCATTCCTTGAATGCCTGAGCAGCATTCTTTTTGTCTACACCCTCTGTGGGGTCTGTCCCGCATCCCTCTGAGTAGTGTGGGATGGCAAGTGTGTGTCTATTGACTTCAGGTAGCAGCGCCCCCAACCGCTGGATCTTGGTCTTTGAGCGCTGCCGGGTTCCAGCCCCTCTTCCTCGTGTGATCATTGGAGGTGCTATCCGTGAAGCCAGTGGGTGCTTCTCATCCACCACCTGAAGCCTTGTCGCGAATCGAATTTTGGCCTCCTCCAGAGCTACCATTGCTGATGGGAGCCCAGCATCCCGGTATAGGGCAGCGATGGGCGTTGTACGGAAAACTGGGAGGACCCCTCTGGCTGCCATAGTAAGCACCTTCTCAACTGTCCCCACATGCCATCCCAGGCGGGAGCTAACCTCCCCACTCCTACCCGTGTGCCTTGCTGGCTGCGTGCGGCCGCCGTACCAGGCCTCTGTGCCATAGAGCAGTGAGGGAACCACGCAGGTGGTGACCGCCTTCCGCAAAGCGTCTGCTGGGGGCCCGTCTCTGGTCTTTCCCAGACTCCCGGATGTGCTGGGCCACGGCCCCTTGCCCTTCTTTGCCCGGGTGGAGACATGTGGTCTCCAGGTGAGCCTTCTGTTGAAGTGTACACCCAGCAAGCGAAGTGCTGGCTCCTGTCCAGCTGGGGCAGTAACAGGGTGAACAGTGAGGTCCTCAGACACAACTACTGCTGGTGCCTCATTGTGTCGCTTTCTTGTAAGATGGATCATCTCAAGTTTCTCTGGTGCGAAGGCCACCTTGTTTATCTCCCCCCACCTCAGAATACTCTGTATATCCTGTCTGAGAAGGGTGGCATTGTTGTCAAGTGAGTGGGTCGCCCGCCAGATGTTCAGATCATCCGCATAGCCAAAGCGCAACTCCGAGTTTTGCCACAGCAGCTCTGCCAGGTACAGAAGGAACAGTATTGGTGACAAAGGAGACCCCTGTGGCGTGCCACATTGCATCTGATGTGCTGCTGTGGTGGTCCCCTCCAGCCGGACCTGAGCTCTGCGTTCAGTGAGGAAACTGTCAATGAGCTGCAGCAGCTCGCGTGGCCACCCCTGCTGCGCCATCCGCTGAAGCAGCCGCCTGCGCAGCACAGCATCAAAGGCACCCTGCACATCCATTGTGACCATGGACACTTCTTTGTTTTGTGCGAAGGCTGCCTCCACCTCATGAGTGAAAGTAGCTACCAGGTCCATTGCAGATCGTCTGGGCAGCGCCCCCCCATGCTGTGGGCTGACTATGCCGTGAATGAGTGCCGTGTACGCCAGTCGCCTTGCAATGATGCGTTCCAGCCCTTTGGAGATTACTGAAAGCAGGGCAATGGGCCTCCAGGAGCGGACTGAGCTTCTATCTCTCTTACCCACCTTGGGTATCATTGCCACCTCTGCCAGTTTCCAGGCTCGTGGGAAGTGGCAGAGCCGGAGGCAGCAGTTGTATAGCTGCTGTATAAAGAGGGACACATGCTGCCAGCATGCTTTGAGCATCCGCACTGTGATTCCATCCGTGCCTGGGGAGGTGCTCTGTACCCCAATGGTGTTGCGCTCCACCTCCTCCATCCCAACCCGGGGGTTCCAGGGCAGGTTCCCCATGCCGCTCCAGTGCTCATCATCCAGTGGGTCATACTCCAGATCATCAGCTGAGTTGTATCGCTTCAGAATTGCTTGTTGAAGTGCCTCAGCTTTGGCGGCTGTCTCTTCTATGACCTGATCCCCAATCACCAGAGGGTGTGCTCTGAGGTTGGGTTCCAGCTTATGCCATGCCACCACCCGGTACAGGTCTCTACCATCTCTGGCCTCATTGATCACCTGCCTCCAGTATGCACGCTTGGCCTTGCGCACTGCATCCTTGAACTGGTGCTTCGCGGCCTCTGTCTGGTGAGTGGTGAGCTCTCGGTGCGCTCTTCGGCAGTCTGCTGTCCACCAGGGGGCTGTGGTCCGCCCTTGTTGAGCTGGCTTACTGACTGCCTGAGCTGCAGCCAGAAGACTCTGAGTGAAGTGCTGGGCCAGATCATCAAGCTGTGCCACATTTCCAACCCCCTCTGGGCAAGGCATGTCCACCATGAGACCTCTGACAAGATCTGCAAAGGGCTCCAGCTGAGAGTCTGTGATCTTGATCCGAGCATCACTCAGCTGTGTTTGAGGTGTTGTTGGCAGCATAGTGATCATAGACTGGTGATCTGAGCCGCAGTGTAGATCTTGACGCACTGTAGTGGAAGCAAAGGCCACATTGGAGAAGGTGAGATCAATCACATGACCTGCTGCATGAGTCGGAACCCCTATCTCTCCCACAAAGTCCATCCCATGTTCACTGGCCCATTGGACAAGCTCCCCGCCTCGGTGCAGATTCACTGCCCCTGGTTCAAAGGCATCATGCCGTACGTTGATATCCCCACCTATCAGACAGCGGGCTGGTGGGCTCAGATTGGTCAGATAGTCCATGACTGCGTCTGTCCCAGGCTGTCTGTACACATTGAGAATGTGGCAGCCATTTACACTGACCCATAGCAGATCCCTGCTTTGCACAGACCGGTGTTGCTGTGCTCTTGTCTTTGAGCCCTTGCGTACATATGTCATGACCCGGGGCCTCTCCTCCTCTCGCTGCTCCGGGTTAGTGTCATCCCAGCAGTCTATAGGCGCAAAGCACTCATATGCTGGGTGGTTAGAAGTCTTGGTGCCAGGGTGTGTGTATGGCTCCTGTATACAGACCACTTCACAGCCCTGCTCGAAAGCAAGCTGCAGAGCTGCTGTGTGACAGGGGGCTGCCCTGGCCGTATTTGCCCAGAAGACCTGCAGGGGGCGATTTTCCTGCTGGTTGTTCCTGCGGCGCCAGCCGCGTCGCTGGTGTTGGTGTCCTAGCATGAGGAGTCACTTGGTGAGCTGCTGCCGAAGTCCACCTGCGGGATGAGGTTGAAGACCTCCAGACCTGCCATCTGCATGCTGGAGTCAGACTGTTCTTTAGCTGCTTGGCTGTGCTGCCGCACTGCTGTGCGAGCTGAGCGTCGCCTGGTGCGGGCCATCTGCCAGGTGGCACCCTCCTCACTGATGGAACTCTGAGTCGCTGCCCGCTTGCGGGGTGCTAGCCCAGCGGGCTGTGTTGACTGGGTTGACTGAGCGGTTGGTGTAGGCACCACCACTGCGACCATTGGTGCTGGCTGTGCTGGCGGCGGTTGCCGCTCCTGAGCATCCCTGTGGCACCTGTCGCCAAGGCGGCGAACAGCTGCTAGCTCTTTTTGAGTCAGGCGCCTGAGGGTGCCATTCACGCGCCTGGGTGCGGCAGGGCAGTGCTGATGCCCAGCTGGGTAGGGTTGGCAGCAGTTGGCACATCTTGGCGCTCTCTTGCACTCCGCGCCTGTTGGCCCCTCATGCTGGCTTGTGGGCTCACTGCAGTTGGAGCATCTTGCCAGTCGCGCACACTTTGGTGGGTGGCAGAACCCCTGGCATCCTGGGTTATGTCTCACTGCCAAAGGCCTTTTCTCAATCAGCCTGGCCCTCTCACTGGCATTGAAGAGTGAGAAGCCTTTTACCGGGGCAAGGAAGGAGACAATCCATGTAATCTTCCCTGTCTTGGGGTTCACCCCATGACGCGAGGGTCGACAGCTCACTGGCTTTACCTTTGCCTGAGCCAGAACCTCTCCCTCAATCATCTTGTCTGTGGGGATTCTTGCCCCTTCCCAGTCCTGGACAGATTCTGGGACCCCTGGGACAGCATAATTGTACCACCGCTCTGGTAGCCGGATCTCCGTGGCGCCAAGGACTTCACAGAGAGTAGCCACTGCCTTCTCAGTGGTCAGAGCGTCGCGTATGCCTCTGTCGCTTGGTGTGATCGCCCAACCTGTCCTGGTGGGCTCCACCTTCGGCACATTGGCCACATCCACCACCCCCTGAATGTTTGCAACGATTGCCTGCCGCACATCTCTGGCTGGAGGGTGACGAGGACTCGTGGGTCCTCCTGCGGTTTTGTGCCCCCTGTGGGGCCCCCTGGCTGACTGGCGCTTTTGGGCTGCAGGCTAGCCCCACTAGCCCTGCCTGCCGAGGAAGCCGCAGTCTTGGCAGGGGCAACCCCAGGGAGGGCAGAGTTTTCCCCCTCTGAGCAACACCCGCCCAGGTAGTCGGCTCCCTCGCAGCTGTCTTTGCTGCATTTGGCTGCGGATGAGTATCCGGGGCAGCACCCTCTCTCAGAATTGATGCTGCACTCAGATCTACTGTCACATACTTGACAAACCTCTCACAGAAGATTCAGGCAAAGTTCTAACTGACTGACTGCTTCTCCTCCTCAACCCAGCTGTCCAGAGTCTTTGCCAATCTGATGAGAGCCTTCTGCTGCAGGTTCTGTTGCTGCTGAGCCTCCTCAAACTGCTTCTGCAGCCGAGAGGTGGCCGTGGGGATGCTGTCGCTGGCTCCTTTGAGGACTGGGGGAGGCATTGTGACAGTCTTCCTCTGCCTCTTGCCAGCCTTTCCAGTGACAAAATTGGCCGGTGACTCCGGCTCCAGTGGCCTGGTGTAGGCCGTTTCGATGTCCTTGGGCGGACGGGAGGGCGAGGAGGGCTCCATGACCACTCAACCTGTGCAGTACACTCTACCCGGAGAGAGATCGCAGAGGGCGTGCCGATTGATTA